GGGGGAAGACGGGGAGAAAGCGCGCGTGACATGACACGACATGACGTCAGCGCTGGGTTGGGCTGGTTGGGTTAAGGCTAGGGAATACAAAGTAGGTAGGTAGGTCGCTAGGCAGGCGGTGGGTGTAGAGAGTTGGAGGACGAAGGACAACAAACAATCCATTCTCTACCAGTCTTCCCCCCTCCCCTCCCCTCCCCTCCCCTCCCTACGTATCTGGCTGCCCACGCCTCACTAAATCCCCTCCCCTCCCCTCCCCGCCATCCCGCCCACGCCAACGACATCCGCATCTCACGGAACCCCCCGAACCCCCAAAAGACCCTGCAGAAGATACAAACATACAGAACATACACACACCGCGCACTCTCTCCCCCTCGTTCCCTCTGTTTCTCTCTCCCCCTCGTTCCCTCTGTTTCTCTCTCCCCCTCTTACCCATCGGGCCTTGTGAACGTGATGTTGTAGAGGCTGTGGAGGAAGACGTCAAACAGCCGCTCAAACGCAAACTCGCTGGCAATGGTCATCAACACGACTTCCCGTCGGCCCCCGAACGCGTCCTGAGAGAAGGGCGGGGGAGAAGGAGGGGAGAAGGACTTGCATGCGCTCCCCGTACATGACCCGCATGTGGCTGGAGGGGGGACAAAGGACATACATACGTACATACATACATACGTACATATACAAGTAGCATGCACAGATAGGAGAGCAAATGCCCTCACGTATCTCATGGTTTGCAAGTAATACGGCTTGCAGGTTGTAGAAAGCGAAGTGTTGAAAAAAACCAGATCGCAACATGAACGCATTTGGTGTTGAGGAGGAAATGAATCTCATGAGCAGAAGGAAAAGAGAAAACAGGCCCCCAGGCCATCCTGAAATAGGGTTTCAGATAAGGGGACGAAGTGTAGGCAAGCAGGAAAAGAGTTTTGTTGAGGTGCGGGGGGAGATGTGAGCCTGGCTGACCAAGGACATCCGCTATGGGTTGTGAGGGTATGGGGATGCTCCGAAGAGCGATGGATAACAAGGCGTTATTATAGATAGTTGGATTGATCTGGGTATGTGAAGCGCATGTGCAACAGGCGCACCCTTGCAACCTTGCGCTGGAATTGTTGCTATCGCAACTGCTGCTATCGAGCGAGGGCAGAGAGGGGAGAGAAAATCAAATGAAGTCGTCCCGTGAAGCCTCCATCCCGTGATGTTGTTCTTGCTTACTAACACAACGCCTTTGCGGAATGCGTGTAAACTGCGGCCATTCCTGACAAAACCCGGTATCCCAACCCATGCATACCAGCAGAGGCAGCTTTGCACGATTCACAGCGTTAACTAATTCCTTTGAGGGTAGCCTCAGGCCTGCAATTCAGACGCTAAGGATGGTTGACGGTGGCTTGCCAGCCAAACATCAAGAAATGCCGACCCAGCAGCGATCCACATACCAGATTGAGTCCAATATGAGTTAGCCAGATCTGGTAAGCTGATATTCGTTGGTGCATCCGCACGAACGAATGCACACAATGACGCAGCTACCAAACATAAGAGGCTAACAGTACGCATTGTAACAGATAAAGATATATCGACAATATATGGAATGCCCATCCAGGGAAAGGCCCAGGCTGTGGCACGAGTTCCAGTCAATTCAGACTACCAACAATAGCTTGGGACAGGATGAGGTCGTTATATTAATGCACTTACAACCCCCCGAACATTTCAGGAACGGTACTCTACACTAGGCGCTGAGTTAGAAACGCTGCTACTGAGAGACGGTAGTCGCTTACGATCGACGATGCCTCGATCTCCTCCAGTTTCATAAGATGAATTTTCGCATGACTAAACTAAATAATCCGTGTAAATTGACAACTACATCTGACGACGTTTAGATTACAAGCTCCTTGAACTTGTACGGCCCGAACGAGCATGAGCTGCCGAGCTGCAAACATGAGTTAAAGAGAAATAAGTAAGGAGAAAGATAAGACTAGTACTGAAATAAAAGCCTCGTAAATCGCATTAGTTGTTTATGTACTGCAAAGACTGCAAAATAGGTCTCCGTATGCAATCCAAGACATGTGATAGCCCGGGTTGGCTCTAACACCCGTTACCGCATTAATTGCTAACCCTGGCTCAGCTCGGCACGTATGTCTGCCTAACAGGACATTCACGCAACATGTGTTGCTCGTCCTCGACCGCCTGACGATCAACACAGATCCGACACCACCGTGCTGCATGCTCCCTGCCATGTGGTAGGTTGACAGCCAGTGGCTAGACACACATCCCAAAGCGCATCAGTGTGACGTGTTGTTTCGGCAAGATGTAGCCTTCACAGTACTTAAGGTGTCCCCGGTTGCCTGTTGTCACAAACAAGCACATGTGGATCCGCCGCCAGTCTCTCATTACCCCAGTCGTCATCAAACCGATATCAAATCTTCTTTATCGACCGATCTATGTTTAGGACATGCGATGTCGCGGTGTCTATTCTAGCTTCAAGACCTTCAATCTAGAATCTTAGGTCTTACCTCAAAGCTTCTAGAATCTTGATAAGCTTCGTTCCCCAGGCATCGTATGATAAAGAGATGAAGTGAAGCCCAAGCGAAGCTCTCATAAAAAACAAGGATGATACAACGCACCCTTCGCCTCTACCAACCGGTTCCAAAACTTTTCAAAAATAACGAATTCGCCAAATTCAAAATTCAAATTCGCTCAATCAACCTGCAGCGGGTATTATACTGCCCAAGCTTCTCCTTGAACACGTGCCGGTTCGGGGCCATTCCCGCGTCTTTCAGTTGTTCCAAGGAGGATTTGCTGCTCACCCATCCTAACCTGAAGCGCATATCATGCGAAATATGGCAAGACCGATGCTCCCACTGGAAAAATGGGGGTTAAAGCCTCGTGCAAGAACCTGCAGGAAAACCCTTCCCGGGACCCACAGCTGGACCCCGTACGACAGGACGGGTCCCTCATAAGCGCGCATCAGTAGCGCCATTAGCCATCTGTATGTATGGCGATATGCCGAAGAGACTTATTATTATCGTTAGGCCGTCTGCTAGTAGTAGAGCTTTATCTGGATTCGCATTCCATAACTGACGGGGCAGCTGTAATACGCCACATTTCCCTTAGAATACTTCAACGATTACTAATGACAATTGCTGTTGATTTCGTTGACGATTTGACACAAGTTTAGTACATGTCACGTAACATCGTGACATTTCACGAAGATGGCAGCTGCAGATGATTCGTAGCGAACCTAACGGGCTGGGGCCCCGAGGCCCCACCGATCGGCCGGTGGTGCTCTGGCTTGCCACTTACATAAGTATTAAGTATTACGACCCCTTGGTGTTCGGAATTCTCAAGACTACTCTGCCGCCGTCTTAGTTGTTTCGTACTTGTCTATGTACGCTAGTGCTTGTCGCTGAGTTGGACTCCTTCCTTCGCCTCCGCAAAGACCCGTAGTCCTACGCTTCCGCGAGGTCCGTCGTGCCATCAGCAGGTGAGCGTCTGCTACAGCAGCAGTCAATAACTGCCATCTCGCACCTACGTTGCCCGACGGCAAAACTCTCCCTAAAAATGCCATGTAAGGTAGGGCTCAGCTCGGACACCCCTGCTTAGCCTCTTGGAACAAAAAGAAAAAGGAAAATCTTCGCCTAACATCCCGTTTTTACATTTTGACTACCTGAGTTCGACGACCCCCCGGTTGCATGCAGCCCTCATTCAGGCCACTTTTTGTGGAGCCCGTCACAAGCCGCATCCTTCCTCAGTCGCATCCACAGCACGGCTCCCCTTTGGGAACCCCCTGGTTACTTTGAAATCCACCTGACACACAAACACAGGGATTCCCGTCAACTCCCTACCCATCGACCAATTCATCCTCGCCCTTCGCTTGGCTTTGTCAGTTAATAGATGGCGCGGCACCAGCAGGTGTTGCCACGTGCGCTCTTGCTACGGAAGCAAACCTGCTTGGTAAGGGGGCCGAGCTCCCGCCGACGATTCAGTGCCACCCTAAGCGGCACTGAGCCCTCGCGCACCGGGAGGCACGCATATCTCTGCAAGTTATTACAAGTTCCGCACGAGTGCGCGGGGGGGGGGGTTCCGTCAGAGCCTTAGGGGAGGCCATGGACTAAAAATATTTTGAAAGTTTATCTCTGCGGAAGTGCTCCTGTAGTTGACCGCTATCCCAAAGCGGTGGTTGCCCATGCCAGTCATGCACGGCACCGCTTTTGTGGGAAATGAATGGGTGGGTGTGATAAAACCACAAACTGCTTCGGGTCGTCCCCCGTACTGTGCGAGCGGATTTGCTCCCTAGGCTTCAGCAGGTAATATAAGGTGCGCGCACAAACTCCTCAAGCTTGCGTTGTGCGCGTAATAAATAAAAGGCTCAGATGTGATAAAGTGCCCTGTTGTTGTTTTGCTTTTTGCTTGTCACCCTCTTGGTTTATTGCTCTCACATTCGGGAGCAAGAACTCTCTCGCTTAGGAATCTCGCGTCCCGGTGCGGCGCAACAGCAAGAAGAGGTAACTCTCCAGTAAACTCAGCGCGGCTCTTGAGGCACCGAGCACCGTAAACAGCAGCGAAATCTCCGGTCGCTCGCTCGAGGGACGTCCCACAGCGAACATCCTTATCAACCCGCCTCCTGATTACGTCTTGAGCAAGGCCGAACCCAGTTTTATCAGGTCTTCCTGAAGTACTGATGTGTTCGTATGCCATACGTCATATCGCGACTCCGGAATCAGTTGCTGCGCTATCGTGCCTAGACAGCAGCTACACAGTCAGCTACTGATTGAGGCGTTAACTAGACATCTCCGAATCGGCACCCGCCAGGCAAGCATGGGTAAGAATTGGAACGATTGAGACGGCGTTTTGCCCCTTTGGAAAGACGCGCTGCATATTCCAATCCCAGAAAAAGGGAAAAGAGGAAAAAGGGAGAGAGAGAGTGGGGAGGCCAAGGAGCCAAATGTCAGGGCCCTAAATGTCGGTGGGCGAGGGAGGGGGATAGTTCGGCTTCGGAATGGAACATAGAGTCTCAAGGTGAGGGTTGACCCCCAATTAGTTAAATCACAGTTGGAGCAACTAACGATGCATGCGTACAGTCAGCTCCTATCGGAGGTTTGGCGATCAAGTCCACCCCTGATCTCCGAAGAGCAAATAAAGTGCAAATCAGAAAGCAGTGCAAGTAATCGGTCAGGGTTTTAAGCCTTATGCATAAATCCGTGATTATCATTTTACGTGGACGTTACCTTGTTCCTTGCACGGAACCAGAGAGTCTGCACATAAGCGACCTTTAATACCACAAGTGGTTATATACAGATATATCATAAAATTTACACAAACGAAACGGGATTTGTCTGCCATGATCCGTGATGCCGCTACAATGAGTCCGGGCATGCTGAGTCAGGCGCAAAGGGTCCTCCTCGGTCTTGGTGTCTTCTCAAATGCTTGTTGCATGGATGCAGATGGCATCTCCGAGTAGCGAAACTTTCATGTTTTAGATCACCGCACACGTTCACAATTATAGCGCATGATGTTGGTTACCGGTACTGCATACGCCCGAAGATCGCAATGAATATCCTAAAGACAACACGCTACGCACTTAGTAATCGCAGAAAAGCTTGTTCCAACTTTCATCAACGTCTTCAGTGCACAACGAGGAAATCACAAGAGCTGTCGAGGGCAGATGTGCGCTCAAAACCCTAAGTCACAATTGTGCGCGTCATGCATATCATGCATGTCACGCAAATCATGCCAATTTGCCCACCCGCGCGATATCCATTTCTCAAAGTCAAAGAGAAGTGGATACCGTGATTTATCACACCTTGCGTCCTTCAACTCTACCGCCACCACATCACTTCGCGGCGGCGGCCCCTCTTCCACGCAGTACAATCATACAGCAGTATTTGCGCTCGAAAACGTGTTAACATGTAACATTCGGTCCACCAGCCTAAACGACGACAGCAGCGCTACTTCAGTAACAGTAACAGCAACAGCACCAGGACCGAGTTGACCGCGTCCGCCGCGGCCAGCACACTCGCATCACAGCACACTGCACTCACACCAATAAGAGTCAAACTCTCCCCTCCCCCATCTTTCTCCCCTTCCCAGCAAAATCTTGAAGCCCTCTTCAGACGACGAGGCCACCTGTACTCCCCTTCCCTGTATCGCCGTGCTCTGAAGAGGTGTCGCTGCAAACCCTTTTGCCATACCCCCCCTTGAGCTCCCCCCTTCCGTTAGTTGCAGTATGTTCACCCCCCCGCGTCCCGTGCTTCACCCCCGGTCATCCGTCAACACATACAAATACAGGCACATCCTCTCCCATACATACATACTCACGTACACGCCCACGTGCAGTTCCCCAGTAATCATTGAGACGCCGCCAATTGCGACTGCAGCAGCCGCGCACTGGCGGCCTCTACGCCCTGATACGTCAAAGCCACCAAGACATCCGGTACGGCTGTAACGCCCACGGTCACGTCCGCCATCTCCACATCCGCCGTGGCTGCCTGACCGCCGCCGCCGCCGCCAACGTCAACGTCAACGCCCGCAGAGATGTCGCCATCGCCAGGGCGGCCAACGGCGGCGGCGGCGGAGTGCGTGGCGGCGGCGGCGGCCCGGGAGCCCCTGACGAGGAACGCGGGGTCGACGACTTGCTGCAACTCCACCAGTCCCCTGCTGTTCAGGACCAGCATGTCGTAAAAGCACCTGCGGAAGGCATTTACAGACATACAAACATACTTACTTATGTACATACATGCATACATACAGTATTACAAATGCAACGCAAGGCCGTGGACCAGTGGCAAGCTCTTGTAGGAGTGAAACAAAAAAGGGTTTCATGTAAAAGTGTGCTGGTGGTTGCTCAATGGATAGATCGCTCTCCTGCAGCAGCAGCACTAACAGACAGACAGAAGACTCATCAAGACATCTCCGTTCTCTTCTCCCCTCCGCCACTTTGCAAAGGAAGGAAATGGCACAAACCGCACATTTCCAACTGCACTATACCCGCTGGCTCTACTCTTCACGAGTCTGGAGCCCACTGTAACCACCACATACATACATACATACATACATACATACACGCGGGCGCGCATACGTACACAAACACACGTACAAAAACGCACGTCTCTTACCGAGCTGCGTCCTTACGCCGCCGACCCAGGGCTAGCTGCGACAACCTCGCCATGCCGGGGTCAGCAGCGGCAGCAGCCTCGTCATTCCCAACCTGACTACCGCCACCTGCTACTGCTGCTACTGTCTCCTGCTGCTGCCGCTGCTGCTGCAGTACCGATACCCGCTGCGGAGTACCCAAGTCCCCCCCCACGACACGAAGCTGCGTGGGGTGCTGCGCCGCCGCCTCCTCCTCCTCCTCCATCTCCCCCGCTGCCGCCTCCGCCACCCCCAGCAACTTCCGGGCCGTAGGATCTTTCCGACGCTGCTCTCCCCCACTGCCCTGGCTCTGCGGGTGCTCGCCGTGGTGGAGTGAGGATGCGGCGGCGGCGGCGGCGGCGGTAGCAGCAGCAGCGGTAGCGAAGCGGCGGCGCAGTAGCTCCAGTCCCCGCGTAAGCAGCTCTGTGTCGACGGCGCCATCACCGCTGCCGCTCCCGCCGCCACTACCGTCGTCATGGGCGGCTTGCTGTCGTTGCTGAGTTTGTATTTGAGACAGAGTCTGCGTTCAGAACAATATTCAAAATTGGACATCTTTTGAATACATATCAACACACCCACATATACATACATACATACAGTGAATACCAACAGTATGGATACGGGTACACACCAACACAGCACCGCACCTGTGGGACTACTGCCGCTCCCCCCGACGACCCGCCAGCTACTGCCGCCGCCGCGTCAACCCGTGCTGCCGCCACCGCTGCACTGCGAGCTACAGCGTCCAACTCTCGTAATGTACGACTCGCCAAAGAGCCCTCCTGCTCGCTCCAGCTGAGCCACTTCCCAAGGCTGCCGGTTCCGGAGCCCGTGACATAACCGGACGCAATACCGGTGCCCGGGCCGCTGCCGCCGCCACCACCAGAGGCGACGGCGGCGGCAGCATCAGCACCGCTCCCAGGCTCACCACCTCCCGCAGCAGCTGCCGATGTCCGGTGCGACGTACGACGGCCCGCCAGACCATGCGGGCTTTGGGCTCGGTGTTGTTGGTCGCTCCGTCGGTGTCGAGAGCCTGAAGGGCCGGCAAGGTCTGCTGCCTCCTCACCCTCCTCCTCCCCATCGTCATCGTCATCGCTGTGAACGTCATTGCTGCCGGCGCCGCCAGCGGTCTCGGCGCCATCAATCCAGCGGGAGCGATGGTGTCGTCGCATCATGGACCCCAGTCCGAGCCCTTCAGAGCGAATGGTGGATCCCTCCGGGGTCCCGGCTACAGCCCCCCCCGCCGCCGCCGCGTCAGCATAATCCGCTCCGAAACCACTACCAGTGCCAACACCGCTGCCACCTGCATCCTGGCGTTGCTGCTCTGTTAGAGACTGGATTCGTGAACGTGGCGGCGTCTTCGCCGCCATCGCCGCCGCACCTGCGCTGACGGCGCCGCTTGCCGTACGACGCTGCTGCTGCGCTGACGCTGACGCTGCGGCTGCCGTGCCCCCGGAAGCTGCTGCGCCTGTAGAGCGGACTTGGCTTTGGGCGCGATGAACTAACTGCTCCTCTATCCGCGGGCCCCTGCCGGAATCCAAATTTGAATTCATGGCGTCTTCAAATCCAAGTTCCACTCCACCGGAAGTATTAAGTCGGCGTCGTACAGATCGGCTTCCCTCCCGCCTTCCTGAACCCGCCGCACCGCCTGCATCCCCGTCATCACCACCGTCCACATCCATGCGCGTATCAGCACCTGCAGCGCCTGCGCCAGCTGACGCCATTCCTCCTCCTCCTCCGTCGCCGCCGCCGCCAGCTTCCGTTCCCGCCGCCGCCGCGGCAGTGCCTGGCGCCCTTCCGCTCCTTGCAGCAGCACCGCCGCCGCCGCCGCCGCCAGGCGTGTTGCTGGCGGCGTTCAACACCTGGCCATGCTGCTGCTGCTGTAGCTGGGTCGCCAACGGACGGCGTGTCGCCCCCGGACTTGACAAATGTCCTCCTCGGACGGTGCCGCTGCTCTTGCCGGTGGACAAGGCTCCGAAACCACCTCCAAACTCAAGTCTATCGTCGCCAGCACCATCGCCACCGCGATTCTCCTTTCCAGAGTCCGTCTGGCCGATACTGGCCACCGTCGTCGCCGGGGCTGCCGCCGCCGCCGCCGCCGCTGCTGTCGTATTCGCGCCACGAGAAGGACCCTCGCCGCCGCCAGCCTCCATCAGCCCCACAACGTCCGCCACCGCCGCTACCGCCGCCACTCCGGGCCCGGCGGCGGCTGCAGACAAGGGCGATGACATCCCACCGCGCCGCCACCCCGCCCTACCGCCGCCGCCTTCAAGGCCTCCTCCTACCTCGCCCTCATCACCACCACCATCACCAGCTGCCGCGCCTCCCGCTAAGCCTCCGGTCTCGTCTCCAACACCAACATCCACTTCCATGTCCACCCCTTCCTCCTCCTGCTGCTGTATTTCCTCTTCCCCCATCGCCTCCCCTCCTTGAGCGGCGACTCCAGGCCCCCCCGAGCGATCACCTCGTGGGGTGGTTCTCACAGCCACCCCTCCTTCTCCTCCGCCTGCTTCTTGGCCTCTTCCTAACGCACCCTCCTCCTCTTCCGCGATTAACGCCGCCGCTGCGCCACTACCACTCACGACTCCTCCACCCTGTGGGCCGGTGCCGGCGGCGGCGCCAGGAGATCCTGTTGTCGCCATCGATGCAGCCGGTGCCCCGCTGGGCCCTCCGCCACCCAGACGTCCTGCCGCCGCCGCCGCCCCCAGATGGATGGCGTACTGGGGAGCCATTTGGCCTGAGGGGGTGCGGGGGCGAGGGGGAGTGGGGGTGGGCTTTGGGGGGGAGGGAAAATCTGGCGCTTTGGGCCGGGGTGTACGGAAAGAAAGTAAACACGGGGAAGGTAAAAGGGAGGGAATGGGGAAAGAGTGATGTGCATTGCATGTATGTATGTATGTATGTGAGGAGTTGGGTGAGAACGAAAAATCGTCTCCGCGCATTTTGGTTCCGCCGGCTTGCGACATGACCGAACTACATATCGACAGTTGCAGAGCTCACCTACGGCGACACGGAACAGCGCCTGTACGGCAGGAGGCAAAAGGTCTGCTGCCGTATGTTGCTGCCCCTGGCGCTCTTGACCCCATCGCTGTCGTAGTGCCGCCGCCCCGGGCCCTACAAAGGTGGAAGAAGGTGTGTGCGTGTGTGTGTGTGTGTGTTTGTGCGGAGACAGAGACAGGTGTTCTGATGGGTATGTGGTCGCCAGGTATGTATGTATGTGTTTGATCGGGGGTCTCAAGGGACCAGAATGGAAGATCAGCATCACAGGAACAAAAAAAACAAACCGCTGATCAGCCACGTGTCGTCCGTACGGACGGGATCCTCGCCACGTGGGCAGCTGAGTGGTTTTCATCTATTTGCCCCCGAGCCTCCCTCCCGCCATTTCTTTTCCCCCTCCCACCCTTTCCCTCCCCCCCCCTTCTGCCTTCTCATCCCCTCCCCACTCACCCCCCATTGTCAAGGGGCCTTTTCGGAGGAGGAGGGCAGCCGGCTCCGTAGAGCGCAGTAGATCATCGGTAGCAAAGGCAATAGCAGCTTCCGCCTCAGGGAATGTGACCCGTGGGTCAGGACCCGTTGCACCGGACCCTGCCGCACGCTTGCGGTTAAGTCGTTGCTGTTGCTTCTCGAGGGGTCCAGGGAGGGCGCCCTGGACGGGCCCAGCTAGCCTTGTCGGCTCCAGGAGGGGAGTACGGTCCTGTACGACAGTGAGGGAGAGTGAAAGTGAGAGGGGGCGATGAGTGGGTGTGGAGTGTGTGGGAAGGGGTGCCCAGCGGGTTGGAATGACGCGTCGGCTAAACACACACGGTCCGGGTCGTTCCGTACCTGAAGCCACTCCCTGAGGTGCCCGGTGGGGATGGTTGCACCTGCGCACATCAATAATTCCATGATAAGGGGAGGACAGTACGGGGGTCATGTACGATATGGCGGGGTTATGTACGGCAAGACAAGGTAGAAAACACGTGTTTTGACACGTTAAAAGTCAATGGTGAAGTGGCGCACCCTGCTGATCGTGTGTCACGGAACGTCGAGCCGGCCCTTGTGCAGTGATGACACGCCGCCTCCCGGGCGCCGCTGCCGCCGCCGCCGTCGCTGGCCCCTCTGTCGCCGTCGCCGCCGCCGCTGGTGCAACCTCCGCGGCAGCGTCCGCTGCGGTTCCCGTCGCTGCAGCTGCCGGTGCCGCAGTTGCGGCCACCGCCACCGCCGCCGCTGCTGCAGCCGCGGCGGCAGCAGCGGAGCGACGCGTGGTCATGCGTCGCGGCGGCGAGGGTGCAGGAACCGCAGCGGCGGCGGCGGCGGCACCGGTGGCGGGACCACCAGCCTCCGCCTCCACTGCGGCCGCCGCCTGTCTCGCGGAGGGGGCTGCCTGCCCGCCTCCGCTGCTAGCAGCCTGGCCGCCACCACTTTCCGCTCCCGCCTCAGCCGCCGCTGCCGTACCATGGGCAGCGGCGCTATCGCCAGGAACCGTCCGTGACGCGCTCATAGCGGGCTGAGCCGCCGCGCCTCCGCCACCACCTAGCGAAGGCGCGGCCGCCACGGCGGCTGCAGCGGCACCGCCGCCACCATCGACTTCCATGGCGTCGCCGCCATCGCCATCGTCGGCTGCTGTACCGCGGCGGTCAGTGCTCAATGCTGGCGCGGAAGTGGCCCTCACACCGCTGCGCGCCGCTTCCGCCGCTGCACCGGCTGCCTCGGCGTCGCCGCCACGGCGCCGTACCCCGCGGTGAGCGCCGTTGACAGCCTCACCCGCCAGGTCCTCCCGGCCCTGCTGCACGGCCGCCGCCGCCGCCGCAACTGCGGCGGCTTGCAATGGCGATGAGCGGCGCGCGCCGCCGCCGCCGCCGTCATGCTCGTCCTCATGCTCATCCACCTCCGGCGGCATGTCGTACGGGTCTGCGTTGCCAGCGCCGCGGTCCATCGCCGCCGCCGCTTCACGGAAGTCTTCGGCGGTGAAACTCGCCGCTCGTGACGCCGCCCCGTCGCCGCCAGCTGCGCCGCCGCCGCTTGCGACCGGCGCCTGTACGGCGGCTGCGGCTGCGCCGTCGCCATCACCAGGCTGCTCTTCCGAAAGTCCAAGATCCATTTCCAGATCCAACGCGCCGGCAGCGCCGTCAAGACCTAGGTCAGGAAGAAGCTCCCCTAGCCGCGGTCCCGCCGTCGCCGCTGCTGCCGTACTCCGCCGCCGGTGGACGCTCAGACCCGGCGTCTCTTTCTCCCGACTAACGGCGCCCATCAGTCCGCTACTTGGACTTCCGCCAGAACCAGTGACGGCATCATCATCACCACCGCGGCCACGTGTACGACGACTTGCGGCGAGTCCGCCGCCGCCGCCGCCGCTGAGCTCGCCGCCGAGCAGCGCCGCCAGGTCGGCGGCGCCGTGACGGCCGCCGCCAGAGGCCTCCGAGGCAGGTGCGGCACGGAGGCGTTCAACCTCAACGTCTTCGAGGTCGAACTGAAAAGGTGCACCGGCGTCTTCAAATACCTCCATTTCCACATCACCGCCGCCACCGCTGCCGCCGGCGGCGTCGCCAAAATGCGCCGAAGGAGCAAACATCAGACCGAGGCTGTAACCACCCTGCGTTTTAGGGTTTTAGGGTCATTTCAGAGGTGGATTGAAAGTGTGTCATTTACGAGGTGTGTTGAACAAATCCAAACTCATGGAGAAAAAGCCTTCAAGCTTCAACAAAAACGGGAAAATCGTTCGTCGCGAGAGCAAAACAGTATGGGCGGCGCAATTCCATTTTCTCCCTTGCAATTTCTCCCTTGCAAAGTGAGAAAACTTGGAAAACCCTCTTCAGGAAAAAGTGAGGAAAAGTTGGATGGAGGAATGTTTCGCGACCCTCCCTCAGTCCCTTTTTTTTCTAACTCATCATGTGACGTCATTTATTTATATTTTTCTAATATTAGCACTCTCTAACAGAGACAGAATCCACCATGACGGCACCCTCCTCTCGGGCCTCCCGAGCACACACACCCCCATGCCAACACAACATACCCCCCCCCGCCACCCTCACTACCTGCAAGCCGCTGGCGCTCGGGATCGTCACCAAACTAATACCCCGACTGGCAGTAGTGGTGGCAGTAGCAGCTGTACGACGACGGGTGCGGCCCGCGCCATCGCCAGGTTCGCCCTCCAACAGCCCCAGCGATTGCGACTGTGATTGCTGCAGCAGTTGCAAGTCCGCAGCCATGGCTCCGAGGGCCATGGCTGGCTGTAACGCCCGCATGTCGTACTGGTCACCTGACGATCATAATACGGCAGTCGAAAAACGTGTATTTGAATTCACAGGTGGGAGGAGGGGACGGGAGGGAAGTGGAGAAGGAGGAGGGGGGTGGGGGCAAAAACGTGCCGACACGCCGTTTTTTTACGGAAAACACATCCCCCGAAACCCCGCCGCCTCGAACTTTACCCCACCCCTCCCCCCTCTCCCGCACCGGCCCCGCACCTGCTAGAAGCTCCACCTCGTCGAGGTCGTCAGGCAGCATGGTCAGCTCCAATGGCAAGGTGTATACGGGCGCATCGGCGTCGGCGGTGCCGCCACGGCGGCGTTTGGCGCCTGCCGCGGCCGCCTTGCCCAGCGCCGCCATTTGATCTGGCCTACATACATGCATACATACATGTGAACAAGGAAAGGGGAAGACAGACCTGGATGTGACAGCAGGGATTGCTGAGCAGGAGGAGCGGAGAAGAAGCAATAAGAGAGATATTAACACGGACGGCCGCCGCATCAGCAACCACCACTATCACCACAATGGCACCACCACCACTGCCACAATCTCCTCCACCACTTGGGCCATACCCACAGAACAATGCTATTATCATCATCATTATATTATTATTATCATTCTCACCTAAAGGCCAGACGGATCTTCACCAACACATTTTGGCAGTCCTAAGGGTTCGTCGGGGAAGGGCGGGTTGTGTGTGTGTGGGGGGGTTGGTCCCGGGGGGGAGCGGGGAATAAGATGGGCATAAGATGGGGGGAACAGAGGTTAGAAAAAAAAGACAGGTTGATGTACATCCGTACAGATAATAGGCAACGCGGCTTCGCGAGGTAAACCAAAAAACCTGGGGCTGCATCACTAGCATAGCAGCAGCAGCAGTTCAAGGCGAGCGCAGTAATAAAAAGTGAAATTCCCCGATTACGTATCTTCCCCCCATCCTCCCCTGCTATTCCCCAAACCCAGCTACCTCTCTACTCCCGCACACACATATACATACATACATGCACACGCACCTGTAGCAGGTATTCAACCTGGCGAGAGTAAATACGGCACACCCCCAGCAGTAGCTGGCCACTCAGCCTCAGAGCCAACGGGGTTTCCGGAGACAATAACACGTCCACCGTGTCGCGAATGGAGGCTTCGTCCACCTGGTTCGGGGTATGTACGAGTGGTTGGTTTGTCGGTTAGGTTGGTTGTCTAGTAGGAATGATAAGAAGAGGGAGAGTACAGGCAGGAACGAGGACGGAGGAAGGAGCGGTCCAGGGGGAAAGCGCGTGAAAGGTATACATAAAGGTGTATATATATACATACACACACACATATATATACGAAGATTTGTACCAGCACACCATCTGCTGTTGGCAGTTAGTAGTTGACAGTTGGGTTCCCCCATTTGAGGGGCTCTACCGAATTACCGAAATGTTTCGTTTTTGAGTCCCTCAATCACCCCATGGACCCCCCACATATAATAGACATAATCGGTAACTATAAAAACATATAACGTAATATATACAATTATATGTGGGGGGTTCCATGGTGTGAGTGAGGGACTATATTAGGCATATAAAATACAATATATATCCCTGATATCCCTTGATTACATTTGCTCCAAATCCATTTACCCCCCCCCTTTCCTTTCATATAAGGCCCGCAGCCCGCCCAACCGACCTCACCTCACTGCGCTTCAGACCTCGGTCCATGTGCGCTGCCATCCACACAAGCCCCAGGGGCCCCTTCCGAGCCAAAATCTGGGTAGAATAAAACATGGCTCAACAGTGCGCAAATTCCCCTCGCTCTTCCTTCTGCGTGGGCGATAGCCGGGATTGACGATGGCGAGGAAAGCGGGGAGACCTGCGGAATGGCCCTCGCCCTGTCCTGGCCTCCGCTGCCTCCGGGTATGCTAATGCTGGGATGCCGAAAGAGTTATGGTCGCTTGTCCTGAGCTGTTGCGGTCTAGGGTTGTTTTGTTGTGTCTGTAAGTGTCCGTGTGAACAGTCGTAGTGATGGTGGGCGCAAAGGAGTGTTCGACTCCGCAGATTTATGAGGCCGCAGCTTGTGAGCTTCGGAGAGCTGGGGAGGGAAGGCGAGAGTGGGTGAGAGCGCGCTACAAGAAAGATGAGGAAAGGTGGCTCTTGCTGCTGGGATTGATGTCTCGGTTGTTGGCGATTCGACAAAAGGACAAAGGCTCCTTCCAGTTCTGGCGTATGCTCTCGCTGTGAGGCAGTTTATACCAAAAAGAGCCAGAGAGGACAGATAGTATGTGCCGAAAGGGCCCGGAGGTGATGGAGTTTGAGTCCTGCCGATGACAGGTTCGCAACTGCGGATGGCTAAATCCACGCTCCCGCGTCGAAGCGCGTGGCCGTTTCCTCAACGCGACCTTGTTGCTCGATACCCAGGGGAAAATTGCTAGTCTTGCAGGTGCGCAAGCTTAAGGCTCCTGCAGGTGGAGTGTTCAGGTTGACAGAAGAAAGCAAGCCCTTAAGGAATCGCCAGCATTCCAGTATTTCAATAATGAGCATTCTGACCATCGTGATAGCTGCCAGCATTAACAGAATGAAGTGAAAAGGTTGTCAAGACTCTATTTCCGTTGTGCGGGCGACGAGGCCCTGCATTCCCCCACTTACGTCATTCAAGTGCTTTCCATAAACCCAGAGATTGAAATTTTAATCCCAAGCTCTGAGGCATAGGCGACGATAGTCAAGGGACGCAGGCTCCCGTCTGTCAAACGCCAGAAAGGTCGATGATATGCACTAGGGAGGCTGTTAGACAATGCTTCGTACGATCGCGTCTTCTCCTAGTTCGTCATGGAAAAATTAGCAAAAGTGTAAGGGGCCTTTGCGGATGTTTCAGTTCGGCTTGACGTACGACCATTTCACGCGCTCCATGATTTAAAAATCCCTAAATTACACCATGGCCTTAAACAGGCCGCTCTATGAGGATACCTTTTATTTGTGATATTCCTATAAAAGTTGATTCATTTTTCCCGCTGCTCGTAATTGGATACCAAATGCCTCAGACCGGCACGCACTGTCCCCGATAACTGCTAAGAGAAAACTTGTTTCTACCAATAGATGCCTAGCTAACTGATCCAGTTGTCCAGATCAGAACGTCTTGCTGAAGGATTTCAGCGCAGACGTCCATCGTCAAGGGGCTTCCCTGCCCGTATGCCTCATTGTCCGTATGCCAGGTGCTGTGCGTGGCTGCAGAACCTCTGCCATTAGCGCATAGTCCTTCTAAGCTCTCACCAAAAGAAACGGCCCGCTTCTGTGCATGAACTAGCCCGTGAACAGCTGGCATAGTCGGCACTGTTTGCTTTTGGCCGCAAATCTGCGAATGTTGTGTACTCATCGACAACTACGCACACAGCGTGAACAGCCTTCATCCCCATTCGTCTAATTAAAGGCGGTCAAGCACACAAGTGCTGCTGGATGCAATCCCGGTAGTAGGGCTGATTTTGTTGTATGCAACATGCCCGCCAGCCAGCCGGGATAAGTGAACCTTAGATGTGGCAGTCTCCATGTAATTTGTGTTCATGCATTACGGGTAAAAGAATGCATATCTCACCCGGCAAAACAGCAGGTCCTCCGGGCACCTAACACCCTCTCCCCGCGCTCCCCCAAGCTCAAGCTACACTGCTGTTGGGTTGTACTGCGCAGCGGGCTATGTACCGCACTGCGTACAGAAGTTGGTATGTACGAGCGTACACCCTGACCATGATACCATGATGACGTTCATGCAGGTGATATACAGGATGTATTTTTAACAGTCCGCCCCTCAATGCTTCAGTAGGACGCATATACACTTTACATAACGAAGTACCAGCACTGCGTGAAGCCGTACAGTTGTCCGAAGGACGTTGCAACACTACCAAAACTTTATCCCATCCGCCTCACAACGCCTCACTGTTCACTTCACCGCTCCCCCCAAACAAGAAGAGTCTCCTTATTCAACTTCCAATGAGTCTTTTCTTCTTCTTTATCATCATCTCGTTCTTTTTGTTCTTCTTTTTCAACTTCTTGTTCTGCAACGGATTCAAAAGAGGACCTGGAGTTGGTGCGCCACATCGAAAATCCTACATATAGACACACATACAGACAAATATATACATACAGATACACGCACACAACAAAAAAAGACACAGACAAAGACGCAAACATACACTCAAGAGACACACACACACACACACACACGCGCGCGCACAAATTCGCAAAATGTAAACACCGCATTCGGCCCTAACCTAACTCTAATTTAATCAATGTCTAGGACTCCAGCTTCACGTTCACGCGGTGCCAGGCGTTGTTAACAATCCCACGAAGGTTCCAAATGGGCCCGATGGAATCCGGCTGGTTGTTGTACGACGAGTCCACGGCCTTGCACACGAGCTCCAGGGTGGGGCTTGAGGTGCCCTCGGCGGCGGCGGCTGGTTTCGGAAGTGGCAGTGTCGCCTGCGACCACCACCACCGCGACCACCACCATCACCCGGGGAGGGAGGCTGGGTGTTAAGAGCCTTCGAGAGGGTTTGTCTTTTTGAAAAGACAGCTTTCTTTGCGAGAGATGGTTGGGAGGTTCGGGTGATTTAATACTAGCAAAAGTCATTTCGGGGGTCATGTTTTTAGCTTCATGAATTTTAAAAGGGATTACGCGGGAAAGGACCCACCCCTCTTCAAACCCTACAATTCACTTACATCCCCCCGAACACACACACACACGCATACACACGCATACATGCACATATCACCCCCCACACACACACACAGCTCACCTCCCACAGCGTCCAGGCCCAAGCCCCCGAGTACGACCCATGTGGAGGCGCTCCAGGGGCGGGTGGCAGCAGCTTGGCGGCGGTCCAGGACTTTCCCCCGTCAGCCGACACGTCCACTCGGATGATGCCCCGACCGCCGCCGCTCCAAGCGTAACCTCGGAGTGTGATCTGTTTATGCGTATGTATGTATATATGTAAGTATGTAAGTAAATATGTAAATATGTGTGTATGTACATTTAAGAATCCTCACCTCCCTCCCAACCCCCCTCACCTCCCCATCTGCCAGGCTAACGGAGGTCCCGGGTGCAGGCTCGCAGATGGCGCTGGTGACCGGGGGCTCCTGATACACACACACACGTGTGTGTTTGTGTGCGTGGGGGGGAGATGTGAGGGGAAGGAGTAAGCGGGGGAGAGGAGGGTTTTAGAGTATACGTAAGTAGAAAGGGAAGTCTGAATATCGGAGTGGATGAGAGCGACTGTCGTACCTCTGCCGGATTGGAATGGACGTGCAAACGAACAAACAGACAAACAAACTAGCAAGCAAACATAGTTAATAAAGGCGAACCGAATCACCTCACAAACACACTATCGACTTCTTCCCCTCATCATCCAACAAATCTTTACTCCCCTTCAACCTCCGAAAACACATGCACACACACGCGCGCACAATTCCTGGTTATATTGTTCTTTTTATAGGTAATGGAGAATCTTCTTTTTTTCAAAAACAGGTAGTCACTCAAGTTACTTGCATAAAAGCAAAACCAAACATGCGTGATTCGCACACATGCACAAAAAAACTGACTCCAGGCCCCCTTTTCCCCTCCCGCGTTTTCGACACCCTCGCCCTCCCACCTGCAATGCCGGTGCACTGCCCCACTCGACACTATCCCAGTCCACGGAGGGGTTGAAGGCCTTATAGTCCCTTTGCTGCCAGTGGCTGGGGGACTCGGAGGAGCTAGGCACGATGCGGCCTAAGTCGGCGGGGGGGGGGGAGGGAGGGGGGGAAGGGGGGGAAAAACGAACCACGAGCGAGTGAAGCAGATACCCGAGCTACTCGGGGAATGTACAGATAAGGGGTGTGTGTGGGTTTGGGTTGTTGGATTTGGGTGAGGAAGTTGGTTGGGAGGATGGGGGAGAGGAGAGAAGGGGGTCAAGTTCGTTAAATGGACATGCACACGCACATACACACGCACATACATACACACACATACATACATACATACATACACATACACGTACTCACGTAGCCACTTCACGCTCCGCGCCCCCGTCACCCCGGGGACCACCACTCGTAGCGGTGCACCGTGATCCGCGGACAGGGGCTGCCCGTTCATCTCGTACGCCAGCAGTACATCGTCGTACAGCGACAGGGCCTTGTGCAGTGGGATGGACGCGCCGTATATCTGGTCGAGTAAAAGGGAGGTCGTGGGTGCCGTATGGGGGGTGTAGTTGTGGTGGTGGGGCGGGGTGTGTGTGTATATGGGGGGGAACAGGTACGGTATTTTGTAATTTTTGTATTCTTGTATTTTGTATTTTTTGGAGAACAATGAAAAACACCTCGGAAAAGGCTGCTTGTACCGAATAAGTGGTGTTACCCATAAGCGACGTTTACCCCTCCCCCCCCTCCCCATCTCCCCCCCCCGCAACCTGCACCCTTTCCCCCCCCCAACACACAGACAGTGTGGGGCGCACAAAACTCACCTCCTCGGACGCCGGGTCCTTGTCGTACCCCTCAAACTGGATGTGTCGTACATGCATGTCATCCTCAGAAAGGCCTTATGTGCCACCACGTGCACGGGAGGCGACACAGGAGTCGGTGGGTGGTAGTGGAGAGAGGCGACGCGGGGAAAGATGTTAGAGGGAGGGTAAAAGAACATCAGGGGGCAACAACAGACGCCAACCCCCCCTAATTTTTAAACTGATGTGCGAGAGGGGCCCTATATGTGGATCTTGATACCTATATATGTGTATTGAGATGCATAAATGCAGGCGGAGAGGAGGGCCCTATATCTAATCAACATCTCGTACAAGGGACCTGGCAGGCAGGAGAGGGCCCTATGCCTAGTAACAGCACCTTCCCCTTCCCCTTCCCCTCTCCCTCTCCCTCTCCCTCCCCCTCCCCCCACCCGCACCGAGGGGTACCGCGCAGGGGGCTTATGCGTTGTGTCCCTGCGCCCAATACCAGAGGGGCCCTATGTGCGCCCCCTGCCGTACCTACCTGCCGCCTGGGGGGTATTGACGAGAGGGGTTTCGGGTGGAGTGGGGGGGAAGAGGGGTTATTAGGGTTTTACAAAGGAAGTACAAAAACGACACGGACGAGAACGGAATGGGGAAGTGGAGGAGAGGAATTTGAATTGGAAAAGATGGGAAGGAATTATCTCATATATAATTTCATATAATTTATATAACATAAAAATTTGATAAACATGTGTGTGCTGTAAAATGCGAAACAATGGGCGCCGAGGAGGGGGGGATAGTGCAAAACAACATACGACGATCAGCCCTTCCCTCCGTACCTGGTCCGTACTCGTATCCGTCCGTCCGTACTAATAACAAATAGACCCTCAGCCCCACACACCCGAGTGACCAACCCGACGGTAAACAAACACGCCCCACGCCCCACCTTGAGCACGTCTCGTAGCCGTACGCCACCCCAGACTGCCGTACCTGTACGACAACATTACAAATGACAAGTGGGTGAGCAGTAAAACAGTTGAGGTGAGAACACAAACACACATATACACACGCATACACACACATCCCCCCAACCCTCCCAATCCCCCCCAACCCCACCCCCAACCCCCAACCCACCAATGGCTCCTTGGTCCCAGGACAGACCCTTCACATGTCGTACTAACGACATCTCGTTGCGACGGTTGCCTGAATAGGAAAGACAATTATGCGGCACGGTAAGAGTACGGCAGTGTATGATAGTGAAGAACCGGGCCCGACCAGTACGGCATGGAGAGCAATATGGGAGTAAGGGGTGACGACGGTATCGGCATCGACATTCGGCATCAGCGGCGCCAGGGCAATCAAAACATGGCGGAGGGGGCGGGTTGCGAGACTGGGGGGAAATGAGTACCAGCAGAAGTACGAACAGGAAGGGGGAATACGAATGAAACCACCATGAAAAACAATATTTTGTTTTCCTGTATCCCCATCTTTTCTTTCCACACAAGTTCCTACCCTCGCCTCGGTTTACTAAAACACACACGCTCCCTCCCCTTCCTCTCCCCCTTTTCCCCCTCCCGACCCACCCGAGCACTGAATGGTGGCCGTAACGGTGTGTTTTCGAAAGCGGCTCTTCAGCTCCTCCAAGCTGAGCTCCAGAGAGCGGATGCCCTCCCCCTCAACCTGTGCGGGACGTGTGCGTGTGTGTATGTGTTTTTTTTGGTTGTAGGTGGTTGTAGGTGGTTGTAGGTGGTTGTAGGTGGTTGTAGGTGGTTGTAGGTGGTTGGGAGTAGGAGCGGAGTAGATGCGACGTGCAGGCGGGGGTCGGAGGGGATTGGTGGGGGTGGGTAGGAGAGAAGGCGAGAAAGGTACAACAAGATCTGAAACCGGTGGGATCCAAAGAAAGGACCATTCACCATTACCGCCACTACCACCACTATCGCAATCGTACCTTGAGCTTGTACGACGCGGCGTCAACGTGCGGTACAGGCAGGTGGTTTCGTACAAAGAAAATCTCGTTGGGGGTGATGGGGCTGGCAGCCAGGAGAGTGCCAGGGGTTTCGCCTGTCGTACGATCGTACAAATAAGAGACACGCACACGAATACCCTTAGGATGCGTTTCGTCCTCTGGTGGCAGCTGCCTTTCCCCACCTGGGCGGGGTGGTGGTGCACTTCTCCGAAACCACTTCCACCCAACGGGGACTAGGGACTTGGCAATGCTGTTCCCGAATGCGCCCATTCCTGCTTGCGTGGTGCTATGTGTTTTAGGTATGTGCTTCTCCTCCTCGCGCTCTTCCCCGCGAAACACACGCCCCGCTACATACATACATACATACATACATACATAGATACATACATACGTACATACAGCGTTACACATGCACACATCCGTACGCCCCCCTCGAAAGCTTCGTCCGCTCTTAAAAGGTGTAAATGCTGTACACACCGCCTTGCTACCTTGCATTCGTCTGCCGTACATACCCCATCCTCGTATCCCAGCCGTACCATTGTACGGCCGCTCTGAGCGGGGAATGAACGACGGGTGGCGAGCTGGGTCGGAGGCGTACGGATCCACAGCGGCGGCGGCGGCGGCGGACGCAGCGGCGGCGGCGCCGCCTGTCACGTGTCGCACCGGATTGAGTGACGCAGCGGGGTGGTGGTGGAATGACGGTTGTCGGTTGGTGTGCGCGCGTGTGCGTGTCGTGGAGTGTAAATACACCATACATTGCATTACCCCCAAAGGAAGCAACTCTATCCAAAAATACCACAAAACTATCCAAAAAGTAAATATTCAAGAAAACCCAACTAAAATAAAAATAGCAAACAAGGATGAGAGAAAGAGGGAAAAGGATGTCGATTGGAATTTGGCTGAGGCCCATCTGGCGGGGGGTTGGAGGGGAAGTGGTGTGTGTAGGTGTGTAGGTGTGTGGTAATTGTACGCACACACACACACCCCTTCCCCGTTCCCTCCCTTGAGCCTCCTGGCTCAACCCCCCTTCCCCCTCTCTCTCCCCCCTCAGTTCTGCTCGCTGCACATCCGCCGCAGCACTCATTCCCCGGCAGCAGCTTCACTCGCTCGTGGTTCGTCTTTTCCCCCCTCCCTCCCTCCCTCCCTCCATCTCTCCATCTTTCCTTCCGGCTCCCCGTCCCTTCCCTGCTCGCATGCGATTCCCCCCGTCCCTGCTCAACCTGCCACCCTGAGCTCAACCCCCCACCTCTCCACACCCCTCTCCCACCGACCTTCCAAAGTGCCAATTCTGTACGGCTCCAAGATCCCGAGCACCTCGGGTTTACGATGTTGCTGATATAAGGCCCAGAAGGGCTCCACACTGCCTCCCGCGGCCAACATAATTTTGGACAGACCTGACCGGGTTGGTTGGGTTGGTTGGGTTGGTTGAGGGGGCGGGAAACGTGGTGATGGGATGGGTGGGGGGTTGGGGTTCTGGTTGGCTGAGCTCGGGGTGAGTGCAAACACACAAGCAATGCAAAATGGCAATGACGGCACGTACCCCGCCATAGCATTCAGGTAAATCGGGGAAGAGGCGGGGTGGGGTAGCGTGTGCGTGTGGGTTTTAGGGTGATTGAGGGGATTTTGGGGGCCCTCGAGATTGCCCCTTTCCCCTCCTCTCCCTCTCCCTCTCCCTCTCCCGCCAAAGATTATCGAAACGACCGGTCCCCACCAATTCCTACAAACTGACCTCCCGGATGCATCTCCACGAACTGCTCCAAAACCATCCAGATATCGTACAATTATCCGTACATGCCGTACGTCGTGGATGTACATGCGACATCGGCAAGGGCACAGCAGGGTGACGTGGCTGTCATTTGCCGCACATAGCCGTATGGATAACTGTGTGTCGGCTAAGGAAAAACGACGTGCCCGGTGACGCTGTGCATATCCGTGTGTGTATGCGTTACAAAACACCTAAGTACGGTACGGCGGGTACCGGCTGTCACGTGCATAGTTGCTCCATGACCGTCCCCCAGTTTCCAGGTACGGCATGTGTTTTCCAACCCGCCCACCAGCTTCTCCTCCAGCTTGGGCCCCCACTGCTGGGGAGGACATCTTTACCCCCCAACATACACACACACATACACACACACGCACACCTGCTCTGCCCACCCCTCCTTGACATCCTCTTCCCCACACTCCCCTTTTCGACCTGCCGGGGCCATCCCGGCCCCAACTAGCAACCAGAATGGAGCCCCCAGCAGGTTCGAGACGTGTTCTTGCCTCCGTAATGTCGTACACGCCCTCCTTGTACGTCACCCAGATGCGGTCCCGCGGTGTTTTGTGTTTCGCTACCTCCTCCCGCGTGTAAATGGGCCGACCCTTGTCGTCCCGAAGGTCCTTAGAAGGGGATGCTGCAGGAGCCGCGGGCTCTTCCGCGGGCACGACAGGCTGGGGCTTTTCGGCGGGGGGGTGGATCTTGGACGTGGACATGGCGGGAGCTGGGGGCTTGCTGCCAGGCAGGATAGCAATCTCTTTCTTGGCAGTGGCCGGAGCTGGAGAGAGCATCGCTGCAGCCAGCAGCGTCGCTCCAGCTCCAAGTAGCTGAATAACGCGTTGCTGTGGCCAAGAGCTCCATGCTGATGCTGATGCTTCGGATTTCGCTGAGGTTTGGTAGTTTCGCGCCGTAGCAGTGTAACATGATCTTAGCAATTCCATTTGTCCTGCTGTCTCGTTTAAGGCAGCAGAAGCTGCTGGCAAGAGCCACCTGGGTTGGCCCAGTCGGACCACACCCTGAAGCCTAACCATTTTGCGTTTTGGAATTACCGTTAGTCAGTTTACGATTTAGAAGATTACACAATGGAATAATGTATTTCACGAGCTGCATGTTTTCGTCAATGATTGGCCTGGTTCCGGAACAACTCGGCCTCGACCGAATAACGCAGCGTAACCTGAAGGCTTTGATACCATATGACTGAAAAGAAAGATTATTACTGGTTGCTAGGAATTATTTTATAAAGCCTGTAGGCGCAACAGCTGTCGGCGGACGTGGACAGCTGTATGTGCCACAGTCTTCAGTATGCGCCTCATACGGAGACAGTCCTCGCTTTACGCGTAATGCTTCTAACGTCATACATCAAAGCTTATTTCATAGGACATTACTACGGCTAGATGTGCACCGGCCAGTTACAATTTGTTTTCACGAAAAGCTCTGCAACTGCTCTGCCTTACTGCGGCATGGCAGCCAGGCTACTGCTGCACATACGTATGACAGCTTATGCAGGGGCAGAGCGCCGATGTATGCCGCTAGTTGTATTGTGCGAGGCCTTGCGGCCAACCAGGTGAACCGGACTTTCAGGATGGCTGGGCCGCCTTCTAGACGAACAGCTAAAGGAGGCGGCAGGCCATCAACACCTCGCAAGTCTATTAATAAGTTGTTATAAGTTACAAGTTCCGCACAAGTGCGGAGGGCGTCTGCAGAAGTCGAAAAGGGGCTCCCATAATACAGTTCCTCCACTTGCAGCCCAGTGCCGTACAGCCTCTCCTGCGGAATACTGCGGGGTGACTGGTTGCACCAGGGCCGAGCCCTTTTCAGCGTCGGAGAAGCTGACTACCCTAGTCACAAACAAAACACGTGTGTATGCATTTCTGCATGTATGTATATATGCTACCGCTGATTCAGCCACCATCAGCCAGCAGAACTCCCCCGCTGTAAATGACCACCATCAATCCGCCACATGTACATACACACACACCGTCCAACCAAGCAAGCCACATCAAGAGTAGTCCAGCAGTAGTGCTAGCCAGCAGCCAGCGGAGATACAGCTTCGAGAACAATTCATGCAGTTGGGTGGCCGCCGTACTTTCTTTACCACAAGTGAACTGCTGACTCTTAAGGGTTTTTAGGGGTTTAGGGGTTTTAAAACCCTTAAATCATTCCATGCCTGCAGCAGTTGTCAACCAACAACCAGCTACGTGTACATGTAGTACCTGTCCACCACAAGTGCGGTACACTTCCGACCAGTCCTGGTGGATCCGGATCCAAGAAACGGCCATATATACACACCCAAATGGCATATATCCATCTAATAATACAACGCAAGGAAGCAAAAAGGATCTCGACCCAAATCAAAAGAAGACCCAGACGACGGTGCGAGGGCCATCCTCGTCCTGACCAGCAGTAACGGTACACCTCCGTAAGGGCCATGCATACAGGGCCATGCGTATTCACGTCGCATGTGCGTGTGAACGTGCGTTTCAATACAGTTGCTTGCAAGGAACGCATGTAGACCGCGACAGCCGCCGCCTCGCTGAACCTGCTGGCGTCATAAGGCCTATAGCTATAGCTAGCTGCAGCGGTCCAAATTGTAAGAGGTAATATAGGGAGAGGGGAGTCATAATAAGACGGAGGCAGGGCCGCAGCAAGGATTCCATTAGATAGTCGAAATGATTACTCGCATATGGTGGCTATTTTAAAGGGACGCGCACCTTAACACAGCGGCAGCGGGCAAGGCAGGTCTGAGCAGTCCACAGCACGCAATAACCAAAAACACATACCCGTAATGCCGGCCATTGCGCAGGCCGGTTATTATGTCTTCGGCGAGCAACACAACTCAAGGTGTAACACACATACATACATACATACATACAAGTAATAATATCAAGCAAGCAAGCCGTTGACGCACACACACACCCCGTGTGCGTACCTGCTTGGTGATTTTGACTAAATTAATACATTACCTACATATTATTACGTATTGCCGTAGGTGTTGGTGACTGTGGCGACCGAAAACGACCCAGCGCCGGGAAGGAACCCCGCCAGCCAGCCACTCCAAGAATACTACACATACCGTCGTACTAAATATCTCATCATCACGCCAGCAGTCGCGTTGGACGATATATACATACGAGTTAGCGGCGGGAGGCCATCAATAAAAGCCGGGGCCCCATTATCATTGCGGCACCGAGTGAGGGTGTCAATGACGTCCCCCGTATCTCCTGCTCACTTGTGCTCGGCAATACATGCTACTCGAGCTCTCAGCAGCTACAATAAGATGGTAATAAGTTGCTCGAATCATTCGTGGCGTGACCTATGCTGCTGGGAACTTGTCGGTTCCAGCCGGCGTGGCCGCTTCCAGCGGGGTGAATCTGGCTCTGATGAAAAGCCGTCGGCACCACTGCTGCCCCCGCTCGCAGCGGTGGGGGTTGCAGCCATGGGCACGTCACAGCAGCAGCAGGCCGACGGCGACATTCGCAGCTCGCAGTGCTGCCACCCATGCTGATGCATCACCAGCTCCAGCAGCGGCTCCTGCTGGTACTGCTGCTGCTGCTGCCGCTTGTTATCCAACAGCCGCTGCACCTGCTGCCGCAGCTGCTGCTGAAGCACCTGCTGCAATGGTTGCTGTGCCTGCTGCAGCTCTTGCTGTTTCCCAAGCCACTGCTGTTCCTGTAGCTCTTGTTGCTGTTGCTGTTGTTGCTGCGACTGCATGGATAGGTCGGGCAGGTGATTATCCGCAATAGATGCAAACTCGAGTCCTCGCTGGTCGCTGCAGGGCAAGGATGTGAATGCGGCGAGGGAGTGCACATTCCTGAAAGGCCTTGGTCCTGCTGCTGCTGACCCTACTACTGTTGCTGCTGGCCCTGCTGCTGCGTGTGGTGGCTGCTGGCCCTTCAACACCTGAGCTAACTGCATGACCATTGCCTGCCGCCGCCTCTGCTGCTGCTTATCGTAGTGCATGGTAGTACCAGCAGCTTTGGTAGGGGACGACACATCGGCTGCCTGCTGCCTGCCTGCTGCTTTGAAGGTCTCGAAATTGCATGTCATGACACGCGGCTGCTGTGCAGGTACCAGCACGCCTGTAAGAGGCTGTCCCGCAGCCCCTGCCGTACCACCTGCCATAGTCTTGATCAGTCCAGGCATCCCAACACGACCACTGCTAGGTCCCCGAGATCCTTTTCCAGCATCAGCAGCAGCACTGGACTCTGACAGGCTGGCCTTGGCAGCAGTGGAGGCTGCTGCTGCTGCCGTCGCGACAGCAGCAGTAGCAGTAGTGGCTGTAGCAGGTGTCAGCAGAGGTTTGCCGTACACTGACACACCAGGTAGCAGCTGCAGTAATGGCCGAGGCGGCCTTGGTTGCGACGGTGACAGTAGTACTGCTGCTGTGGGCCGCTGGAACGGAGTTGTTGTTAGACGTGGCTCCTCGTCCACCACTTCCTGCTCGTACTGGTGGCGGTGGCGGTGCTGCTGCTCAAGGCAGGGTGGTGACGCTGCTGGCGGTGGCATTGGGCACAACAGCATCTTCCTGGGCTCCCGTGATGATGGGCACTGCCGTACTGTTGCGGGTGGCTTTGGTGGCTTTGGCGGAGGTACTGGTGATGAAGTTGAGATCTGCTGCTGCCTCTGCTGCTGCTGCTGGCCTAGCTGCTGCTGGCCTAGCTGCTGCATGCATGATTCTGCTGCCTCTGCAGATCTCAGACCCCCCTTCGGCTCCCCGAGGACATCTTTACCATCACCACCACAACAAGCATCAGACTGCCTTTGCTGCTGCTGCTGCTGCTGTTGCTGTAGTTCAGGTGGCGGCATATGGTTCGGCACTTGTCGGTCCAGCTGCTGCTCCAACAGCAGTTGCTGCTGCTGCGGTTGCAAGACATATTCCTCCTGTTGCTGCAGTTTCTGTACAGGTAGCTGCCGCGGAATTTGTGGTGTTTGCCGTGGTGTCTGGTGTGGTGGCTGCAGCCACCGCTGCAGTAGCTGCTGCTGCTGTAGGAGCCGCTGCCGCTGCCGCTGCTGGTGCTGGTGCTGGTGCTGCAGTTGCAGTTGCAGTTGCTGCTGTGTGTCATATTGCAGCCGCTGCATCAGCAGCTGCTGCTGCTGCTGTCGCTGCTGTGGCTGCACAGGATGCTGCAAGGTCAGCACGGTTAGCAGCTTGGACTGCACCTGAAGAATCTCCTCAATCAGCCGCTCCTCAAACCGCACGAGAGTTTTAATCACATCCTGCAGGCAGTAAATTGTTTACACATCATACATACATACAGACATACATACATACATACATACAGACATACAGACATACATACAGACAGACAGACCCCCAAAACATTAGCAGGTAAAAGCATACACGGTCTTGTGCCAGACAAGTACACGAACATGCATGTCCATGCATGCAGGCCTTATTGTGCTATGGCATCATTCCTATTCCTTTTCTTGGGTAGTATATGTACCCCGTTTATAAGTTCTTTCGAACAGCCGTAGGCTGCAGGCCTTTGGGTCCCCTGGGGGTCCCGCCGGGTTATACACCAATTCAATTTACCTCTCAAGTCTCACTGGCGCGAATTTTAACACGTCACTGATGACTACGAATTTCGCTTCGGTAAGGCTATTCATGCATGTACCACACCATCGGCATTTTCCTCATCGCGGCTCAGATCAGACACACACATACAGACAGACAGACACACACATATCCTGTGGAGGTATATATCAATGCCACTAGCTAGCTGCATCCTCATTATTCTGACGCACATGGTTTACCCCTGCGTACCTCACCAGGCGCGTATTGATCCTTGCCCACCGCTGCCCCAGCTAATACAGCAGTATTTATTAGCTCGCCACCCATCAGGACTGTTACACAAACCTCCTAGCCTGAGGCCCACGAACCCACGCCCCTGTACGAACGAACCTGTGCTTGGGCCAGCCATGACACGAGCTGCTGGGCATGAAGCGCCAATTCAATGGCATTGACGCCCGCCAGGTTATCTTGGGATGGTGGTTGCCGTTGAGCTTGACTCATACCACCCCAGCCACCTCCTCCATCCGCATCCCCAGCAGGCCCGCCATAGCCACCACTGCCACGACCGCTACCACTGTCATCAATGTTACCATGCAAGGAGGTGGTAGGGCCACCGCCACCGCCGTCGCCTCCACTGCATGGGCTGTTGCTGCCGCCCATGGCATCCATGCTACCGCCGCCGCCGCCGCTGCTGCTCCCACCGCCGCCGTTGCGACCATCGCTACCTTTGCACAGAACGGCATCAACGTAGGCTCTTCTTGTTCTGCTGGTCGGGAAGGTCGCTGCCACCTGGCTGGCTGCTGCCGCCTCCAGCCCGCGCCTACCTGCAGGGCAACTACCACCATCACAACCACCGCCGCTGCCATCATTGCGGTGCTCACCAATAGTTGTACCACAGCCGCCGCCGCCAGCAGGACCGGTTTCGAAGCTGGTGTCGACATCAGCAGCAGCGCCGCTGCTGCTGCCGCCACAGCCACTCCCACCACTACTGCCGCCACCAACACCCGCACCGCCAGTAGCGCCCACTGCGAGCAGCAGCTCAGTCGGTGGCTGCACCTGCTGCTGCTGCTGCTGCTGCTGCTGAGCTACATCCTCCGCGGAGGAGATGCTGCCCACGGCGGAGGCCAGCAATGTGGATATCAGCTTAGGGTTCCTGAGTCCATGTGGTAAAGATAATCCCTGAAACGGGATGAAGGGAATAGCGATGTTGGGTTCAGCACCTGAGGAAGTAGCCCTGCCGCTGCTGCTGGGCCGCTTCAAGTTGCTGCTGGCGTTGCCAGCAGGTCCGAATGCAGCGCGAGTCGGGATGGGGGGTGATGAGGGGTCGGCGGCACCCCATTGAGTTTTACTCGCACTGGTACGGCGTGCTATTGACACGGCGGAAGTGGCAGCAGTTGCAGCAGCAGCAGCAACAGGTACAGCTGGGCCCGCAGCAGCAGCGGTAGCAGGAGCAGCAGTGGCAGCAGCAGCAGCAGGGTTGGTTAGAGATATTAGACGGATGTGGCTCGCCGGGTCTGGGAAGGCAATAGGGTTGGCCTTGTAGGAGGGTGGTGGTGATAGCGACGGCGATGCTGCTGGGGAGAGCGGTGGGCGTGGTTGCGGCTGGGGCTGCAGGCGGACCACATCAGGAGCGGGAAATGGCTCTCGGGCACCTACTGCTGCGGGTATTGAAAACAGACCCTGTGACTGCTGCGATTGCTGCTGCTGTTGGAAAGCGGGGGCCCAGCAGCAGTAGCAGTGCTAGCTGAAGCAACAGCGGCAATAGCTGCATCTGTACGGTGATGTGCAGCAGCGGCGCAGACGGTCAGAAGACTCCGGGAGGCAATGGAACCACCAACTGCATGCAAGGACAGCCAAAAAAACAATATAAGTATTATAAAAAACTTTTCGGGATCAAGATGTTCACTTCGTCGCCATCGTATAGTGGTCAGTATCCCCGCCTGTCAGCATAACTGGTGCGCGGGAGGCCGGGGTTCGATTCCCCGTGACGGCGGTTTGGTTTTGCTGGCGGCTGGCAGAGGTCAAGGTGTTGAAATGGGAGGTGGCCCTTCATCTTATGGACGGTGTAGGACGTGATAATATCAACTTGCGAGCTGACCAGGAACTAAGTTGAGGCGCCGTTGATCCGCTAGATTTGGTTGGATACTGGTGGTGAGTTGTTGAAATCAACGAATACATTCTGAAGTCGGATGGGGTGAACGCAGGGAACTGCCTCCAAGGGAAAGGGGGCCGCTGGTGAAGCTATACCACCCTGTAACAACATACATACATACATATATACACGCGTGGGTGTCGACCACAGCAGTGCACACCACGGTGTCTCTTTAGCACCCGAGTGCCGCAGTGAGTAAGTAAATGCACATAAAACAGTGATCGCTATCTCCTGGTTTGCTGGTTAGCAAGCGAGCAAACAAGCTATACACGTGGTACATTAGTCATGCCGTACTTGCTATCTGTCGGTATGTCGGTATGCGATCACCATCCTGGCAAATAAAGAAAGAGAAGCAAGGCCGGTAACGGAAAGACATGGATGCCATGGCAATAGACCATTATACCCGACCGCAAACCCCAACATGCAGCCAGCGGCACGACGGTGTCTTTCTGCTGCTCAGTGGCGAAGTGGCGAGGTGGCATTTGAGGTGCCTAGCCATGAAGTTAATGGATAGCCATGGGTTATAGCAATATGCTGGGCTATAAGGGTTTCAGCTAGATAGCCTGAAGGTTCGTTCGGTTGCCATCTTCGACTGGAGTACCCCGGGTCGTGCACATCACAAAGCCCACAAGCAACAAAGTGCAGCGTCCCGTGCTATTTTAAAATCTGAGAATCTGATATATGGAATCGTGTATGTATGTATGTATGTATGTATAACAGATGCGGCGTACCGTTGTGGTGCGCAGCACCGCCAGTTGCAACTTTGCCGGGTGTGAGCGATATTGTGGTTGAGCTCTTCATCACCATCCGGCGCTTGTTAGGGGCTACCGCCTCACCCGCAGCCATCTCGTCATCGTCTGCGGGGCCCCGGCGGTCCATGCTTTTGAGCGTTGGAGGTGATCGAGGTGGCATTGGTGGCGGTTGCCGCAGTGGCGGCGATGGCGGCGACGGCTGCTGCTGCTGCTGCTGGGGGAAGTGCGTCGGCCGCGGTGGCCTGCATGAAGACATACAAACATACATACGTGCGCACTGTATGTTGAGGAGGACGGATGCGGGCAATCACGGGAGTATGCGAGTGTGGCCAAGACAGGATAAAGGTAATCATAAGAGCCACGGTGCTGCTAGTTGGGGTGTGCGGTTCTGCTGCTGGTAACCTGGTATGCAGTCCTATCCGGATGCTTTGGATAACTCCTTTATGGCTTGTGGCAAAAACAAGCAAGTAGAAATCAAATTTCACCTACATGGGTGTTTGTTGATGAGTCCAAACACGGTGGCTGCAGTGCGGAAGCATGCACTTACACCATACAGCGATAGCGGCGAGGTAGGGGGTGGTTATTTTCGTCCACGGCGGACAAAAATGATGACCAGCTGGTGCCCAACTAATAAATTCGCTGTAAGAGAATTCTTACTTATCTATAAATTTGTTACGTATCTATTATGGTTGGTTGCAAAACAAATTGCGGGATGCGAGGCGAAGTGCACTCCTGCGTATGGCTTGCAACTCGCAAAATCGCAAGCCGCAAGAAATGCCATAAAAGGAAAGGATGAGGAAGGGTCCGGAGCGGCGGGAGTGGAGTTGCGAAAGCAGCAGCAGTTGACTGTTGAGAATCCTATACTCATCAATACCGGTAAACCGACGCCGCCGCCGCCCCGCGAACCTCACCTCAGGACGGCTGCTGATGCGAAGCGGTTGCCAGCGATACCTCGGCGAGTTAGATTCAAGGGCAGGAATGCATCCAGTGGGGAGGCCGGCGTCGCCATCTTGCTGCTGCTGCTGGCCATTCTCGCAAAAGCGCCCACGCGGAAAGGAGGCGCTGCGGCAGTTCCTAGTCCTGAGATATTAGAGCGCTCCCATATGAAGCTCTCTGAGTCTGGTGCTGCAGCGAACGATCGCTCGACGTCGTTACAGTCACATCGATCGCCCAAAGGGGTTTGCACGCCACTTTCCGCGCTCTTAAAATGCTCACTGGTTAAATTATTGCAACGTATTACAGGCCATGGTATGTTCGCCATGACTTCTGGCAAGTCGCTTTCTCGATCCATGCAATTTTTTGGATTGAGTAACGAACGAAGCAGCAGTATGTTGTTAAGTTTGTGGCGGGTGATAGAGATTGCTAGTTCACTTCACGCCATCAATCTGAGGGAAAGTTAATACAGAAAATGGTACTTATGGCCTTCGCTGCCGAACGCATCCTTCCGCTTGACAGCAAACTTCCGCTTGACAGCAAACGCCGGTAATCAGCTAATCACTTCTGAGACAGCGCTGGCTGTGCATAATGTCTGAAGGAACTACATGGAAGTTAGCTGCAACTTCGGGATAACACTCTGCCAACTATTCCATCACGATACCAGCAGGTTCATGCGCCGTACCGGCGCACACCGTGTTACAAAGGACGACAAACAGACGGGTACCTCACTCTTCAAATGAATTTCTATCCATGCCCATGTTAGCCGATCTATGTAGATGTGTTCGTCGGCGCATACCTACACCATCCTTCACTTTACGTACACCACCCTTTAGCTAGGGGTGAAACGAGCAGTATAGACACTGCAGATGATCATAAATTTAATTTTATATATAGCTTGAAACATGTCAATATTTCTGGAGGCGAATCGTCGACAGTAATTACTCAGACGTGAATCGGATCGAAACTTGATGCCTGCGCCAATAAGCATGGAAACATTTAACGTAATATGATAATTATTAATTTATGATAGGCGAGAGTGTCTGTGGCATGATATCCTCATGATTACATTCGCATTCGTGACGCCGGCGCGTTATGGCTTTTGTCGGCAACTACTGTTCTTTTCCTCGGCAAGTGCTATGCTTAACTTGATGAACGTAATTAGTTCGCCTCTGAAAAAACTGTGTTATATAACAGACATGAAGCGGTAGAAACGTGGCAGCGCGTTTCTGGTAGCAAAGAATACTCGCTCGAAAACGTCCGCTCATAAATAGTTGTGAGTTGCCGTGCCTTAAACCTGATGTTGCTTGGTGATTTTACACTATTGATAATCCTGTGCGACCTTCAACGACCCAGCTGATTCCCTATCCAAACGAACAATATCCAGGGCATTTGAAAATCGACTGGAGGGACTTGCATGTTACGCAGGGCATCGTAAAGCTTGTAAGAAGTCACCTCGTGTGTTCGCTCTTCTACTGCTAATCGCAGCGAACCTTGGAAAGGACGGCCACATTTTTTGCCATGAAGCAGGTCAATCCCTGGAGAACGGCTGTAATGGCAAATTGAAGTTTACTACTGCTCACTCGAGCATTACATATGCCGCGTTGAGGACGCAATGCGGGTTGCCTACCTCCGTTGCCCATTCCGTCCTATCCTATCCATGCTAGCTAAGAAAGGCAATCATTGTTAGTGTCTCATTGATGAGTCAGTTGATAGCTCCGCTCAGTGTGCAGCTCCGGAGTCCCATGTAAACTCAACCAGGAAGAGGTCCTTCTTGCAATTTCCATAAATAGGTCGGGGCTTAAAAGCTGCCGATCCCCTGTCCGGCCTAATCGGCGGCCTGCCCGGCCCGCCCGCTTCATGTCACAAACAAAAACAAAAGGGTTCGCATTACAAATGGCATCCCAAGCACAGATGTACGGGAAGTACAGTTTGTCGGCGTGTAACGTGACAAACTATCGGGCACGTAATTCTGTAATGGAATTCTTGGAGGGATGTAATGCACAAGCTGGTTGCGGCAGGCCCCCCCAAACCCAAAAACTGCCCCCCAACCCCGACCTCGAGGACCAGCTAGCTCCGACCCGATGGCCATATCCGTCCAAAAGGGGCCACACACTAACCAATAGATAGACAATAGTAGCTCATTACAGGTACGGGGACGGTAGGGAATCACTATTACCATCATCATCGCTCAAAACATCGCTAATTTTTTTATCATGGCACTAAATGGATGCTACCTGATTTCCTCGTCATGTAGCACTAATGCACCACACCTAGGGGCAACTCCCCCGGAACCCTCCCCCAAAATCTTCTTCATCAACGTTGCCAAAACAGGCACAAGCGGGCGATCCAAAACAGGCACAAGAATGTAATATAAACCAGGTGCGGTCTTTCTTATCTTAAGGGGGCATCATACCCCCTTCGGTGAAGTGCCGTACCGCATGGCAGCGAGTACGGCAGGTACGAGCGGGATATCCGCCGGTGTCAGATTGTAGGACGGAACCTCGTTCGCGGACGCCCAAACCACCGCTTGGCCCTCCACACCTCGTGGTTCCCCCTGCCACTTCCGACAAACTGTATTTTCGGCGAAACACCGACACGACAGAAAATTCCATTCCAGGACATATCCAGGGAGGGAGCAACAATGATCAATGATCAGTTTTAAGAGGTAGGTGGCGGAAGATAAGGGGGAGTGTGGTTTTGGGGGGAATGGGAGGGAGTGCGTGACCGTGGGGGTGTACGATAAGGCAGAGACAGTTAAGGCAGATACTCCAGAGATAGATTGACGGATATACTTCACACAGCACTAGACAAGGCAGGTACTGCCAAGGACATTTTCTCTGGGGGGGAGGGGGTCGGCTGCTGTTCGGTTCGGACACACACTTGAGGAACCGGGGGACACTCCTCGTCCGGAAAACCGTGATCCGTGCTCGCCGTGGATCCAGATGCTGAGAGGGACGTACGGCAGGGCGTCCGCACGTACGGCCAAAGGTGGGGATGGCAGTAGGCGCGGGCCGGGTCCCGCGCAGGGGCGCACGTATGTGTATTGTACTGCAAGTGCACACGCGCCTCACTAAGGCACTCTTCGGCTAAATCGCACTTTCCACGTCCGTATGTATGTACACTCCGCGGCTTGTAAACATATACACATGTACGTTGTACACATAGAGCTGTAAGTACATACATACATACATACATACATACATACATACATACATACATACACGACAGAATTTGCATGTGGGATTCTAAGGACTTCGGGCCACTCACCGTACAACGGCATGAGGAGGTGGAATGTGGGGTAAGTGTGGGAAGCAAAAGTGAGGGGGATGAGGTCGCAGGGCTGTACGGCAATGGACAGCTCCTCACGAAGCTCGCGAACCAGGGCAGCCTTCACGAGCAAAGGGAGGGCAGCAGCCGCAGCAGTAGCAAGCAGTAGCACTAGCAGCAGCACTAGCAGCAGCAAGAGAGAAGTATAGGTTGCAAGACGCGAAAAATCCGCTGTCGACGTCCGCAGGTGGCGGGAAGAGGGGGATGGTAACGTGGATGAGGACGAAATGCAGAAACGGGAAGGGACAGACGAAAAGGCGGAGTGGCGGCCGGGTGGAGTGAAGGCGAGGCTCGGGGTGTGTGTAGTACGCGTCTTTAGGTGAGAAGTCACCTCCACGTGGGATGGTCGGATTGTGTGTGTGTATATATGTATGTTACATGGTTGCTGGATGGTAGGACTGAGCACATAACGACTTTTGAGGCGCCCAGTCAACAAGTCAGGAGCCAATTAGTGTCCACCAGGAAAAAGAAGACCCGAGACCTCGAACCCCAAACCCCCAAGCTCCCAAACCCAGCTTGGACGTGTGTTTCAAAACACACACGAACACACCTCGGGTGTCTCCCCGGGGTCGACCTTGCCCCCGGGGAACTCCCACAGACCAGCATTGGACTTTCCTTCGGGGCGTTGAGCCAACAGCACACGGACAGGAGTACGAGGTACGATACTTGACTGCCCGCCGCCGCCGCCGCCGCCGCCGCAGCTAGGATCGCCGTCGCCAACTGTCGCCACCGCAAGAGATTCTGCTTCTGCCGTCCATTGAGGATCGTCCAATAGTACGACACCGACTACGAGTAGCAGTCGTACACCACCGCCGCTACCGCTCTCATCCATACTGCTGTCGACGCTGCTATACGTCCCAGGTGGCTCCTTTCCTGGCGCCGCCGCTGCCGCCGCCGTTGCCCGTGCTGCCGCCGGCGCTGCTACAGCAGGAGATGCCGCCGTACCGTACAGTGAGCGCAACGCGGAGGCCGCTGCGACGACCTGATCGACCGTACGAAGTACGATGCCCCGTGCTCCCTTACTGCGGGTTTTGCTGCTACGCCGGCTACGCCAACTGAAGAATGAAACGTTGTAGCTGCTGTAGCAGTGGGACCGGATTTAGGAGCTGCCAGGCTGCTACAGCCAAGTCCGAAGTGTCCCCACTCGCCGCCGTCCCTCCCTCCGCCGCCGCTGCCGCTGAAGCCCGTTGAAGCAGCCGCAGTGCTGGTGGTGGCGGTGAAGCTGTGGGCGGTGATGAAAGTGGTGGTGAAGGTGGTGGCGGGGAGGAACTGCTAGTTGGAGCAATTTGGAAGCCGCGGAGTGATAAGGAGGTGGGAATTGAAAGGTGTGGGTTGGAGTTCGTTGTTTGGTTAGTTGGTTAACGTGAGTTTCTCTTGGCAAAACCCATCTCTGGCTAGGGATTGCTCGACTGCGTGATCCAGTGAATTCATCGCCCAACTCCAGTATGAGGCCATTGGTACTTGAATTTGGATGTAAGGCGCCTTACCTGCTGGCTGAGTAAAGTACCAATAGTACAAATGACCGAGCAGCGGAATGGATTGCGACTGGCCTTCCGCTGCGCTTACCTCCGGTACTGTGAGGTTGCTCGAAGCCGACCTAACGATGCAATTGAAGCTCTTGCGATGTTGTCCTGACGCAGCTGCGTTCCACGCAGGCCTGGGTTGCCGCGCGGGCTGCGGGAGCAGGCCATAACCACAGGGCCGTTAGCAATTCAATCCACCACGTGGTCAAATGTGGAGGTTTCACAGCCCCTCTGTGCGCGACGGAGAAGGCAAGCCAACCAGGGTTCCGATGACCGAAATGATCACATAGCGGTGGTCTCGACATCAACGAGCCGCAACCTCAACATAATGAACGATGACGTGGAGCAGAATCCGAGTAAAATGCATGCGAAATGGATGCCTAAGCCACAGTTTTTTAATTCAAGCCGTGATGCATTTACTCGCCCTAGCCAATGCACATATTCGTACCAGTGGTAGTTGAGCTTTATTCCTAAAGTGGCTCTGACCTGCTAGCAAACGTTCCAGGGAGCATCAACGAGAGTTGCCAGTGACCCTTAGTCAACGCACAGGTGTAGTGTCCGCGAACACCAGGAAAAATGGATTTCTAAACTTTAGCAAGTCGTGTTTAAATCGGTACTGGGCAAGGTCCACATCACAACCCGATTTGCACAACCACCTGGTTTTACATACAGTTAGGCGTTTTGTCCCAACAACCGACTACCGGTGTGCAAGCGGCGTTGACGCGGCGTTACAAGAGGCAAAGGCCCCGCGTAAAACCTTTGCGTACATCCGGTTATGGTGACGAGTCTCTAGAAACTGCTTTTCCCCTGTCCTCTCCCTGTAGCATGTTGCAGTACCGATGCTGCCCGAAATCCTATGTCGTCAACGGACTATTGCTCTTTCGCCGTGATGTGATACAGTCAATGATTCACACCGTGTCGGTATGCAGAAGGTGCACGTTTCATAGCTGCCACCACGGACCAGCAGCCCCACACATGCAACCGAAATACCGCCGATACATGCCACGCTCACACAATCTCGCACTCCCGATACCGACTGGCTCCAACCCTGCTCGATGGCGGGTCGACGCATCGGCTGGCTCACTTCGTGCAAACCTCAACACTCACCCTGTAAATCACCCCGAATCACCTCTTTTCCAAGGTTCATAAATATTTTGCCCTCCCTTTCGCCGCTCCTCCCCCGCGATGCTCTCCCCGGCGCTGTGGACGCCGAACAGCCTCCACCAAAAGACACGGTAGTACACTGCCTCCCCCCAACGCCCCCCCCATCCCCGCCACCCACTCAACTATTCCATCCATCCCACAACGTATTCCTATAAACCTGCAGCTCCAATCCGATCCATGTACATACATACAGAGCGACATGCGTCCAACGAGGGCTGCTCGAAAGGCCGCCGAGGAGCCTTCACCCATCGCCATCTTTGCTCTCAACTAACTTCTCATGCCCTGGGCAACTAACTGCCGTGTCTGGCAAGAAGAGGCGCATACACAAACTCACGCAAGATGATGACGCATATGCTGGAATGGGATCCTACAACCCTCAATCTCAAAAGCGGCACGGCGCGTGTGTCTTTCTGTGTGATTGTGTAGATGTGTATGTATGTATATCGGTATATGTATGTATTATATATACATATATATTGTGTCTGTTTGAGCGTTTCCGTCGCCAACGTGCTTCCTCGCAGCTCGCAGGTGGAATTTATAAACCTGCATCATCATCACTCGTACAAGTTTGACCTTCCCACTGGTCCGAGTTTGACCTCCTTGTTCACGCCGTAACCCAGTGAACCAGTTCATGCATGTCCATCTCGTTTCATTACCTCTCCCCCGCTCCCCCCCCCCGGGGCCCAGGAACACCCCCCGGGACTTTGCAAGGAAACACGGCGCCGCTCCCATTAAACCGACCAAAACAGAAAACACCCGCCTCGCAATCACCCCCACACACACCGACACCACTCTGCCACAGATTTACACCCTTTATCATAGTAGTGTTATAATAATATTATTATTATAATAATACCTTTTCCCCCACATTCCCTCCCTCCTCTCGTCCCCCTTTGGCCGTGTTAGGCCGCACGCACCCCCCATGCAAGGTCTATCTATATGATCACTTGCGCAACGCGCAGGACACTAACTAAATGACTCGCTGGTTAGCTCGTTGGTTAGCTCGCTCGTTCGCTCGCTTGGGTTCGTGTGTCTCAATCAGTCGATTGAGCGTCTGCAGCATACAGTAACGAGAGAAAAAAGGTACGGCGCATCCTAGGTTGGCATCGTACAGCTCAAGTAAGCGCACAAGTACCGCAATAACAAGCAGTACGCCAACCACAACCACCACAATGCCAAAATAACATCCGCAGCCATGTGAACGTCAAAGCGAAGCAACAAAATCCGCTCGACTGCTCGTCGATATCTGCATGATACACGGGCGTTCGTACATGCGTCTCCGTAATATTTCCGTACGCTATGCAATCATTAATGCTTTTCCACCCAGCACTCACCCACGCAGCCTTGAAGCCCTTAGCTACCTCCCCCCTAAATATTGAGCCGCGAGCTACACACGCACGCACCAACCCACCCACCCACCCGGGCCCCTCCACACACACATACCTACATCGCGGGTCTGGCAGTTCTGGCAAAGTTCTGGCAGTGAAGTGCCTAATCAGGCGACTTCATTCCGGCCACTTCTCCACACGCCACCGCAAAATTCCCCGTCCCCACAAGCCTAATCAGTACACAGCCCCAAACAGGCAATCTTCCCCACGCAACTCCCGCTCCACCGTATGGTAGGTTTTTTTATCAAAAGTATTATTTAATATTATACTTCAGATGATATTGCCTTGTTAAGCAAGTTCCATCCCAACCAGTCCCTTCCCGTAAGCCCCCCCCCAAAACCAAGACCTCGGATCATCACGCGTCTAGCTCGGCCTGATCGTACACCATGAAACCTAACCGTTCTCGGTTCCGATTGATGCACGGCAAGTCGGTTTCGGAGGCGCATTTCTCGCAGGTTTTACAAGATGGTCCGCAATGAGTGCTCATGTAGACTGGGTTCCTGTCGCACTGAAACAGGCGTGAAGGGGGGTGAACGGGGGGCGGAGGGGGATAAAGGGGGGTAAAACGGGGAAGAGGTACGGGATACACACATACATACACACACTCCCCCTCACCTCCCCGGCTGCCGCCCACACGGTACACATGTCGTGCAGATCCGTACATGCTCCGGGTTCGCCGTCGTGCTCCCCTGAGGTATTCCCCCGGCCCTCCTGGGGAGTGGGGTATGGGGCGTGTGGAGGGCGTGTGGGGTAGGGTGGAAATCGTGCATGCATTGAGGAGGTAGGGTAGGCGGGAGCGGTGCAATCCTAAGGAACAGTCAAAGGGGATAAGCGCCGAAGCACCTGAAAGGAGGGTTGGGGGGAAGCGGTAGAACGAGGTAAAGATGTGGGGGGCATTGTGAAAGGGGGTGGTGATGATATTTTGGGGGTAGGAAAAGAGGGGGGAGACGTGTGTAGGCAACAACACCGGCAAGGGGGAGGCGATGGGTGTGGGGTATGTGTTAGGTCGGGTCGGGTATGTGTGTATGTGGGAAGGGGAAAATGTGAGTGTACGAGCGTACGGTATGGATGACACGTAACCTAAGCACAAGACAGGACATTGCCGTACAACACGCGCGAACGTACCGAAATGTAGCGGTCGTACGCGTACGGCATGGAGTGCACCCACGATGTGGCAGTCCATTTGACTCCCTTCACCACGGGGCAGCCTGCATATGTGCGTGTGTATATAAGTATGTATGTATGAACGTATGTATGTATGTATTTATGTATGTAAGGTGTCTTCATGTTCTGAACCGCGAGAAGGAAATGGCGAGGGTGGTATGCATGTGTATCTATGCATGTTTGTGTGCTTTTTGAGGTTGGAAAAAAGGAGGAAACACCATTTTCATTTCTTAGAGCTTCAAGACGGAAACATCGCTCTCTCTCTCATCAATTACGACAGACAGACAGACAGACAGAAAGGCAGACCGACCGACCGATCGACCGACAGACAGACGGACACACTCAACCAGGCGAATTCTCCCTAGTGGGGGGGTTGTATGACGACCTCCCGGGGAGGCACATGAACATGTTGCCAAAAAACACAACGACGCAGCAGAACCAGAACCCTGCACTCCTAAACAAGACCAAGCCCCCTCCCCGCCCCCCTCCCCACCATCCCTCACCGGTATGCATGGAAAGCGGGTCATGGGTGCCATCCGGTTTGATCGACCAAAACATGAGTGCGTCGCCCTTCTTAGGTCTGGTGGGAAAGTCCGAGATCGTTGGGTGGTTGTGGTGGTTGGTGGTGGTTGGTGCAGGGGAGGTTCAAAAAGAGTCGGGCGTGTCGAAAAGAACTAAGGTAGTACATGGCGACAAATGCAGAGGGTTGCAACTGCCTCCCAGCGATCGACCAGCAGCTTGTCGCCAGGCTGCTTGCAGCGGCATGCCAACAAAAGGCGTTTCCCGCCCGGGGCCTCGCCCCAAAACACACGGCAACCCCGAGGTCGATCGAGGGCTACCGGGGGAAGCTAGGGCAGGCAAGCAACTCCTCTAGCAGTCCATCCCGGCGCGCTGCATCCGCTGCTGCTGCCGTACCCACTGAGCCCGAAACCCACAATCCCCCTTCCCCCTCTTGCCCTGGCAGCAGCTTCAATCGTGTGTGGTTCGTCTTTCCCCCTCTCCCCTTTCCTCTCTCTCTGAGAAGCTAACCTCCCCCCCTTTTTTTCCTCCTTCTTTCCCCAGCCCTATCCGGCCTCTCCCCTCCTACTCTTCCCACCCCCCATAACCAGTACGGCTTCCATTGCTTTTCTGCTTTCTTTAAGACTTTCCCTTCATCTCGCCGGCTAGGTAGTCTTTTCGTTTTTCCGTTCTCTGCCTTCTTTGGACTTTGGACTTGGCAGCAACTCGTAGTGAGTAACTCGTTCCGCAAACCCCCAGCTAGGGCCACATCACCGCTAAGACTACTATCCCAGTGATAACTTGGTCAGTGTAAATATACTCCTGATGCAGCATTTGACTTGTTTTCCTGGACTATATCTCTGGTGTCTCTGGTATCTGCTTCAATCGACACTGTTCCGTCTTACCCCCACACATACATACATACATACATACATACATACATACATACATACACACACCTGAACGCCACATGCCCCTGTGCGCACTCCGAAAAGGGTCCCATGCGGGTGGCCAGATCGGGGGTGAGCCAGGAAGAGGAGTCCGGGAAGGCGGTCTCACCGCCCTCCTCGGTGTCGTGCAAGTACAACAAAACCTGACGGGGAGTGTACGGGTGGGTTTAGGGTTTGGGTGGGTTTGGGCTTGGGTTTGGGCTTCGGAGCGGACGTGAGTGACACGGGGTGTCGGGGGGTTTCGGGGCTAAGGTACGGTGGGGGTGGGGTGAGGTGGGGTGAGGTGGGGTGGGGGTTAAGACGAACCGATGACGATTGAAGCAGATATAGCGGTTAAGGAGTGCTTGGGGGAGAGCTTTTACAACAATAATAACACTAACATCAAAATGTCTGTAATGCAGGAATGATATGCAAAGCTGTCACCCCCCCCCGTTTGGGGATATCGTTGCCCCTATCCATTCAGAACCCACCGTGGCCATGCGCGGGCTGTCGTCAATGAGGGAGTCCATGTGGGCGCCGTACTTTTGACCGATGCCGTACCGAAGAACCTGGCGCACGTACAAACGCCGGGTCGTTTACGCACATCAGCAGACGGATTTATGAGAGGGGTTTCGGGTTTACTGTAATTCCTTTGGAATTGGAGTGGAGGATACTGTACGGCGCTGGTGGCGGTGGTGGTGGTGGTGGTGGTCCGACATGGCCGTACACACCCAAACACCATCCTGTCCAAGCCTCTTGCTCTGAACACTAATTTCCCCTCCTCCTCCCCCGGCACCCTCCCTCCCCTCCTCCTCCCACACCTTCCCGCACCTTCCACGACCCCCAATCGGCAGTTACATCCTTGGAATATATCCTTGAATTTTACAGATGAAATCTCCTACGCCCACCCTCCCGAAACACATACACACACGCTCTTTCTCCCTCCCCCCCTCCCCCCTGCCTGCCTGCAGGTCCTCCTGGTTCTCCGGCGGCGCCTTTGTCCAGGCAGCCACCCGCCGCAATATACGCTCTATCACGGGGTCGTGACGGCGCCTGAAGTGTGTGTGTATGTATGTACGTGTGTGCATATATGTATGTAGATGTGCCGGGGAGGGGGGGAACATGCGAGGGAGGGAGAGCAGGGGGGGGATATAACACACACACGTAACCCAAGACGGGTGGGAGAATGGGATCCCGGGGGAAGAGGGCGGTGTAGTAAGTGACACCACAAGTCGACATCTAAAATGTAATGTGAATGATAATGTGAATGTGAATGATTTGCGCAGTGTTTTGGATGGTGAGGGTAAATTAGGACAGCTGCCGTACCTTATAAACGTGCCGTAACTCGTACGGATGTTATCCGTTACAGACGAGCCGTTCTGACCGACGACGGAGCTCCGCTTCATCTGCGACAAGTTAGGGACGCAATAACATGGCCGAGATGTGGGCGGGGGTATTGCGCTTGGATCGAAACCTGGATCCGGTTCTGGATCTGAATTTGAGCCCCTTCGGACCGTCCCATTGAGATGTGCCTACGCACTGGCCCCCGCGATCCCCCCTTACACATACACATACACACACACACACACCGTGGCGTGCCCCCCTCCTCCCTCCCCCGCTTCCACAGCAAACCCCCGCTGCCCCCCGGCCCCAACCCCAATCCCCAAAGTAAAAAACACAACCCTCCACAGCGTGACGCACCGTCAGCGCAAAAACCCCTCCGGGTAACTCACATGGCCCCCGTGAGCCACGGGGTCGTAGGGTTTTCGTACTTGGCACTAACCCCCCAACTCCGTTCCCCCTAAATCCCCCTGGACAAACCCCCAACCCCCCTAAACCCGGACACACCATGGGTGCTGCCGTTCGCTTAATGTGCCTACACTCGCCATCTGTGAGGAAGTTGTGGTAGATGAAAACACGTGGGTTCCAGGAGACCGCCTCAATCCTGTGGCAGAGAAGCAGGAGGAGGAGGGGGCGGAGGAGGGGAAAAGGGAATGCGGATGATGGAGCAATGGTTATTACTAGCAGCTATAGCACTGGTGATAAAATTGTGGTGGTAGCAAGGGGGGCCCGAAATGTTGGGGGATGATGAGTGATGACGTAATCCGCCGTACCGCCCTGAGCTGAACCTGCCTTGCGGTCAGCCCCGGCGACCCCCCCAAGCAACACGGTCATATGTCCACTTTGCTTTGCTCCGCCAAACAATCTCCCCCCAAACCCGCAAAACCCGCCCACAGATCCAACCCGCACGTTCACCCACATGTATTTACCCATAGACTATCTACGGCATCACACAACCTCTTCCGTACACATGTAGAAACACACCCTCACGCACACCGAAGGCCCCACCGCCGGCGCGATCTTTCTTCTCTTAGCATTCACCATCCACAACCCGCATGTAACCCAACAGCGTCAGAGGCTAATGGTACGACACAATTCGTACACCGCGTACGGGTTGTGCACACTGTAGCGCGCTCACCAGGGGGTGCCCGGCGGGTCTTCGGCCGCCTTCGGTGTGTATGTGGTTGGTGTGTTCGTGGGAGGGGTGGGGGATGGAGGTTGGGATATGGGTAACGAGAGGCGGCGGCGTGCCGGGTATCACCACATGGCGGGGTAGGGGGGAGCGAAGGCCAGGGACATGCAGGGAAATAATAGACCAGTTCTGGCCGAGTGAAAATCGATGGTCAGGTCCGGTTGGGGATATTTCCGTAAATAATAAGCCACGGAAGAGGTGGGGAGATTCGAAGAGTGGAGTACATGGAAAATTGTATGTGCGGGGCGATCGGCAACTGGACGTGGTGGGTCAGGGTGCCGGGTTAACTATTATGTGTGGATAGGTTACGATCTGGTTCTTAAAGCCAGAAAGGTCTATCTATACTTGGCGCGAGTAAGTCCCCGCTTGTGCGGCATAGCTAGCTAATGCAGGGGATTTGCAAACATCCGAGAGACAGACGCCGGTCGGTAGCATTACTCACGAGTGACCACGGGTCCTTGGCAGCGTGTCCATACGTCTCGCCTTTCCAGCCGATCAATCGCTCCTCTTCTACTGTATGACAAAGAGGCTGTCTCAGTCCTCAGCTCCATCACAGCTGGCTTTGGGATGGACCCACCTTCAGCAACCAGTGCCACTGCTGCTCGAAACAGCAGAAAACAAAGAAGCTTTCGATAAATTAAATGCATAATGGCTATAGTGTAATAGCAGAAAGTCAGCCTTTATAAAAACCACCGGTATCTGGGTGATCGGGTAAGGAGTGAACTACGTGCAACAGTTCTGTAAGGGATAAGTCACATATGCATACATTTATGGTATGATGGTATGATCGGAAGCAAAGAAGAAGCGCATACGCTGCATTGACGTGCTCCCGACAGGAGGCTTATTACATACTAATACTTCACCAAGACCATAACCGCGGTCAATCGTGGACTAGCAAGTCTATTTGTTAAGTGTTTGACAAAAAAGTGCATCAGTTGATACTAAGGCTGTCAAGCTGGGATAGCATACACAACGAAGTGTACGGCATTTGAGTACCGTTCTAGCCAGAGTGGAGCAGGTCCTCAACGGGTCCCCCTCGTCTGCATCCCTTGATGCTTCATCTTTTCCCCCATGCCTACATTCCACCAAAGTAACTCTGGCGAATGCCGTTCCAAGTCTGCCCGTCTGGTTTCAGCTGCTAAGTAGCCTTCAAGGAGCGAGCCTTGCAACTTTTGTAATGCCAAGTATCCTAAAGGCCACCTACCATCGTTCCGATTTGAACAGGAATCTTGGCGATAAGAGGCACCGCGCAAAGAAGCACAGTCGCGGCACAACGAACGCGTTATTTGCCCCAAACGAGCTTACAGGTGACCACTGATGCCTCTAACAAAACCACAACAACGAGCCGACAAACAAAAAGACACTAAAGCAATCCACCATACCGCGGAGGGAGGCTAGCTGCTATTAGCTGCATGCAAAAATTCCCGTCTCACCATATTTGCATCACACCTAAGCGAGCTGCTCTACTCTGCGAATCCAGATCATGACCGTTGTTGTCCTCTGTCCCCAAGTACTCAAACTACCGAGGTTAAACAGGATTTGGGCACTATGATGCGAGCGCGGCCCGAGAGGCAACATGCTGCCAGTCTAACGCGTGGTTTACAGCTTGTTGCAGCCCATCACAAGCAAAGAAAGCAGTCTTGGTCTTCGATACCATCGACCGGCAACCCAAGTAGAAGCAGGTCGGCGCCAAATCAAAATGCCGCCGGCTGCCTTGAAAATCGCCGCGCGGCTGACAGGTCACCGTAGCCCGCTACCTCCGCGGCTAGCCCCGCCCAGAAGAGGCCCGCGACCCCTATCACAACTTCAGCCACAATACAGTGTTGATTCCGCCACCTTTCGATTCTAGCTGTCGTTGCCCACGCACTACCCCGAAAGGCATTCAGGATAACATCGTAAGGAAAGGAGCATCCAAAGGTGCTCCTGGACATCCAGCCGGCGACAGCGATAACAACGCGGAAACGCTCCTCTGAAGGAGTGACGTTCAAACGTCGCTTTTGGTGAGCTGTACGCATGTGCGACCTTTACTTGCCAATGCCGTGGTTGGGCAGGCACTTCGTCGCGTTGTACACGTTAGCTGGGCTGAGGGTGAACATCTTCGAGAGATCGCTGAGGGTACAGTTTGGCGACGTGGCGGGTTTCGATGACCAAGAGTGGGCGCGAAGAAACGGGAACAGGAGGGCAAAGAAGGGGAGAGGGGTGGGATTTAATGGGGAAAATACTGTGGACCCAAATGCGGCGCCGAGATGAGGGCAGTGAAAGGGGGGCAAAGGTCCCAGGCAAAAGAGTATAGCAGTATAGCAAGATTAAGCAGCAGTAGGGTGTGAGCGGCAGGTGGCAGAGAGCCAAATAGATAGCAGCAGCTGTGCAAACGTACCGGATTTGATCGCGGCTCATCTTCTCGTTGAAGTGCTGCTTGCCGCTCTTGCGGCCCATAATCTTGCCGCTTCCCGTCACCTTAAAGCGCTTCGCAGCCGCCTGTTTGTTCACGGACGGATAACCACCTAAGCTACAAATCCTGGCACCGTGCAGTAAACTGGTTCTCCAATTACTTTACCTTGCGCGTCTTGGCCTTGCACTCCACAGTCGCCGCGACCGGCGATGCCTTGACGGGCTGTAATTAAAGTGGTAAAAGGATAAACAATTTGTTTGCGTTTTGGGATTTAGAGTTGTCCAGCGCGGCGCCGAATGAGCTAGAGCAAGGCAACGCAAGGAGCGCAAGCAACTTTCGCGAGTCAACCCCGTTCACACATCAAAAGTGGAAACCGCAGATCATATGCACTTACCGCAATTGCGACGCGCGCAGGCGCAATTGGCGACGCCAGGAAAGCAGAGCCACGAGAGGCGACCGAGGGCGCCTGGAAAAAGGGCACAGAACCTATATAACGACAATGATGTACATACTATTATCTCTTGAATCAGTAGGTTCAAGCTACAAACGAAAGCTAAACTTCGCCGGTGGCCACAAAGATGGCCGCCAGCAGCTAGGAGCCACAGCTTCGTCAGCAAGCAGTAGCTTATTATCATACGCTTTAGTACCAAATGCTCACCGCAGGGGCACGCAGGTTCATGCGCTGCAAAGCGAGGGCCATTTTTGGTGACAACGATTTAACAGCACAGCAGCAATGCCTACGAGGAAGAGACGGACAAACAAAGCCAAGAATATAATCACAGCTGGCAAAAGCTGAAACCTGGTAGACGCAAAACATTCCGGTACGGTATCCGTACTAGATGAATTCTTCTTGCAATTGCAGCTCGGTCCGCAATTTTTTTCCGGGCGTCTAACGGGTTTTTGCCCATAGCGTTTCACTAACTTTTCATTCTGCTCGTCTTTGTGGAATCGTTTTGTCGGCGGCAGTTAACTTCCGGGGACAGTCGCGTATCAATCGCACAAATACGGGTCATTGCTGTTCCTGAGGAGATTAATCAAGCACATTGCAGCAAAATTCTTCCGGTCAACCTGTAGGCGGCGCCCGGTGCGACAGCCATGTCGGAGCCGCAGCTCAAGGGCGAGAGGTCCAGCGAGGCCGTCTGGGCCCGATTCGAACCTATGATCTCTGCGCCCGCATTACCTCGCAAACCAGCAAATATGTTTGCAACGTTGGCAGAAGCCAAATCTTCTTCCACTGCTGCGTCCATCCTGCCAAGGCGGTCCCGCATCAGCAGCCGGGAGGACACCGGGGAGGAGTCCGGGGAGGGAACGGACGAAGGCGGAGACGATGTGGACCTTTACGGCAACCTTAAAGTACGGCAGCATGCAAATCAAACTCCACTTTCCTCCCTCCACCATTTTGCTCTATCCTCCCACCCTCTTGCAGACCACTTTAGTTTGGGACTGTACAGGCCGGCGACTGTGTCTCTCAGCCCGCCAGTACGCCGAATCATCTAGGAAGCTGGAACTAAAAATGAAAGGCATGTTGGATACGGCGTCAGGTAGGTCAGGATACGGGTTGGTTAAAGGCCGTTGATGGTGGTTAAGTTAGTGTGGTTGATCTCTGGTCACAGCCTCGGCGTATGGGCGAATGAGCGATGATGGTGGGTTGTGGTGATTCTGAACACGGTGCGTGAGGGCATTATGATCTTTTGGTGAGGTGGATCGGGGGATCGTTGAGGCGCATTGTCAAGAGTGCCCTACGATGCTTTTGTGCGCTTAATGACCCGAGACATGAAAATTGAGTGAATAAATAATAAGTACGTAAGTGTTATTGTGTTAAAGAAGTTAAAGAGGCAATGTATGGAAAGCGGGTCTTGGGTCTTGGGTGGGTCAGGTAAGGCCTGCGGGCCATTTGCGAGTCTTTTAGTTACAAGTTACAAGTTCCGCACACAAGTGCGGGTGTGTCCGTAAAAGCCGGGGGGGCCATGGACGTTGTATTGGTATTGATGCGGGTACGCGGGAGGTCATCTTCATTCTCCATCGTCCGCTTCAGGGCGAAGCGCCTCAGCGCGACGTGCCTGGCCTCCCAACTTTCCGAGAGGTACCTGGCCAATGCCAGGGGTGGCGCCTCAGTCATAATGGTGCGCATGCTGCGCCCCGTAAGGACTAGGTCACCATCATACTTAGCCCGTATGCTCTTGTAAGCGGGACATTCTTCGAAAACATGCAACTCATCTTCAACCGCTCCACAGTCACAAAGCCTGCAGGTACGCGCGGTGCGCTCACGCCCATTAGGCCTATTAACCTCTAACTCCCAACAGCCTAACCGAAAACGCATGAGCACATGATGAAGTCGCTGGGGCATGGTCCCTTTAGTGTGCTCCAACCAATCGAGACGCGCACCCCTAGGCGGGGCAGCTCCCATCCAGTTCATATAACGACACGCCTTGGCTCCGGTAATTCCTATGGGGAAGACGCGGGGGTCACCCAAGGTATTCGGGCACCGTGCATCAAGCCGCTTGGCAAATACCTTAAGAATGCTCTCAACTGGCAATTTAAGGGTGGTGTAGTACGCTATAAGATCATTACCGCGCGTATTAGTGGGGGGTTCCACGCCTAAGCTAGTAAGAAAGGCTAGTACCTTGCTTGCCCAACACTCAGATAAAGAAAAGCTGTTAATGTTAATATTAATGTTAATGGGGTCTTTGCGTTCTGTCCGGACCCCTGACTGGGGCTAAGGCCGATTAAGGTAGATCCCGGCCAATCAATAGCCGTTTGCGAGCCCTCCGTTCATGCTTTTACGGACGCCCTCCCACTCGTGACTCCGGGACTTCAACTTTAACATGAGAGAGACAGATCAAGACAGATAGACGCACTGCATAGAGAACTGCAGATGCCTTATTGCTTCCCTCGCTTCCCCGGCGTCGTTTATGGTTTCGGCTTTGGCACATAATCCCATCCCCCCCCCCCGCCCACCCGCCCACCCCCCGGCCCCGATCAACCCGGGCGGCATTACACACACATACACACACACGCAGGACAGCATCGCATTTGGGGACACGTCCGCCGAAACTTCTACACACACGTGCCTCTACTTCAGGTATGTACGACAAAGTCGTGCATCCGTACGACAAATTGAATGCTGCACTGGGTTGCGATGTCGAAGGGGTTCCAACACACATGAACAGGTCTTTCCCCTTCGTTCGTATCTTTGGTAATAACCAATGTTCTTGTGCGCGTGCGGGGCCGCAACCCTACCCCCCGCTCTTCAAAACTGAAGCTCAAGAAGGCCTTTTCCTCCTATCGAACTTCATACTCCGGTTTTTCTGCTTTCCTAATTCTCTTTTCGCATCCGTATCCGCGTTTTCTGTCCCCTGTTGCCGTACTCTCAACTTCCGTACGGCCCCTAGGACCGGGAGCCCTCGGGGGGAGCTGTGTGTTTTCTAATCGTCCATCTCGAGCAGTTTTCTCCTCCCTCCTCCCTACAATCCCGCCTCTCAACTCCCCATTCCCCGCCCACATCGTCGCCTTCCTTCCCGCCGGCACTTCATTCCGTGTTTCCCTGCCTTCCTATGACTCCTGCCCGGGCGCAATTCCCCCTCTCCTCCGCTCCCCTCTCCTCCGCTCTCCTCTCCCCCCCTCCGCTCTCCACTCCGCAGCGGCTCCTCACTGCCCAGTCGCAGCGTCAGTCGGGTGGCTGGGTGGATGAGCCTGATCTGGATCCTGAGGCCTGGCTGCCAGGTACGACTACTGCTGCCACTGGTGATGGTGGTTGGGAAGCTACTGCTGCAACTGCGACTGCTGCTGATGCCGCTGCTCGAGTAGATTTCTTTCCATTCCCCCCTCCTTTCGTTTCATGTGCGGGCGCATTCTTCTATCAATTTCCTCTCCTTCCTCCCACCCCCAAGGCCCTCACCCGTATTTACATACATACATACATACATACACACATGCACGCACACGAGGCCAAGGAATTACCTCCGGGGGCAATATTCTGGTTGTGGCTTGGGCTTTGGGCTTCGGCGGGGGGCCGTTATTGGTACATGCTGGGGGCGGCATTTGCGGTAAATGTGGCTGTGAGTGACCTGCGGCCGTGCTACTGTGCATGTCGATGTGGGTTGCATTTGTGACATTCCCCATACGGGCCCCGTTTCGTTGCGTTCGTCCGTTTCCTTAGCCCGCGCGGCCGTGAATGCGCGCGCTGGGTTTGTTGTGTCCTGCAGAGGTCTGGTCCCGCGTCTAAATAATCCCCGTTCCCCCCGTTTGCCGCAACCCCCCTGGCGTTTCCCCCCCGCCGCCGCCGCCGCCGCCGCCATCCCGTGGCCCCGGATAGGCGGTCTTCGCTGCTTGCTGCTTCAGGACTGGTGCATCGCGCCGGGTGTGTCGTACGATACGGCACGCTCGCCGCCGCTGCCGCCGAGCGCCTCCGCCAGCGGCGGCGGCAGCAGCGGTGGCGGCCTTGGCGGGTTTGGTGGTGGCCATGTGGGGCTGCCCGCCTTGCTGGGTCAGCGGCTGAGATACCAAGTTTCTATCAAGAAGAATCCGCAGGTATGTATGTATGTTGGTATGTATGTATATGTGTTGGTGAGCTAAGTTTGTATGTTGGTATGTAAGTAGATATGTATGTGCATTCATTGCATCGTATGTGGCAGGGCGTGGTTAACGCCAAGTACGGCTGTGCCGACCTGGCTGCATGGTGGCATCAAACCACTTTTTCCCCACACTCCTACAACCCACCTCTCCCCCCCCACACACACAATTCTTAGGTCATCAAAAACGGCGCCACGTTGGACCTGTGGGTTCAGGCGCGGGCACTGGCGGAGTTTGACCCGAAGGCGTCGGAGGCGAGTTGGGGAGGTTGGGGCGAGGGGGGTGATTGCGCGGGGGTAATACGTGTTGCTGTATGTATATGTATGTATGTATGTATGTATGTATTTGTATGTATGTATTTGTATGTATGTATATTACATATGTACCGTAGTTGCTTTCTCAGGGGAGAGCTCAAGGTTGGACCAATAATGTGATTTTCAGGACGGGAGGGCGCCAATTGAGACTGGGGGAGTATAAGACACACGACATACATACGCACTCACGTAGGTGGCCTTGGGAGCTTCTCTACGTCTCAAGGCGGTCAGGTACGGCGTTACGGCAGCCCAGGATGTGCGGCTATCACTGGGACTGGATGTCGTACACAATGAGGCTGGGCAGCTGACTCCGGTACGTGGCGTCGGGGGGGGGGAGAGGATGGAAGTGCAGGGGGGGGGGTAGAATTTGCTTATTGCATTCAAACCCATGTGTGAAAATGGGTTTGCGTGTGGTACGTGGGGGTAGATTTGTCGGGTTGGTGGCGTGAGGTTGGATTTTGGGTTTAGGAGCACCAGACAGACAGGTTTTAGGAGTTTGGGGCTTCTGTCAGTTTGGCCATCATCAAGTGACCTTCCTGATTATCTTGCTTTGTTTTTATAATAATTTAGCTCTGAAGGTAGCTGTTCGTTGCGTTGTTGCTGCTAAGATTGATTGGTGTCGCCGGCCTGTGATGTTACGATTTGCTAAACTAGCTTTCCCACACCGACATGGTTCTACGCGTGAAATGTATTCAGTGAGAGCGTCGGGGAGCCATTTTATGTAGAGCACAGGAGCATCCGCCCTTGTCCTGAGAGGTACAGCATGATGTGGCGTTTGACATTCGTCGTTGGCGATGCCTTAATTTCCGTTATTGGATGCAGATGCCGTACATCCATGCCAGCGATGGCAAGTTTGGCGCACGGCTCCAGAACCGGCGATGGCAGATTACTTACACGCTATAGTGGGCGCGCAAGCCAACTCAACAGCTCTGGTTAGGCCGGCCCTGTGCTCCTGTCTTGGCTAAGAGCGAAGGGCCTGAGCGTCGAGCCAGGTGTCCAAGTGACGCCGGCGATGGTTGGCCAAATTGACATGGTCTCGCTTGGAGCTGCGATAATGTTTTGTTTCATGATGAGCGGATTGCCGCGGCACGTGAACCATTCGTGAGGCATCGACTGTAAACCCACGCAGTAACGGATTCTTGACTAAAAATTGTGATGCACGATGCTAAGGAAAATGCGCATCGTAGCTATAAAGATGAGATACCTGAAAGATGGAACCAAGCTTGCAGGTGCACGGTCAAAAAATATGGTATCGGAGCGACACATGATTCTCCGTGGAGTTTGATGGTGCACATAGAGTCCTTACGTGTCAAAAGAAATGGGCGCATTCTCGAGCTGTGATATCCGTGCTCTCGATCGTATAATATAATCACGCGGCCTTGCTACTTCGTTTCGGCAAGATGGCGATGGAGAAGCTTCACATAAGTTATAACCAAATTCACCAGGCGATATGCGACTGCGTGAATACCAAGCAGGTGTACGAGACCTTCCAGCCAACACTGATCATCGCGATAGGTTCGGGTAAGCGAATCTGGGAATGGCACAGCTGCCTGGCAACCCAACGCCGCCAACCTTGAAGACCATCGCTGTGGATGTGGGATGTCTCAGTATGGCTGCTGGCTGGGCTACAAAAGCGCCCTTTCCAACTTTGGGGACCAGCATGTGCATTCGGAAGATGCGCCGACATAAGCAGACGTCCCCTGCTACTCCCATTGCAACAACGACCGTGTATTAAAGCTTCCGATGCGCCTTACCTGCATGAAACACGCTTGTATCACATCTGCTCAATCTGCCAAGCATTACCTAGGTAGCTATGCCCGAGCGTCTTATCTCTGTCCGGAAAATTTCTCTTGCTCTCCATCTACCTCTTCCCCTTGATGATCATTTTGCCTTTTTTGTTCTTGACCATTTCCCTGTTAGCATTCTATAAGCCCCTCCCACTCCAGCGAGCAGTTTGCGGTACGTATTCCTCGGCAAACCAGCCAAGTAATGCACTGTGTTAATGTTTCCATTCATCCAGGCGGCTTCATACCAGCCCGCATGCTCCGAACCTTCCTCAAGGCAAAATGCGGTAATTGATAACAAGGGAGTGAAGGCATAGCCGCTTCATTGTCTGGAAGGGAGGTAATAGTAGTGTACGGCGAAAGTGTACGGAAAGACGTGCGAATGGGACTTGCCAGAGCGCAGGACATCTGCGCCAGAGGGTTTTCCACTGTTATGCGTTTTATGCGCCCGTGTACCCATTTCCGCAAAGGGGTGAGCAAAGGTGGCACACAGCTGCATCGCAATGGCGCATTGCTACACGGCCATTGCTGCCATACTTGCCACGTTGGTTGCCGGACAATTTCACGTTTCCATGCGCCCCTCACACACACGCATACACACACATATCATGAGATATGGTCGCCGCACGCAAAGATTTCCAGTTGCATCTCTTTGGCTTAGTCGTTCTTGCATGTAGAAGGGAAGGAAGAAAGGAGGAGGAGAAGGCCGTGATGAGGATGTCTCAGATGTGGTGGTCTCTGTGTTCCCATAGCGCCGGGCCCAGCATTCCGTTTTCATGATTTCCTTCTTTTCTCTCTGCCTCCTACTCACCCTTTTTCTTATCCTCTCATCTCCTCATCTTCTTTATCCTTATGTTCTTGTGTGTCGAATCCGGGTGTCTTCGTACTCGCTGCCTGCATTCGTCGTTCGTCCCTTCAACTCTTTTACCTCTCCAACTCGTTGGCCCCCCCCCCCGCCCGTACTCCTCTCCCCCCCTGCCCCTCCCCCCGGCGGGCGACACAACCACTTACACCATGTCCTAAAAAGGCAAGTCGCTGCCCATTCAGACAATCGGGCTCATCTTGTACGATGACAACCTCGATAAGTACGACCCCGAAACGGCTGTCGTACGAAAGACCCAGGTGGGTATTGGTGAGTATCTGTATTTGTGTGCGTGTGTGGCCAGAGAGGGCCGGGAGGGGGCACACAAGCAACACCACCCGCGCTCTGATAAAGCTGCTGCCCGCCCATAACCACCACCATCACCACCACCACCATCACCACCTCCACCACCACCGCCGCCGCCGCCGCCGCCGCCGTGCCTCAAGCAATGGCGCGACAGGGCAGAGGAGCACAGGGAAAATGGGTACATACATACATACATACATACATACATACATACATACATACATACATACATACATACATACATACATACATACATACATACATACATACATACATACATACATATCCACCCACGCTCTGAAACCCACCGTATCACATCTTTATTCTCAACTCCTCGCGCCCACTCCTACTCCTACTCCTTGCTACATACATGCCTAAATGTCCTCCTCCTCCCCCCCACCCACTCAACCACCCATCCCGACCATCGCGGCAGTGGCTGAACTACGGCGCCGGAGAGGGCACGGGCATATCACTGCAGGTGGCAGAGTGTGTGTGTGTGTGTGTGTGTGAAAGTGGGAAAGTGGGAGATCTAGGAAGTTTTGTTTTTTGGTGGACAAGGGTTGGGCGGGCAGGTGGAGGGTGGAGAGTGCACTGGATGGCTCGGGTGCGGCCGGATGGGCGGGCGGTGGGTTAGGAAGGATGGGCCTTGACATACGTGTGTATGTGTATGTGTATGTGCCCCTCCTTAGTCAGCAGGTACGTAATGTGGATAATTAAAATGTGGCCTTTTTTGCATGGTTGCGTCCTTTCCGAGTTCTTTTTGCACATGTTTGTGCATGCACGCACATACATACGTATAAACACGCATACACGCGTGCGCGCATGTGCATGTGCATGTGCAGGGCCACAACGTCCTCATCGTGGACGAGGTGGACGACACAAGAAAAACCCTGTCGTACGCCGTATCCGAGCTGAGCAAGGTATCTGCAGGGCCGTGTGTGTTATCCCGAGGTTTCTGTTATGTCAGTTGCCTGGGGGGCCGGGTGCTGCAGGCGGTAAGGCAGGGGCGGGGTGGCACCGGTCCTATTGAGACGGCGCCTGAGGAAACGATCTCTGGATCTGGATCTGTCTTTTTAAACCGAGCTTTATGATCCGGATCCATATCAGGAAATATGGCAAATAAGGTAACTTTTTATCAACTTGTTAAGGCGGTTGGGATATACATATTTTTTTTCAAGATACTTGTATCCGTTATGTCCGTTATCCGCTTTAGAGATTTGCATCCGGTTCCGGTATGAAGTATGATTGTTTAAATTTACTGTATCCGCTTCACTCAAACAAGCTATCCAATATAAAAATATGTGCCAGGAGGTAGCCACATATCCATGCGCCGTTTGAAAGATGCGAATGGGTAGCGGCTATGACGCATGGCGTTGCGTACGGCGTACGGTGTGACGTTGACGTGTCTTGTCGTACTGCACCGTACGACAGGACATTGAGAAGCAGCGGCAGGAGTACGAGGCCCGGCGGAAGGACGGCGACTCCGACTGGCGGGCACCCCGACTGGTGAGTCGTCCCCCTCGTAATGATTTATCCCCCGTACGTGGGAAACACATCTACCCGTATCGTGTCGTACATGGTAGACTATCCCCCCCCCGGCGCCCCGGTCTCCTTCCTTGTCCCCGCCCACACCCCCAAACATGCACACACGTGCCCTCGTGGGCGCGCAGGGTGTGTTTGTCGTACACAACAAGCTCAAACAGAAGAGTGGAATACTTCCCGAGGAGGTCATGGAGGCGAGCTACTTCAAGTGGGTGGGGGGGATGGAGTGGGGGGTTGGGGGGGAATGGGGGGGATGAAGGGGGGTGATGTGCGCGGGTTGGGGCGGGGGAAAGGAAAGTGGGAAGAGAAGGGAGGGAAAAGGGAGTTCTGCACTTCGTTGCGTGTCCATTCGTACATGACGGTTGCGGTACGGCTGTACGGTGACACGGCCCGGTGGGGGGCGGTAAGCGCTCCCGAGGAAACGAAATCCACAACTTAGCAAAAGCCTCTCCGTCAACTGTCAACCGTCATCGCACTGCATATTGGACATAACGGTCAATTGTCGTACAGGTGTCAGGACGTACCGGACAACTGGATTGTGTACCCATGGGACGCACTCGACATTGCGGCGCACCAACGGGCTGCGGACGAGCGTACGGCGGCAGCGGCTGTGGCGGTTGCCGATGCGGGGCCAGGAGCTTCCGCCGCCCCAATGGAGGCGGAGGCGGAGGCGGAGGCGGCGACGACGGGTCCAATGGCGAAGGATGGTACGTGCCGAATTTTTCGTTGACGTACTGGTCCAGCTGCTGTTGTACGTGTACGTGTCAGTGTTTGAGTGTTCGTTTGAAAACCGGTGGTTGGGTTAGTTGGACGGCACGCACATAGCCCCGTGTGAGGGTACACAGGGCGGTTCACCCGCGTTCAGAATAATTACAGGTTGGTGGTGTGGGGCCCCTCCTGATCCTCCTGCTCCTGCTCCTGTACCTGTCCGTGTAACGGAATGGGGGCTTTTGGGTTACCGGGGCTGCGTGTCGAACCGCTGTGGTTCCATCCCTACCTTTGCTTTTGTACTACCCTCACTGCCTACCTACCTACCTACCTACCCACCTAACCCACCTACCTCCCCCCCTACCTACCTACCTGTCCGTGGTGCTGACATGCAGGAGGTGAGCCTGAGGCGAAGAAGGCGCGCATGGACGTGGAGGGGGTGGCACCGGCGCCATGAAGGGGGGCCCTCGGCAGGGTTGGGCAGGGTTGACGGTTTGCTTGGCAGAGGCGATATGCATGTGGATGTGCGGAACCGGGGACCCCTAAACCGGCATCCCCACCCACACACACATACACACACGCACGCGCACGCACGGGATGGAGGAGCGGCTTGTAGGTCGGCTTGTCGCGGGTTCGTGGTGTTGCCGGTTGCTCTGTGGTGACTACCTGTCTATGGGGGGTTCGGAGCCGGCGAACTAGGCAGCGCCGTCCCAGTCGGTGGGGAATGGGTTTCGATGATTGCAATGCGCGTGGCTTGTAAATGGGGGGTTTAGGAAGGCTGGGGAGAGAGGGGGGAGGAGGGGGTGAGGGGGGAGAAGGGGGAAAATGGTGGTGCTAAAATCTTCTTGGTTTGATCAGATTCGATCTGACCTTATCAGGCCTTATCAAGCCTTATCAGGCCTGAGCTTTCGCGTCTAGGGAAGGAAACGTCGGAACAGGGCGTGCGGCCGATGATGTGATGTGCAGCCGCCGGATCGTGAAAAAAGGGTTACGACCTTGCTTTGCCACTTTACTCTCTCACTCAACCGAACCCAACCCAACCCAACCCAAGCCAACGCAACCCAACACCACCACCCCTGGGGGTGCTCGTGTCCATCAACTTTTTTTGGCAACGTCCTTACCTGCTGTTAGCTGACCTTGCAGAAATCCTTTCTCGAGGAAGCTAGGTGTAACTAGATAACAACACACGGAGTAGAAACTTGGTAGCCCGCTGTAGCAGCAACACACAAGACACATGAAACCGATGAACGAAGATGAACCAGAGCAGGTTTTTCAAAGATGGGTCATGTATGACGGCCAGTACGACCGGTACGACACGTAACATCGTGTGTACTGGAAGTCAGAGTGTTCGGTCAAATCCGAACAAACATTATTCTCACGCAGGGGCATCTACGTATACTAGCTATATGTCTAGGGGTCAATAGCCCCATATATATGCATGCAGGAGGAGCCCAATCAACTGTAGCAGCTGGGCGCATTTGCGGTGATGAGCAGCAGCCCAACTGCTGCGGTGCATCCACGAGGAAAATAAAAGCACAGCGCGCACGCGGCCGCGCGCCAGTAGCTAGTAGCACAACTGCATCATCACCTGCTGAAGCCGCATATATGTATATACATACCAAGGTCGCTATGTTTGTGTCCTAGATACCAACGCAGGAATTGCGCTCAACACCGCCGACGCTTTAATTTGAAAAGTATTAACACGCATACAGCGGCCGATTATACATTTGGGAATCAGGAACGGAGGCAGTGATAAAAATGAGTTTTAATTTGAAGGCAGGAATATCACGCAAGGCGCAAATATATAGGACATACGTCCGCACGCAGTATTCAGTCTTAAAAATAAGTTCGTAATCAAACACAAATAAACTGCAAACTGCCGAAGTAGCATGGGCTCTGTGGTTGAAGCTTTTGTTGTTGTTGTTTTAATGCTAGCTGCTAATAGCGATGATGCTTCTCTTGCGTCCGCAGCCTTCGTGGTGACGGAGCTACGGCTCCGCTGGGGCCCTCCGCCGCGCCTGCAGCTCCGAAAGTCCCGCGTGGAAGTAGCACTGGAGGCGGCAGCGGATGCGGGTGTTGCTGCTGCTGTGGCTGCTGCCGCCGATCTCTCTCCTGCGACAGTGACAGCCCGCTGCCTCCAGTGTCAGCAGGGGTGGCAGTAGTGTTGATGGCAGTAGCTACAACCGTCGTCCCACTTCCTGCTGTCCCTCCCGACACCCCTCCTCCCGTCATCCAAGCCTGCTCTTTCGCGGGCGGCGGCCTAGGGAGCAGGTGCTCCAGGGAGCGGATTCCTACAGCATGACGGCTACTGCTGCTGCTGCCTCCCCCTTCGCTGGCACCACTGGTTGTGGTCAGTAACGGTCCGCCGTTGCGGCCGCCATTACTGCTATTCTGTGATAACAATGTGTTGTTGGCGCCTGCGGATCCGGATGTGTTTGACGCCAGCCGCCGCTGCCGTAGCATCGGGAGCCGTGTGAATATTCGTACGCCCGGCGACGACAGCTCGTCCGCCGGTACTGCAGACGCCGCTGCTGTTGCTGTTGCTGTTGCTGTTTCCGCCGCCACTACTACCGACGCGGATGCCGACGCCAAAGATGCGACGCTGTCGGAAGCTCTGCCAGCCCAGATAGCGGAGCCGCCAGCCGCGGACTTGTTTGCGGACTTCATGCTCATGGAGAGTGTGAGCGAGGACGGTTGTAGGGGAGACAGCGCTGCGGCCGTCAGCGACGGCGTGTTCAAGAAGCTCATGCGATGGGACGTCGCGAAGGCGGAGGCCGCCGGTTGACTGGAACGGGAAGAGCTCATCATCAGGTCGCCATCAACTTTTCCGCTTTCAGTACCTTGTATGATATGATTGCTAGTGTTGTTGTTGTTGTTGTTGTTGTTATTGTTGTTGTTGTTGTCGTTACGGTTCTTGGATGTGTTGCCAGTGTCTTGACCTTGGGGAGGTGCCGCAGTACTGCTGGCTGCTGCTGCAAAGGATCTGGGGATGGTGGCATTTGCAGGAATGGCGGATGAGTGAGAAGTGGTTAATGAAGTGCACGGATTGCGGTCTGTGGTTGGTGGTTGGTGGTTGAACAATTCGTTGGATTGTAGGTAGGGCGGCACGTCGTGTTGGCCCGGCCCATCTCATCCAACGCGCTTGTGATTGGTCCCAAATTTGAGAATTTTTTGATGTATGCGTGAGACACCCACCTTGCCTGCCTACCTGCCTGCCTGCCTGGCTGCCTGCCTGGCTGCCTGCCTGGCTGCCTGCCTGCCTGCCTGTCGATTACCATGACACATGACACCTGCACATACACCCTGTAAAGATCCGCTGACGGCTCACCTATCATTCTTCCGCCGCATGGATGGCATTCCTCGCGGCCACTCGCTCTGGGTGTTCTTGGCTGGCTCCATTAGAAGCTCGGCCATCACCGCTGTCGCAGTCATCACCGCTGCTGTCGATGATGACGATGATGGGGGTGCCGGACGCAGCTGCAATGTTTCAACATTGACTAAGGAGCTCACGCTTGTGAAGGTGGCAGTAGAACTGTTGGGCTTGCTCAACCTGCTCGATAGCTGCGGCTGCTGAGGATGCTCCTGCTGCTGCTGCGGTGGCGGCTGCTGCGGCGGCTTTGGTTGCCGTTTCAGTTGTGACTGCTGCATTGGCTGCTTCACCGGCTTCGGTTGTTGTTGATGGTGGGGTGGTGGTGGTGACTGTTGCAGTGGTATTGATGGCTGCAGGAGCACCGCCGGCGCCCTGGCAGTATCGGCAGTAGTACTGCTGGTGGTGACAGTGGTGGTGATGGCGGCGCTTGGTTGATTACCTGTGGGTGCTCCTGACCCTGCATTGTCATCCCTGCCATGGCTACTGCCCTCACTGTCGAGGCTACTACAGCGACTCAACTCCCTGTCCAGTTGCATCGACGGGGCTGTCCGTATGGACACAAAGGATTTGCTCGCCAGCGAAACTGGTGGGCGCAGTGAGTCATTATCATTCATACTGCCACCGCTGTGATGGGTGCTGTCAACCTTCCTGTTATCGATGCCGCTACTGCTGCTGCTGCTGCTGTTGTTGTTGTTGTTGTTGTTGTTGCTGTTGTTATTGTTGCCGCCATCGACGACTGCGGAAGCTGCCACCGCCCAGTTCACTGACTCCTCCGGCATATCAAACGTATCGAGGGCACTCTCTAGTCCCCTCTCAGAAACGCGGGGGAGCGCCGGCGCCCGGATGATACCACTGCCTCCAAAGCCGCTGCCCCGTCGGGCTCCCATACCGCCATGCGGAGCGGCTGCACTGGATGCCATTATTGGCTGCTGCTGCTGCTGCTGCTGCTGCTGTGCCTGCGGCACCTGCTGCTTGTGTGATGTCGTCAGCATGGGTGCAAACGTATTCTTTTGTGGTGTGATGGACGTTGGATTCTCCGCTACTGCTGGGGTCGTAGCGGGGCCGGTGATAATAGCTGCCCCTCGAGCATCGGAAGGGCTGCTGGGTCTACTGCTTCTGTCGGGCTCTATGGCAAAACGAGTATCGATTTCTGTTGTGTGGACGGCCAGTTCCGCCGCAATTGACGCCGTCTGCGGTGACGGCGGCAGCAGTGGGGGCGGCGTTGATGCTGTTGCATCGGATGGGCCCGGAACAGTCCTGGCCACCCACATCGGGCCGCTCTGTAAATCATTGTCCCCACACGTGCCGCCACCGTTCCCATCACCACCGCCGGTTGCATGCGCTGCAGCGTCTGAAACTCGCCGCGGTAGGGAACATTCGCGTGAGAGTGGACTTCGTGGACGAATTCCTGGGTCTGTGCCCAGCGGCAGCACGCGAGTCTGAGAGGAGCATCGTCCTGACTGCGGCCGTCGTGATGATGCCACCAGCACAGCGGTAATGGTGTGACCCAAGTGCTGCGACAGAGAGGTACGTGCGCTACCGCCACCGCCATACCCAGGGTCTTCGGCAGCATACGGCGGGGCTGCGGCGGCGGCGCTTGCAGCGGCAGCACCGCGGCTGGTAGCTGCGGCTCCCACTGCGGAGGTGGCGAGTGATGATAGCCTGGGTGGCGGTGGTGAAATAACATCTAGAGGAAGGTCCCCGGTTCCGCCGATGAAAGCCGAGATCATCTCGAAGGTCTGCTTGTCCATGAAAGGAAGGGTCGGTCCAGATAAATATTATTTGTATCGGGTTAATGGAGAAGCTAATTAGCTTAGTTTATAAACTATAATTAATTAATTAATTAATTAATACGAAGAGTATTCCTCAGAAGATTTTTTTTATTTATTTAGCAGGAACGTATTTATTTGTTTTGTCTACCGAAAATAATTTATGAATGGCACCGCAATAAATCGACCCAAAAATATTGCAATACATTTTCATGAATTATTGATGCTCATTTATTCTTATAACTTATCGATTCCAACCAGACATCGGCAAACGCTTAGGGAGTTTCGGGTCATACCGAAACTCCCGAAAACAGAAATAGAGTTCCCGAAGCCGGCCGGCTTGCAGAAATAGGATCCTACAGCGTATACGAAAGATGTTATACGTCCCGAATTGCCGCCCGACGACCTAAGTCCACGGTCAATGATGACAGAAATAGACCCCTTCCCGAAACCAGAAATACCCCGTTTGCCGATGTCTGATTCCAACTCGACTGCAACTCGTTGTAGTCGTTGTTCGGTAGTAGTAGTGCTGTGGACATCAGCAACGGCCTCCCGCCCTAATCAGGACTGTTATCACTGTTATCACTATCATCCCATCTTGCATATTTTGCAAGGTCGGAAGGTCTGACCGCGAATATGCAAAAATTCCATGTCTATGGAAGGAACGAAGTATGGTGATTTCCAAAGGCTATCTGGTGATTTCCAAGACAAACTCCTGTCGCACCTGAATCCGCATGGCATTTTGCTGTTTCCACACCTTGACTTGCCAGCGATGCAGCCCCACCTGCGAATCAGCCATTTGTACGGTATGGTATCGGAACCTTTTTACGATGCTGAAGCTTAAGCGAATGTATGGATGCATTTCTGCCAACATAAGCAGACAGCAGCACTACACCCTTTGGTGGGCCCCCTTCGGCAGGCAAATCGGGAGCTATATACGTATGTCCGCTTTGTTTGTAACCCGTAAGCTCCAGAGTAATTAATGTTCAAACAATCCTTTCACAAGCCCACCTGCCATTTTTCGACTGCACGTACGACATCCCGTAGAGCGTCGTACAGGGCCAGAAGGCGGACGGCCTCTTCATCCTCGCTGCGTATACTGCAGCCCCTTACACCGCCACCGCGATCACCTCCCACACTGGCGGCGCCGTCGGGGCCAATACACATCTCGTCCCTCGCGACAGCAGTGAAGCGGCTAATGCGGGTCAGCTGGACATTGTCACCGACGTTGGCTGCTGCTGCGGCGGCGGTTGACGCATCGGGCGCCTTGCAGCCGCCGTGGCCACTGCCGTTGCTGGAAGAGTTTTGACGGGCGAGAGCCATGTCGGTGGCGAGGGTAGTGGTTACGGTCATGGACGCCCGCAGCTGGCCCCAGCGCTTGGGGATGGGCCGTTGTAGTGGTGTCTTGTTTGTGTCCCGCCGCAGCTGCTGCTTCAGTATTTGACTTCTGCGTGCCTCCAGTGCCTCCGGAGACGATAGCGTGATTATGCTCGGCCGGCTCGTACTACGTGGACCTGCTGGGTTGAGGGTAGCGAGCGTCATGATACTGTCATGCACAAACGAGGGCTGTAGGTGATGCTTGGTTAACAAGTTGCAACTGGTGGCCGGCAACTGCATCCGCCCTACCAGCAGCATTCGCCCACACAAGGTACATAGCAACAGCAACAGCAACAGCAGCAGTAGTAGCAAGTGTGCAGTTATAGCAGGAATGGCGGGAATAGCAGGAATAGCAGCAGAAGTGCTCACAAGTCCACACTCGCCTCCACATTGTTCCCGCACCCGCAACTCACAGCAGTTTTCCCTTGGGCCCAGAACCTCCTGATGAGGATCCAGCCGCCCGGTGCCCGGGGTACTCCGTGTTCGCTCCACAAACGATAGCAAACTTGGCTGTGGTCGGGTGATGAGCTCCTGCTGAGGGGTCTCAGCCCGACTCAATTGCGGTGACTGCGCCCGTGGATAGAACCTGTGGCTCAGCCTTGCCATCAGCCGATCCGCTACCAAAGCCGTAACTAACTCTAAATCCGGATTCATCATTACTAGTGAATTCGTGTGTTGTTGCCGCGGGAGGCGCTGGATATGATTCGCACTTGAGGACGAGGGCTGCACAAGCTCCAAGGATGAGTGCTTATCGGCGGTCTGTTGCTGACGTGGCTGTGGTAACACTGTTGTCAGTGCAGGTGTCGTCGATGGCAGTAGTGTCGGTGGTTGCACTGCTACCGCCATCGCCGACTCGTCCGCCCGCGGTGTCAACGGCCGTCGTGCGGCTATACTACTTGCACGCGCTTTACGCCCACTACTGCCGGCGGCAGCCGTGGTTGTTGTTGTGGTGGTGGAAGGGGCAGTCTCCTCATTATTAGCGGCTGATGACAACCGTGATAATTCGCATGACTGGCTGTTTAATAAATCGTATGACTCCGGTGGGGGTGGGCAATGGAGCAGTAGCAAGTCTTGCACATGCACAAGCTTCTGAGCCGCGGTGGCCATGACTACCGCCTTCAGGATCTCCTTGTCCAAGTAATACAGCCTAGCGCCCACAGCACCGCCATCATCATCAGCAGCAGCCGCCATGCCATCACCACTGCTGGCCACTGCCGCTGCTGCTCCGCCGGCACCACCACCGCCAGGTGTGAGTCTTCCTTCCTCGCGAATAATGATGGCCCGGATTGCCCGCCGTACCGTAGGCAGGATGCTTGCGCCACCCAGGGCGCCATTCAGTATAAGTCGGTTGGCTTTGCGGTTGGTGAGCGGCATATGGCGGTTATTGCACAAGCCCTCGCAGCAGATTGCCTTGCGGGACCAGCGGTTTGCAGTGGCGATCATATCGGGCAGCAAGACGTGGCGCAGGTCCTGGAGTGAGGAGCAGGGAGGTGGCATGTCAACATCAGACATGTCTCACCAGCTTTTGCAAGGTTAAGATGAAGGCACAAAGAGGGAGATTGGACGTGCAGACAACTCTTCAAGAGGGGTCTATTTAAGCACGGCTGCTATGTAACTACATTATATACTACTACCCTTGTGCCGTTATCCCGTGTACGTACAACGGAACAACCAGTATTAAAGTGTACCGCACCGACCTGCCGTACATATGGCGCACGCACCTACCTGCCATAGCGTGGTTCCATTGATAAAGCTCCAACTATACCTGATATTAAAAAATCTGGGGTGGGGTGCAACGCGGGTTTGGGGCACCAGGGAGGGGGTTATAGCTTCTAGATGGAGGCGTGCCTGCTGAACTTAGGTAATCAAAGCCCCCACATCTCTTTGCAAGCCCCAAGCAACTCGTCACCCTCCATTTTCCATCTCTTCTGCCGGCCATGGCTGCTGTTGCTTCTGTTACTGCGGAGTTGCTGCTTTTGCTGCCATCATCATCACCCATACGCGGTCCTGACATTATTGGCAGCAAGGCAGGCACTCACGAGTCAATGATAACAGCAAAGAAGAACTGCACCAACATGAAGCCCAGCAGGAGTACTTGGGCCACCACCACCAAGCTGGCCGCGAAGGCCTACACATGCATAAGGAAAAGGAAACGGTTTCCAGGCTTTAGGTCCTTTGAAGCATTGATGATACTTAAGTAGTAGATGTAAGGGTTTGAGGAATGTAAAAAAGGAGCGGATGGAAGGGTGGCGGATGAAGGAGGAAGGGAGCAGATGGCGGTGTGAAGTGGGAGGCAGGTAGCAGGTTTAGGTTGGGAGTTGGGCAGATCGCGGTAGGTTTAGGTTGAGAGTTGTACATACATACATGCAGACGTGCATCCCCAGACGCCAATCTGCGCCAACCCTAGTGCGTCCCCGCTATTCCAGCTATCCACACACCACACCACACAAAAAAGAAGCGAAGACCTCTAATGGGTGAACCCTATTAAGATCATTGCACGGATCTAAGATCATGCGCCTTCTTATTACACACGGCGCCCTCAGCGTGGGCTTCCCCCTAAAAAGCATCCGTTCCCGCGGACGTCCCGCATTAAGCCCGCTGAGTGATGACTGACAGGGCTGCTAGAGTGTTGCTACAGAGATTGGGAACAATAAAGGCCACTCACGAGAGCGCAATTGAGTTTTTAGCCTTGCAGTGGTCGCAACTTGAAGGGAGGGTGCGAGGTTTGGTGGATTCCTGAAGGGATGATCAGGGGCCTTATGCTGCCTTTTCGGCTTATTCATGTCGCTGTCGAAGCAAAGCAGGCACTTGCGCTATTATCCCCTGTGTAATGTATCTTCTCACCACTAGCTTCCTCTTTCCTAGCCGATTGCTTGCCGCCAGAGCGCCCACACACCCTACCTGTACTCGCGTTAGCTCGGTGTTCGCCGGGATTACGCTTTTAAAGGACTCGAGCACACCTCGGCCCAGAAATAGACCCACCGTGCTGTCAACGGCACCTGTATGTATGTACGTATGCCCATCACGCCCGAAGAAAGGAAGGAAGAGTGAGAGAGTGTGAGAGGAAGGAGGGGGTGATGAGGTGCATCAGCTTGACGACCGCCGGCGGAACTGTTAATAATAACAAGCGAGTCACCGCAGCTTGGCGGCTATCTGGCATGATATGGAGAAACCGTGAATATTAAGCATGGAGGCAGCCTGGAGGCCACTCCTCAGATCTTGAGGACCCGGCATGAGAACACGTTAAGATAACGCAACAAAGGAAGATCAGCACGTATTCATGGTGTTTAAGGTCCATGCGAAAGACATGCATGGGGTGCTTATACTTCGTGGGGTTATGGACACGTGGGGCGCTTAGGGTCTAATATTAGGTCTAATATCGGTTCATTTGAAGGGGTGCATGAAACTAAATACAGCAGACACTCCGGACACACACAAAAACACACGCACATACGTGCCCGCACATAAACATGCACGTACACGCACACGCCTGTAGGATTGAACCCTCACCTGCGTATGTTGACAAGGCTCCCAAATAGGTTCCGGCAATGAGGTGGGCCATAGCAGCCAGCGTGATGCACATAAGGGCAATCACGACAAGCTATGAGGGTGGTGTGGGGTAGAAGACGGGCGGGCATAGTTAAGTGGTGGGAGGGTTGTGGAAGGAGTGTGAGCGGGGTGTGAGCGGGCCAAGAAGTGGGGAAGCGGGCAAAGGGGACAGGGGGATGGGGAGAATGCGGCATGAAGTGCAGTTCAATAGGCAAATTCTTACATCTGAGCGGTAGGAGCGAATCAAGGTTTGTGAGAAGGCATGGGGACGGGTTGGCGTAAATAAGGGTGCATGGCGTGCGTGGAGGTTTTTGAGGGCCTGGGATGGATGACATGTATGACAGCATGCAAGACCCTCGCTCCGCGCATCCTCCACGCGTTCCCATTATTCCCATAGTGGTTGCCATTGGGCTTCGGCTCCCCTTGTGTAGTAACTGGCCGCAGAAAAGGCCTCTCAAGATGGTGGCAGGTGGACACATGTTGCAAGTCCAAGTCCGCGTCCTTTTTCTTGTTAGCTGTGCTTGCTGGATGTGGGCCCTGTAGTAGCTCACTATTCCTCACTTCCCCTACCCCCTTTTCCAGTTTCGTTACTGAGCCCCTCTCCTTCGCCGGCCCCCTCCCAGCCACTCTACAACGGCACCCACCAAATGAGCCAATGGTGGTACTGTGTGGTAGAGCGCCCGCACTACTGCTCCCATACGGCCCTGGAATGCGACTGCGGACAAAAGCCTGCGCGTGGTTAGTTGGGACATTAGGGTAGTGAAATGTGTGGGGAGAAGGCAGACGGCTGAGGGTAAGGGGAGGGAAGGGAAGAGGGAAGGGTGCGGAAGTACGGGAAAAGTGTATATGTACATATTAAGATCAATAAGACTGAGCAAAGCTAGTGGACGAATGCATGCATGTAAACAAGGGGCTAACCGACAACTACTGTCCGTACAACAATTGTATGTGTGCATGTGTGCGTGTGTATGCGTGTGCATGTGCGTGCATGTGCGTGCATGTGCGTGCTTTTTTTATATATGTGCTTCTTTTCCTGCATTGCATCAGACAGGCCGTATAGCTAAGTGGATATAGCGTGCCCTTCCTAAGGGCAAGGTCCAAGGTTCGACCCCTTGTACGGTCGTATTGAATTTCAGCAATGAGTACGATATGTACTCATAACCAGGCTTGTCATATGTAAAGGCACTAATTATGAGAAGAGGTCAGGCTAAGCACACACATAGAGATAATGATTTTCCTTTAGAAGTTTTAATACTCCCTTAACGGCACAACACTTCCATACGGTCACCTACATGGTGAACCCCTTGTTAGTGGCTGCCCCTTGGGGGCCCCTTCATATAATCCTAAACAAAACCCTTGGCTAAGGAGGGGTGGGCCACGGCAGGGCAGGATTGCCTCTCACGGCTGGGGGCTAAGATGTGATAACGAGGGTCTTAGCGGGAGACGGTGGAGGAGGGAACCCACAAGGAAAGAGTGGGGCCGCAGGCGGTGTGTTGAGTAGTACGGTTATGGATACCCCGTTTACGTAAACGTCACAACTCAGAAGCAGTAATAGATGGTGTTATTAATGAGGGCACCTACCTATCTGAATGCATGCAGCAGTCCCCGCACCTCTTAAAGCCCAAACTCTGCCCACAGGGGAATCAACCACCGCCCCACACCCCACACTCCATCACATACTTCAGCCCAAACCTGTAGTATCTAATACACAGTACAGCACACATATCATCTACAAATACGCGCGAAGCACTTTGTCAGCATCTCGAGAGGCCTTTTCAGCAGCAAGCTACTACAATACTCCAACCCACCCCCAGTCCCCCATCTACAACAGTTCAGTTCTCCCCTAGCGCCCACCTTCCTATAAGAAGAAGTAAAGTGATCGCCTGGAGGATGCCGTACATCGTCCAAGCGTGCACCATACCACGTGCTTTCGCCAGCACGCCCGCCAGCTCGTCCAATTCATCGTATGGATGGTCAGGTAGCACGTATCTTCCAGGACTTCCCGCCTCTGGAGTATCGGTGATGTTGAGTGATAACAGTGCGGACTGATGGGGGGAGGTCGCAGGCAGGGGGGGAAGGTGGGTGAGGGAAAAGAGGTAAGGAGTCACATGGTTTCTCCCGGGGTACAGCATCCTGAATGATGCTGGCCTGTGCCACCGGCTCGCGAATCGTTGTTTGCCAAGTACTTTGTTTCCTGCCTTTTTCTTTTTCTTAGCCTCTTGTCTAGGCTCCTCCCGAGAGGTTGCTGGTTTTAACATTTAGTTTAATATTTTATCTTCTGGTAGCGGAGGTCCAACCCGAGGGTGATCCTTACTTGTGTCGGGGCTTTTTGTTTCTGTCGTTGCCATATAAATATACATGCATATATACACGCAGGCCAGAAAACACTTGGGCGGGCTAACGGGGCTAACGGACGTCAACAGAGTGGCTAGACGACAGAGGTGAATTAACAATGGCAATAGCGAGACGAGCAGCTCGAGCCGCCAGTACTGAAACGTCGCCCCCACAGATAGGCGTAGGATGTTTTGTTCGTTATTCGTCGTGCTACTACCACAACTTCGCTAAAACATATCATGACGGGCAGGGGAGAAAAAGCGGCGAGCCATAATATAGCCGACTACTAGAAATACTTCTACTAGTAGCCTGTATACTAGTAGCCTGCTACTAGTAGCTTGTAAATATTCGTTGTGCATCTACCACAGCGAATACCGGACAGAGAATTCTTCGTCACAAGAAGCTACCTTCTTTGCTACTCGTCGTGTTTCGCTACCAGAGAGAAGTCCAACCCCAAACACACTATGCCTATGCTTTCAACCACAACCGCACCTACCTGCAAGTCAGACTGGTCCGGCTTTGCGGGAAGATCCCATGGGTCTGTCTTGTGTGGCAACAGCCATCTCGCTTGCGCTGTGAGGATGCCATCGTACACCTGGTAATGCTGGCGGGCTGTGAAGACGGCGGCTTGGGTCACCATGTACCTGTGATGTGAATGCAACAGGAATGGAGTGGGAACACATGAAGCCAGGGGCGGACAGATTGTAACACCAGATAGGGGACCCGTGGTGTTATATCACCACTTTTTTTCTAGGAAAGAACCGAACAGTGGATGCAGATTTCGTGATCTTCCCAGGATCTACTACACATGAAGACACAACGATGTGGCAGAAGTGGGGGTGTGGCATAGATGTCTTTGAGAATAGCCTGGGAAAAGTGGTGAAGAAGAAGAAACGCATGCATATACAGACATGGGCGCGGAGGGATTTTCGAATTTTCAGGGTTTTGAGGAGAGGTTTTCCAGTGTTAGAGTTCGGGCATGCTGATAGCTATAGCCTCTCCAGGTTACATGGCATATACGTGCCCACGTTCACTCGCAATTGAGCGCCAATGAGTACTTCCGTATTATCACAGGTCGTAATAGCCTGTTTTACCCGCCGGTACACCCTCTTATTACCATGTGCACGTGGTTGACGCCGCGACCATCAGTGCTGCCACCACGATATCGAGGAAAACATGTGCGAAGCGGTCTCGAGCCTGTGCGACGACGGAAAGCCGTAATCCTTCACTCATTATGTGCAGTCGGTCGTGTCATTTAAGCTTGCGGTGCTCATTACGGTAAGCGTATAGTGGTCGCTTCTGGAGCATATACACGACCATTTTTCAATTGTCCCTTTTTGTAGTGGCTGCTACACAGTACAGCGCACATAACAAATACGAACACGTGCGAAGCGCTTGACCAACATCGTGGGAGGCCTTTTCTACCACATGTTTAGGCACCTCAATACCACCCTATGATGCTGACTCACACACTTGCAGACTTTCCCTCCAACCACTTTCCACACACTGTGCCAAACACACACCTGAACTGTCTTCAGACCCCCCCTTATGATGTCCAGAAGAACACGGGTTGCCTGCACTGCCAGCACTGCCGCAAACAGCGCCGTCAAGGCCCACAAGCCCGCCAGCTCCTGAGCAGCCACCACTGGCCAGTTATCGCTGGTTTGTGTGGTTGCGGCGGTTGTGGAGGTGTCACGAGACTCTGCAGTAGTCGACTTCAGGTAGGTCAGAGCGGGTAGGCTGGAGAAGCGGACATTTAATTTAACATTTCCTGTTGGATGATATGATGTGAGTGGGTGGGACGGGTTAATGGGACGGGTTAATACGACGGGACGGGGCAGCATTGGGCAATCGGGGAATAGTTGATGAGGGGGGGGCCTTAAAGAGCTTAGGAGTGGTCCTTTAACACTACGTGCATCACTGCATCTGAAAATTATTACAGGGAAACACGGGGCCGGGTAACCAACATTAAATGAGCTCCATAACGCACCGCCCATTACTATTCCTGTCTCACCTTCCTGGTTCCATCTGAATGTGAACAGCAAGTGCACAAACACTCTCAGCTCGGATGATAAAAGCAGCAGCTCGGTGGTCAGGCTGCGAGTGTAGCGGTCTAGGAAGTTGGAGTCCTGGCGGGTCCAGGGAAGGCGGACATGTGGAGGCGAGGGAGGAGTGAGAGGAGGGTGTTGCTTGATGGTCGAGGTTCTAAGATCCCATTTAACTAATAAGCACCGAGTCGATCACAGCCCAAGTGCCCGTCCGCTTATTACTACCTTTGGACGCTAGTTTAGGCTGATAGTGCGGTGTTTCCTGTTCTCCGTGGCGTTTAGGCGTTTAGGTATTGCCCTTGGGCCTTCGGCTCGTATGGGTAGTTTTACAGGTATGTGGTCACGCAAACCTTTTGGGGTTTTGGACCACATACCATGTAACACATACACATACAAACGGCAGGCGGCTGGCAGAGGTTAAGGCCTGACTTCTGCTCCCACTGGAAACTCGGGTTCAAATCCGCCTACCGACCTCTCGGGTGTTTGAGGAGTGTCGAATTGGGACGTGGGCCCCCATCTAGTGGACGGTGTAGGACGTGATTATATCAACTTCCGAGGTGACCAGGAATTAAGTTGAGGCACCGTTTATCCGCTAGATTTGATTGGATGCTGGTGGTGAGTTGCTGAACCCATCGACGACACATTCTGAAGCCGGATGGATTAGAGTGCCCCTCTCGCAGGGGAGAGCAGGGAACTGCCTCGGGAAAGGGGGCCGCTGGTGAAGCTGAATACCACCCTGTAACAACATAGATACACACATACCATGTAACACACTCACATACACACATACCATGTAACACACACACATACACACAGACCATGTAACACACTCACATACACACATTACTACCTGCAGGTACGTCACCATTTGTCTCATTCGCGCCTCTGTCAGGGTGTTGGGTAGCAGCACGGGGAAGCCCTCCGGGAGACCCTACCAAGGCAAGTGGACAGACAGGCAGGCAGGCAGGTGTGCACTACTTGTAAGCAACGTGATATGGCTGGAACGAAGCATGAACGAAGGCATCGGGGCATCGGGGTCCCAGATAGAAAGCCTAGGTCCTAGAAATACGTGTTTGGGGTAGCCATCTGGTAGGTAGGGCCCTGGACTGGGCAGGATAGCAGATGACCGATATGAAGCTGGTGGGCGGATGAAGGATTAGATTAGTACATGGACGCCAAAAATGCCTTCCTGGACGGTGGGAAAGAGGTTAAGTGCGCCTATATTGTTTGAGTTTGTGCACACCTAACGACAAGTACTGGTTTCGTGTGATGTGATCTCCAAAATGAAATATGATGATGGCAGCTCATGTGTGTGCACAAGCGGGACGAGAATCATAAAGATGCCCGTGAGTATTGTTGGACAGCGCGACGAGCACGCCCTCAGAAACTGCGAAGCTTGTTGTCTCACCTGCAATGCTCGGTGGAAGTACGAGTACGGTGCCCCTGTGACCGATACCTCTCCCGAACCGCGGGTCGTATTGTAGTACTGCGCGACCTTATCGGCCACTCGAACATCGTACAGCGACGAGCTCGGCAAGAACACGGGATCGGTGCCGTACGAGGCCATGGAATTTTCCCGGGCGAACAGGGTTTCCAGGTAGGAGGCGGAGAAGGGAGAGGCGGCGGCGGCGGCGGAGGAGGAGGAGGGGGAGGCGGAGGAGCTGTTGGAGCGGGCGCCCGGGATGAAATGGCTGCAAAGGTGGGGTGATGGGGTTAAACAAAGGTTGTGGTGAAAGGAGCACATGCGCAACCGGGCGGGCGCGACAAGCAAGGGGCTCGAACCGGCATTAAATGGGTTGGATGGTCGGTGATTGTGTCGAGCTGTTTTTTGTCTTCCGTTCACCTATAAAACAAGCATGTTTCAGTGCGTGACAGTCTGCGTCTCACAAGCTGAGTACAATGATGTGCTTACCGTACGCAGTCGAAGTTTAGACCAGCAAATTCAACCCGGGGATCAGTGCATCGGCCCTGCTCGTCCAACGGTCGCCGTACACCATGCAACAGAACTCCACCCACCATCCGTAACGACCGAAACAGCCGCCGATCACGCAGAGCGGAGGGGTTGCCGCCGTGCACGAACTAACAGAAAATGGACACAAAGGCAGATGCACGCGGCAGGTTTGCCGACAGGGCTAAGCTACGTGACCAGCGGGTTAAGCATCACGATATGGATGGATACGCCTTATCCTTGCCTACTGAGTAGGCAATAGAAGTAGATAGTCGAAACAACCACGACAGCACGACATGTGTTTGATCATGTATAGATTTCACCCATAAGACGTACGGTACCTACGTAACATACACGGGCACGGTCTATCGACGATCAAGAATTGTACAGACGACTCCCCCGGTGCTTGTTACAGCGGGGTTAAACCCCCTCTAGTGCTCCAGGAGTTGCTGTGTGGTTGAACCGTAGTGGTTTCTAACTAGTCAGCAGTCTATGTCTGGTCTCGTGTGGCTGTGGCTCAGCTTTGTTTTAGTTCTTTTCTCCGGCCGTTCCCTCCCTAGGGAAGTCCTCTCATTGCTTTCTTAGTTTAGCCCATGCGGGCAATAAGGATGCTCAATCGGCTACAACGAACACATGCGCTCAGCATCAGACATACACATACCTCGTCCGCCACGGCTGCCGCCGAAGGCACCGGCAGGTAGTCCAACCCGGATCCGAAATCCGTACTGTTGGACTCGGTGGGAGAGCGCAAATTTACTACAGGGATATTCAGCAAGGGTAAGGCAACAGGATAACAGGGGGCTTGCACAGTTTTATTGCAGCAGATTCACATACATACATCAACACCGATATATAATGTTTATATGTACGTATGTGTGTATATGTGTGTATATATGTATGCGAGCTGGCCAGGAGTGGAGTTGAGCCGCTGATGATCCGGCAGATTCCGTTGGATGCCAGTGGTGGGTGCTGAACCTGAGCGATCCACTGAGACGTCGGCCAGGGTGACTGAATGAGGGTGCCCCAAAATACCGGGGAAGGCAGGCTTTCGCCGGGTAGCGGCGACGGGTGAAGATATGTCCGCCTGTCCCACACATCATCATATAATCCACAACGGTATATATGTATATATATACATATGATACGTATTTTTCATACATATGCATAGGCCCTTTTAGTTGATAACACAGTATTGCCGTGCTTACCAGCAGTCGATGCTGCCGCCTGGCCAAAGTTGTCCAACTTGAACGACCACTTGAGCTGAGCCGCTGGCTTGGTGAACGACCGGCCACGGCAGTTCGTCCACAAATACTCATACCGCCCAGTGGCCTCATCTATAATCATGGTGTCGTACACGGCGCGCTCAGTTTGTAGCTCTGTGCGAGCCACAAGGTCTGAGAGCTGGGAAGCCGTGTCGTACAGTACGGCCTGCTGATTGGCCAAGTACAACAGCTGCTGATCCAAGTTGGCCGCCACAAGCGCAGACCTACGTGCCAAGGGCAACGGACAGGTGTTGTTGATGGGGAAGGCAGCAGGTGAATGCAAAGCGAAACGTTTCTGGGGGGATATCATTTGTGGTTGGCTGGGTTGTATGGTGTGGAAGACATAGGCAAAACAAACATATGCATGTGCAAATGTCCACTGCTTGCCTTTCAAGAAATAAAAGTTAAAAGCGATGCAGGCGTAAACTAGTTGCTCATGTGAGCGTCTCTGTGCGTATTGAGTGTGGTCCAATCCCCTTGGCAACTGCATTGCGCGTTCTCGTTTAAACCAAATTTGGTGTCACAGTGTGAAATCGAATTTGCGTGAGCGGGGGTGCACGTGGCTACTGGGGGGTGTAAGCCAAAATGGCAGGATGGAGCACGCGCACCTGTTCAACGCTCGGTCGATTCCTGCCTTCTGATTTTCCAGCAAGCCTGATACGGCCGACCCCACTTTGCGTTCCATATCATATTGAGCCTCCATCTGTGCAGTCTCGCTCAACGTTAAGTTAGCGGAGCTTTTGATGTGTGTGACGGCGTTCTGGGCCTTCACGAGCTGCGAGCGGATTGCGGTGATGAGGGATTGGGGACGGGATGGGGGAGTATTGGAAATGGCGGATAATGGATATGGTTTATTAGGGCTCAGGGAGGGCGTTTCTGAAGGAGCTGCAGATTCATTGGAAGAGTTCCCCGTTGCTTGGCTTTCGGGCTGGGTGGTGTCACGAAGGCAGGAGTCATGTTTGACCAATATGCGCCTACCTACAAAAACCATTTACCTGCTCCTGCATCGCCGCCACAAGGGACTGCACCGCCACTGCCAGCGCGGCTGTGGGGTTGGGCATCAATGTCGTCACCCGCTGAGCGTCTGTAAAGTTGAGCCCACCAACCATCACTGTAGCCAGGTTTTCCAGCTGCTGCTGCTGCGCCTGCCTCCTGCGCTGCCGTAAGTTCCCCACATCGCCGAGCTGCTTACCAACGTCTCCATTATTGACGCCATTGCTGGTGCTGGTGCTGGTGCTGCTACCGCTGGTCGTCATGTTCGGGCCATTGGAATACGTTTCAGCTGTTATAGCAGCGCCGCCTGTAGCTGTGTCATCTGAAGCGGTCCAAGGCGAGGATGATACTGTAAATGGTCGGGGTAGGGCTAGTGATATAGGGCCCTCGGACAGCCCTTTCTGCTGATGACCGAGAAGTTCCGAAACCATATCTGAAACCAACGAGTGACACGAGGCTGGCAGCGGGCTTCCTGCAGCATCTCCTGCTGTGCGCCTCTGGCCCGCAGATGCCGTGGGTTCCGTATCCTTCCCCAGCTGCAGCTGGCTGCGCCGCCGCGTAGCTTCCGAGGTGCTAGCGCCGCTACTTCCACTGCTGCTACCGCTGCTGCGACTACTACTAGTCGCGGCAGCGGCGCTGTTTCCAGTGGCAATGGCATGCAACAACGGGTCGGTGAGATTATATCGCAATTTCGTACTGAGCTCCGAAATTCGGAAATTAGTGTCTTTCCTGAATCGTTGCTGATAGTCGTCGAAGTCGCGGATCAGTCCTCCGTTCACTGGGGTCGGCAAATACACAGACACCTGGACATGGACGGATATTGTATAGCCCAACCCTACCGCGCGCGACAGCTTAGCGTCAACAGGTACCACGTCCCCTTCGGTGACGCCTCCCCAACCGACGCTACCAGAAAGGTATGATACCATCCAATCGTACAACCAACTACTGTTGTAAGTGGCTCGAGCTTCCTTCTGCTGCTGTATGGCGGTCTTGATTTCACGTAAGTCGCTGTCAGCCATTAGATAGGAGCTGTACGGTGGAAAGGGTTGCCGTAGATGGAGTCCGAGTAATAAATGTGCACAGTAAGTGTCTTGTCAACATTGACGTTGTCAGAGGTCACGGAAAACCTGCGGTATGGGGAAATGGATGGGGAGTGGGTGGGTGGGTGGTGGAGTGCGGGGATTCTGTGGTTGGAAAAGAGGCGGTAAGAAGGAGATGCAGCATACAACTGCTCCAGATGCTGTTTTCTTGCCTACCTGTATCGGTACGTGCCTGGCAGACACTTTCCGGGTAGATGCACATACTCAAACGGGCAGCTGCTGCAGTACGTGCTGCCGTTTGTAACGGTATTGCTGGAGTCCGTTGGTGTACAGTCGATGATGGGTGACACTTCAATGACGGAGCTCAGGTCGATGATCTCCACTTGACCATCGCCGTACACTCTTCGCGCCATGGCATAAGCACCACAATCAACTTCTGCTGTGTCGTCGGGATCTGGCAGCGCTTTACACCGGTCTAGATAGTACCGCGGGGTTTTACCATAATCAATGTATACAACGTCGGACAGCAGCGCGATCGTGGGAGGCTCTGTATACGGCGGTCGCAGCATGTTGGCCTGGTCGCACGGTAACGGTGAGCAGTACAGGCTGCATGCAGTTCCCGAGGAAATTGGGCAAGCATGCCATGCACACAATATCAGAGCGATTAAGGAAATGGAGGTGATGGAAAGCAGTAAAATCTGGACAGCAACCAATCAAAACCCCTTTACACCCCCCCCCTTTTAAGTAAGCTTACTTTCCCGGTAGGTCCTTGCACAGTCGATGCTGAACTGTGCTGTTGCCAGGGCTGGGACAAGGCTCCGTAATCTGTAGCAGCCCGGCCGGGTGACGACATACATAGAGACGAGTGTCCGTAGGTACATCTATGTACTCATGCAAGTGTGCATACATATGGATATTTGAAAATGTGGGCGTGGATCCTGCCAGGCTGTGCATGTGTAGTAGCTGGTACACAGTACGGCGCACATAACAACTATAAATACGCGCGAAGCGCTTGACCAGCATCTCGAGCGGCCTTTCCAGCGGCCAGCTACTACATTTGGTGTACAGCAATGGGCGTGACGCGCGTTTGACCTAAAGTCCGCTGTGCACGGTCCTGCACAAATCCCTCAGCCCCTACACCCACAAGCATGTAATCGTCAACGCCGGCACCAGCCATTCATCCAACCGTTATCACATGCATACGCACGCACCTCCACATATCGAACCACAGATGCATTTGCTCCCTCTGAGTCCCATACCCAGAAATCTGCATGCAGAGCGGCGCCGGCGAGAAGGTTATTAGTAGAGGGACAGAAAGCTTACGTGAAGCAAGTGAAGCAAGTGAAGCAAGTGAAGCAAGTGAAGCTCAGGCGCCCTGTTGCCGCCGCCGCCGCCGCAGCAGCAGGCAAGCGTAGAAGCAGCCATAGCAAGGCACAAGTACAATCATGCAGCAGGAAAGATGGTTGAGTTGAGTTTAAAGGTGTGGAGGAGCATATGCACGTAGCGGGCCATGGGAGGGAAACTCTGTTCAGTTTGTACTTAGTGGCAGCGAGGGTGACCGGGAGGTAACCAGGGTGGAGGATGAAAAGGAGGCGAAGGAGGATGAGCGCTCGGTTGAGCGGCGGGAAGGTAACTAGGAGTAGACGTAGAAAGTAATAAGAGATGGGAAGGCCTGCGGTATACATTGCAGGGGGGCTCAGTTAAATTTGAGTGCCTTGCTTCGGGCAAGCAGAGACTCACCGACTTTGAAGACAGTTCCTACGGGCGCCATTGAGTCGATCCCACAGCCCTCGAGGCCCGCGCCAGTCAAACGGTATGTGTTTAGCACCTGCCAAATCGAGGTGATGTTTGGAAGGGAATGGAATACATGCAAGCAGGTACGTTTGAAAACGTTCCAATGTTAGATGGGATTGTACATGTGTGTGCGTGTATGTTGTTACAGGGTGGTTAACTTCGCCAGCGGCCCCCTTTCCCGGGGCAGTCCCTGCTCTCCCCTGCTAGAGGGGCACCCTAATCCGTCACCCCATCCGACTTCAGAATGTATTCGTTGGGTTCGGCAACTCACCACCAGCATCCAACCAAATCTAGCGGATCAACGGCGCATCAACTTAGTTCCTGGTCAGCTCGCAAGTTGATATTATCACGTCCTACACCGTCCATATGATGGGGGGCCACCTCCCATTTCATCACTCCTCAAACACCCGAGGAGCTGGCAGGCGGATTTGAACCCGGGTCGACTGGATCGACTGGGAGCAGAAGTCAGGCCTTAACTTCTGCCAGCCGCCTGCCTATGTGCGTGTATGTATGTGCCTGCATGGCGGGCAACCATAATCTTCACCCTGCGGCCGCAACCCGGCAGACCCTGCCTTCGCCGGTATTTCGTGGCACCCTCATCTAGTCACCCTAGTCAACTTCTCAGTGGATTGCTCAGGTTCCGCACCCACCAGCGGCTCAGGTTCCGCACCGACCAACGGAATCTGCCGGATCGACGGCGGCCCAACCCCATTCCTGGTCCGCTCGCAAGTTAACTTTATCCCAGGTCACCACCGTCCATCGACTAGAGCCACTTTATCTTCCACCATCGAAAGAATTTTCGAGCGGCATGAAATGTCCTGCCCTTTTCCTGACCTTTTTAAGTTACAAGTTACAAGTTGCAACTTCCACACGTGAAGTGCGGCCGCCTCCATTAAAGCAAGGATGGCCATGGACTGCTAATTGTCATTATTGTGGAGCTGAGTCTGCTGGGTTACATGGGAACAATCTGCACCGACCTCCCGAACCCTTCTCCAAGATCTAGGTGTGAAGCACGCGTACGACCCGTCAGTCTATTGCTGCAGCAGTCTCCACAGGCAGGCAGGCAGGCAGTACACTGGGCCACAGTAATGGGCACACACCTTTACCTCGAAGAACGCCGGTAGCAGGACTTAACACAGATGGCATCCACCATAAACTAGGAAACCCCACCAGCGGAGACCTTGGCTCCGCTGGCGATCAGGACCACCCAACAGGCTGGGGTCCCTCTCAACCAACTCCCTTCCCAACACGGGACAAAGCCATATGGGCAGCCACGGTTTATATGTATGTCCCTGCTGCCGATTTCCACCCAGCACCCCACAAGGTTCACCTGTCGTCAGACGGCATCTCCGTTCCTGACCGGTGTGTAATCCCCCGTCTCCCCAGCTCCCGCTGCCCACTCTTCGCTCGCTCACCTGGAATGGACAGCCGCTTGGGCCCATGCAGACATCAGGAGGGCAAGCGATAACCTTGGAAGTCAGGCTGATAGCCACGGCGCCATCTGTGGGATCCGGATCCCAGGCAGTGGCTCCTGGCTCACACAACGCGTCAGGGGCAAGCTGGGAACCGTTGCAGTACAAGTACCTGTGAGGTGCATGGCACCAGTCCAACATGAAAAAGGCGGCTTGGTTCCGATTAAATGCATTATTCCTACACCCTTTAAAAAGGCTGCAGGATTCCAGCTTAGTGCGTCAGTCATGCTGCTGACCCAATATCTGTCCCCTGTCCAGTCGCACGCTACTAGCGTTTAGTAGCGTGCGACTCCAACAGCACATGCTTTCCGTCCGCAATTTGTGTATGTGGCCGTACCGCAGCACGGTATAAGCGTACTAACATGATACAGTGATCTCTTGATGGGGTCATGTAGTAGCTGGCCGCTGAAAAGGCCTTCCGAGATGCTGGTCAAGAGCTTCACGCGTATCTATAGTTGTTATGTGTGCCGTACTGTGTATCAAGCTACTCCAGGTCATCCAAAGTCGCCGGTGGTTAATAATCCAGTATTTGTTTTGTCCGCTATATGTCTGGTACATGCCCAGTCGCTTCGGTACTTATGCTGTCACACGCGCGACGTCTTGCAGGAATGTATGCACATGGCAGACACACACGCTAGCTTGCATGAGCATTTACTTCCCTCACCTGCCAAACCCTTGCTTGATTGCAACCGTTTGAGACAGGAATTCAGTGGTGATCAGTGCAATGCCGGGCGCCTTATTAGGTTTGGGAACTGCAGCGGCTTGGGTGGTCTGCTGCTGTGCTGCTGTGCTGCCGTTAGTTGTGGTACTCTTGTCGTTGGCAATAGCATTGTTGCTTTTTTCGATATCACTGCTGGTGCCACTACCGCCACCAAATGGAACGGATTGTGACAACCCTGTTGATATCTCGGAGATGCAAACCGTTTCGTTGGAACATGTCAGCTGTAGCCCAGCAAGCCGCCGGGACAGAAGGCGGAAGAAAGTAGCAGGAAGTGGCCAGCCGGGAATGGAGGTTTGTGGGTCAGTGAATGAAGGCAGTGTAAGACCAGACAAAGATTACTCAGGGAGCTGCCAAAGGACCTGATTCCTTCTTACAGGCAACAGACGGAAACGGAGTGAAAAAGGAAATGGACGGTATGTAATACATACTATGTATGTGTATTTACGAAGCGGCTCAAGCTGCTGGCATGCGCACGCAAGGTGCGAGATGGCATGGAGGGCAAAGAGCTCGAGTGAAGGCGCGAAAGCGAACGTGCATGTATTTACACCCGGCCCAATCAAGTAGTCATTAACTCCGAACAACCTTATATAACTAGCACCCAATTAGTGTATTGCATGGCGCATACACATCCCGCCTCGCTCGCAACATCCCAAGTATGGCGTTTACACACGTACACGGTTGCACACACGTACCCTATCTGCACAGATCCGCTCTCCGGGTGGACACAGAGGTCGGACCGTGATTTGGCGCCAAGTGGCGGCGTAGGCGCCGGCGGAGTTGCGAACCGAGTAGGTCAGGTTGAATATGCCTGGTCTCTGAGTACTGAAGGCAAGGGAGGGCAGGGACGCAAAGTGCGTACGGGGTTCATTCGCTTGCATGTGTGCGCAGTCGAGGGGCATGCAGCTGCATGTAGCAGCGAGGCATGCGAGAAGAAAGGCTTGTTTGCTGGTGGGAAGACAGTACAGTTACGAAAATGGAGGAAACTGTATACGCATGAAAAGTAGAAAGAGAGATGGCTTTCACAGGTTTGGCTTAGTACGAGCTACATCTCCTGTTATGAGACCAACAAACAGACACGCACCATCCCTACTGACCTGACGTTGCACGCGAGCAGCACCGGTACTGTCATTGTGTTCGATGTCACGACCAGAGGCTGCCCGCATATCCTAACACGGCGATCTAAGTTGCCATCAAATGGGTCCTCAGCCAGAGCCCCGCGATCGCACACTGCCGTGATGGGCGAGGAGAAGGTGCACCTGTGTGCATATGTAGTAGCTGGTACTTAGTATAGCACACATAACATTTACAAATACACGCTAAGGTGCTCCACCGCATCTCGAGAGAGGCCTTTTTAGCGGCCAGCTACTACAGCATACATGCGTAGGGACATGATTGACTGGCGTTTTGCACGATATTAGATTCGAAAAATACTCCTCCAATGAATGATGCCACAGTTCATGGATTGTTGCATGGATCCCACCCATGTAGATGTAGAAGCGCAGGCACACAGGTCGAGGCCCCATTCGTACTTAAGAGATGCACGGCGGTGGGGCATACATGGCGCCGCTCGAAAGAAGGACAACTCACGCTTGTGCCCAATTCTGAACATGCATTGTGTTGCTTACAAATGGGGCTCAGGCGTGAGACTACTGCGCACCGTAGAAACTTCCGTACGTTTTGGATCCATAGTACAGATCAAACACATGCAAGGAAGGGCGGCAAGAAAGCTTGCTTTGGTATGCGATGCACAATCGATGGTTCATGCCATGCACATGTGAAGCCATAATCCATTAGCTATGTTAGAACAGCGGTACGATACACAAGAAAGCATGTATCTTAATGCCTATGTTCATGTATGTGCCAGTACCGGCTGCTGTATAGCACCTAAAGTAACGGACCTGTCGTATTTGCTGTACTGCATTAGCTCCAGGAACCGGGGCCCTTGCAAAGTAATGCGCAGAGAGCTGCCGGCCGCGAGCATTGACAAAGCGCTACTGGTACTGGTACTACTACTGCTGCTGCTGCTGCTGCCGGTGATGCTGCTTCCGCTGGTGGCCACCGAGTTAGTAGGACCGTTACTGCTAGGATTGCTAGCGACAAGGACACTGGAATTCGTGGTACCATCAACAGCATTAGAAGCAGCAGGTGTACTAGAACTTGTGCTTGCAGCAAGCATGGTGGTGCCGCCAGTACTGGTAGTGGCAGTGGCGGTGGCAGTCCGGCTGCTGCTATATTCTGAGGCAGTGCTGCCGGTAGAAGTGTCTGAATCTCCACACACGCCGTTCACCGTGCAACGGCCTGCACTGGTTCCGCTTTCCGTGTTATTTGTGACGCAATAAACTTCCGGTGTGATGCAACTGATGCGAACCTGCACGCAGAAACTCAAACGCGGAATCATACAGACTTCAAAGCTTTGAATAAGGATAAGCAGACATGCGAGGTATGGTAGGCCCAAAACCTTGGTGATTGGACCGCATATGTTTCTTTTCGTTTCTGTAGTAGCTGGTACATAGTACGGCACGCATGGTGTCTAAAAATACACGTTAAGGCGCTCCACACTCTGGGAAAACGGGGGTCATTTTACCCGTAAATTTGGGTCAATCCACCCGTAATTTGACAGAAATTACGGGTCCGTAACACGTTACGGGTCCCGTAATTTGAGCACAAGGATACGGGTGAACATTTACGGGCGACTACCCCGGAATTACGGGTGGATATTACGCGGTGCTGCAGGTGAATTACGGGCGCATGTAACCAATTACGCGCACAATTACGGGTGAAGACCCAGTGATTACGGGTGGATATTACGCGGTGCTGCAGGTGAATTACGGGCGCATGTAACCAATTACGCGCACAATTACGGGTGAAGACCCAGTGATTACGGGTGGATATTACGCGGTGCTGCAGGTGAATTACGGGCGCATGTAACCAATTACGCGCACAATTACGGGTCAAGACCTTGTGATTACGGGTAATGTAACCTGTGGATGACTTCCAGCACGGGCAACCAACAAAATGTCACCTATGTTCTTCCTTATAAAAGGAATGCTTTGGCAACTTAAAAATAAGCATGTTTACAAATTTTCTTGGCTACTACATTGTACTGCAAACATTTTACAATTGTAACGTACCAGCCGCCATGCCGGTCGTGCAGAGTTACCAGCGCCATCCACCACAGTGTACAGGATGGCGAAGCCGTACGGCGCCTTTGGTGGTGTGGCCACAAGGGTATCGACAGCAGCTGCACCGAAGGATTGTATCCTGGAAGTGATGTTGACCGTGAGACCGAACTCGTTAACATCGACAGCGACGGCGCCTGCATGCCAGGCGGGACTAATATTGAATTTTTTTTAATTTTATTAATTTTTTCTCTGTTTTCGCCGCGGGTGATGAGTTCCTAACGGTAAAGAAGCACCCACTATGTTTATTGCTCCAAACTGCTTGAGGCAGAACACCTCAGAACACCTCAGAGCAACAGAACACACGCCCTTAACAGCGTTAGAGCAATAAAACCCATTATTCCTATCCTGGAATGTGCTGAGGGCCGGGAACCCGCTTCCATGCGGGTTCAGGAATAAGGAATAAGTGATGAAATCAGGAAGTGTACATTTCGCTCCCATCAATGCGCTCGCTTTGCCGCTCCCTGGGCTGTGACAGGTCACAGTGCAGGCTGCAATGGCTGCATTCTCGCCCATGCACAGGCTACAGGGATTGCACCATACCCTGTCGAGAGGTTTCCCAGTAACCGTACATGTTGTAGTTCTCCGAGTCATGAAGTAAAAGCACAATACGATTAAAGCAGGCCAATCAACTGACCCAGTAGATACACGCACTACGGAACGTCCTCTCCCCGGCTGTAGTAGCCGGTACCCTGTACGGCACCGTGAACAACTACAAATACGCGCTAAGCGCTCCACCAGCATCTTGAGAGGCCTTTTCAGCGGCCAGCTACTACATCGCCCTTCCCCAAGTGAACTAGCTCCAACCATCCCAACCCGCGCCTCTTTTTCCCCTTAAATCCGTCGACCGTTTGGCCCTGTAAAATTGAGGAGTGTCTATCGACCATTTGTTTTCAGGCCTATCTACTATACCATAGCACGATCTATAATAGATCATGCTATACCATGAATCTTCTTACGATCTTACCTATATCGTGAGTAAGAAAGAAATTTACTAAAATGTTTTCTTACCTAAGATAGGGACGGTCCCTACCTATTACACGAGGGTGTCGCATATAGGGAGCAAAACGTTTATTGACAATATTATACGATGACCCTGCTGCCTGTAGACCATAAAAACTTTACCGCCGGGCATAATTCGTCCCCGTACCTGGATGGGTCCACGTGCTACCGTACGATATGTCATCAAGCATGATCGCCTGACCCTGCCGGTTTATTGCGACCCGGCCAGAGCCTCGCAAGGTGAGACGCGGAGAAAATTTGTCCTTGCGATGCTCCCGAAGGGCCCTACATGCAGTACCAGGCATTGAAAGGAGAATTGCACTTACAATCAATGAGCGCAGGTGAATGGGTGTTTTACCAGACCTTTTAAAAACATCAGATCGTACGATCTGTAGATACACGTCTACAGATCGTGGCCTTGTACAATAGATAGGCAGGAAAGGGACGTCCATACCTGATGTACCAGCTGATGTACCAAGGCACAAGTTAAAGACGAGAAGTATCCTACAGACGGGTCTACTGATCATGCCGGGGTGTACATGTATTAGATAGGGACCATCCCTACTTATTATACCAGGGCACGATCTATGGACGATAAACATTTTGCAAAAGGATGGCGCCCCAGAGAGAGTATACATACATGCTACTGCCCCATACTCATTTCAAGACGCAGCTACATGACATATAGCAAGTGCAGCATTTGTATACGGTACAACTTCAAGACATGTGTATGCACAGGACGACTCGTCCTGAGCTCGGAGCTCACCGACTGTTGGTTCCGGTGTCGATGCTGTCAAGTCCAACATCATCTCCGAGGCATTGCCCGGCCACAGAGCACTTCTCGTCTTTGAAGCACCAGAACTCGTCTAAGCGTTGGCAGGGATCGGCGATGACTACTACCAGCCGCTTAGGGGACGCAGGACTGTGGCAGGAGGTAAAGAGATGGGGGCGCTTGCATTCACAACAACCATGCAAAGCTTGCCCTAGCTGCTAAGAAACCTACATATATATTTACTGTTCCCTAGATTGTTTTTTATAAATCGTCACTTTACATCGACCTGCCCGATACCTCCCCACGTGAGCACCCCTCGCCTCATCCATACATTTGTCTGCTGTTAACCGCCCGGTACTCCACAAGATACGCCTGGTTGCGCAAGTTAGGTTGCGACGAATCCAGGGAGGAAGTGGTCACGCACTCCATGCCGCTGGCGGCTAAGTCGACGTCGCCAGTCTCTGATAAGGGACGGTGCAACGACAAGATGTGTACCAGCGTAAAGGATCAAGGTATTGCTTGTTGGCCGTGGTGAATACCGAGCCAGAGAGAAAAGCACGCAGAGCAGCACAAGTCGAAGCGCGCAGTGAATGTCAGGAGTCCATTGTCAGGTGAAAAAGTGAGACAGTGCATCGTCAGGCGGCAGGTAGGGCATTGCCGGGACCCGGTCCCTCGAGCCCCATGGAACACGTGAGCGGACCATGGTTTGGAATGATTAGCTGTAACAGGTGGCCACTGAGATGGCCTCTCAAGATGCTGGCAGAGCGCTCAGCCTCAGTGCGTGCCGTACTGTACAACAACTACTACGTCGGCTGGCAAGCTTATCGGCACTGGCGAGATACTATGCCAGTTATGGATTCATAACTGCGAAGTGTCCATGGAATGCCCCTGCCGCGTTGCTTACATATCAGTAAAACTCACCTACCGGATTTTGTCATTTCGCGCAGTGCATGTGAGAGATGTATGCATTTGCCCGTTACGTTACCTTGGCTACTAGCTAGACAAAACACGGGCCCTTACCCAGCAAGCAAAACGATTGCTCACACGGGCCGCGGGAAAAAGGGCCTCTACCTCAACTTGTGCCCAATGAACTTCAAGTGGTTGGTTTCAAAACCCGCACCGTGAACACGAATTGTCACGGGGCTAGCTTTCAAGCGCGATGTACACGTCACACACTCACCTGTGCCCACAAGGATGCCATCTAGACCTTCCGGCGGCAAGCTGCATAGGAAGTACTTGGTGCTGATTTTCACGTTGATTGAGTCCACGGGGTCAGAGGCGGTGACAGGCGGCTCAACAAAGGGCGAGGCTTTGGAGGCGAACCATTCATACAGCGTCTCACCCTGAGCTTGGGGAACAGGGCATACGGCGAGGTTATGGTAAGCGCCTCAGCTGCTTCATCATGCGAAGCAAGGAAGCTGAGGGGGCTACAGCGGCGGGGCTGAGGAGGCTAATAAGGCAGCAATAGCTCTCTTAGTGACTAGGCTCTCCGTTCTGGGCTTCGCCGTGGGTTGGTGCACGTGTCATTTAGGGCCAATTGGGCTAGGTGTCCGATTCCTTGCAGCTCTGAAGAGCGAACACACAGACCCCTTGCCGCCACAACATGCCTTTGGTGCGTATACCGAGGAACACACCGTGTGTTCCTTGGTACACGGTGTGGTGCATGTAGGGAAGGATGCAGGCCTCTGTGGCCGCAGTGAGGAAGGTGGTACAGGTCAGGGCCATGGGCAAAGCTGACGGCAGTAAAGCGATAATGTTCTTAGGGTTGAATTAATTTTCAATACATACGCATGCACTTTCAGGCATCCATGTCTAGTGAGATTTCTAGCGAGAGGCAAGATGTAGCAGCTGACCGCTGAAAAGGTCTCTCGAGTTGCTGGTGGTCGCGCTCTGCGGGTATTTATAGCACCGTACTGTGTCGGCTGCTACACAAGAAGGATAGGATAATCGTTCCGTGTCTAGACATAAGGTATTTGTATCTGGATTCCGTGCGTACACGCAATGCCTCAGGCCATGGACGAAGACTTTTACTAGTGCATCGTCACCTGCTGGATGAAACGGGCTGAGGATACAGTTGGTGATTGAGTGGGCGAGCGCCGCAATTTCCTATCATCTAAATCATGCCCTTTACCTATTATACAACGGCACGATATTTATAGACTAAAACAATTTTACAGATGGAGTGAGCTGGGTAATAAGCGCACACCTTCCATGCGAGGCCAATGGATGTAAGGCTGGGACAAACGAGTAGTGAAGATAGGTGACAGATTCGCATGTAGCTTAGGTGATTGGCTCGCTCGTCGCTGGGCTTCTCAGCTGGCTGCACCTCACCTGTACTTCGATGGTGGGTGGGTCCTTGTTGGTAGCAGCTAAGGCCTTCATGTCGATGGCTGGCTCACCCGCAGCCCTTTCGTTGGAGGAGGACGAAGATCCAATGGTTTCGGTGCTGGGGTCCACATCCAGGATCTCCAGCATAGCAGAACCTGCGTATACATTACGTAGTTTTGCCATATTGTACCAAGGCTAAAATATAAATAATAATAAATAATTATAATATTATTGGACCGACCGCCGGTCACTCTTGTACTTAGCTAAGTACAAGAATGACCTGGTACTTAGCTAAGTACAAGAGTGACCGCGGTCGGTCCAATAATATTTTAATTACTTATTATTAATATTTTAATCATCTGTTAATATTTTAATCGTTTATTCTCTTTTATAATATTTGTGTATATATTTATTATATATTTATGTATGATGTATGTAGTATTACATAGGGACATGGGTCCCTATCTATTTCACCAGCAGGGCACGATCTATATATAGACGATAAAAACGTTTACGGCCATATGTGAAGTACACATAATCGTGATGCACATGTGTGATCGTTGCGTAGGTACCTGGCCCGTTGGCATGGCCGGAGAGGCTGGGCGTATCCACAGACGAAGTGAGACCATGTACCTGGCAGCGAGAGTGCGGAAAGATAGGCAGGGATGCGGCAACAACGTCATTTTCCTATTTATCTTTTAGAAAGTTGTTTTCTCTGCTAAAATTCTGTGTCTGAATCGTCATTGTTAATTTCGCCTGCGAACCATTTCATCCGTACGATGCGCGTGCCTCGCTGCATGGCAACCTCAATCCTAGTTCAGGTCGTCCAGGGGCTGTATCATAGCACCTGCGTATCCTGAATTTTGAGTACTTGTAACACAGCAAAGGCGTAACCCGGGATGCTCAGATTGGCATTTGCGTCGTTACATTGCCCCCCACTTAGCAATGGACGTCCTCGGCCATTATTTCGAGCACAGGAGCCATCCCACCTCGCGCCAGTGCGCTGGTTTATCCATTACACCATGAAATCGCCAATTTGCGACTTGCTGGTTGCCAGAATCGAACCGCCGACCCGAAGTTTATTTCGGAATTCGTGCGGTCCCGTCTCGATACCATTGTAACACAGCAAAGGCGTAACCCGGGATGCTCAGATTGGCATTTGCGTCGTTACAGTACTGCAGACGCATTGCCTAAGTGCCGGAAACACCGCTTACAAGGAATTCCTTTAGGCGGTTGGGCTGGGCCAGCTATCTTTCCCAACGAATCGACAGACGAACTTGCGCCAGCCAGCATTGATTTGCCCAAGTTCCGATGGGAGGGGGAAAATGCAATGGGGTGTCCATTTCCCCAATACGGAAGATAACCATACTGGCAGATGTTCGAGAGTGAGGCCTCACAACCTAGGGTTATGGAGCAACAGTCGGGTCTTCAAGGATAAAACCCAAACGGCAGATAGCCGTCGTTGGAAGAGTGGGAGTGGGAGAAACATAGGTGCACAGAAAGGGTTTCATTTGTTAGGCTTTTTAATCCATCCTCACTCTGCAACACTTGGCAAGGCTGGCACTCTGGGAAAACGGGGGTCATTTTACCCGTAAATTTGGGTCAATCCACCCGTAATTTGACAGAAATTCCGGGTCCGTAACACGTTACGGGTCCCGTAATTTGAGCACAAGGATACGGGTGAACATTTACGGGCGACTACCCCGGAATTACGGGTGGATATTACGCGGTGCTGCAGGTGAATTACGGGCGCATGTAACCAATTACGTGCACAATTACGGGTGAAGACCCAGTGATTACGGGTGGATATTACGCAGTGCTGCAGGTGAATTACAGGCGCATGTAACCAAATACGCGCACAATTACAGGTGAATACCCAGTGATTACGGGTGGATATTACGCGGTGCAGCGCTGCAGGTGAATTACGGGCGCATGTAACCAATTACACGCACAATTATGGGTGAATACCCAGTGATTACGGGTGGATATTACGCGGTGCTGCAGGTGAATTACGGGCGCATGTAACCAATTACGCGCACAATTATGGGTGAATACCCAGTGACTACGGGTGGATATTACGCGGTGCTGCAGGTGAATTACGGGCGCATGTAACCAATTACGCGCACAATTACGGGTGAATACCCAGTGATTACGGGTGGATATTACGCGGTGCTGCAGGTGAATTATGGGCGCATGTAACCAATTACACGTACAATTAGGGGTGAAGACCCTGTTATCACGGGTTACACGGGCAGATATTACTCTGCCATGGGCTGGCTGAGGCACCCACGGCGTATGTAGGCAGGAAGGTCCGTCCAAGCCTACCTTCGTGCTGCACATGTCAAGTTCGAAGGAATCCCTCGCTACACACTCACCTCGGCCAGGGTTGCGTTGAGGTCGGGATAGGTATCCGGCAGTGAGAGGGCCAGCGGTGGAAACTGAAGCAGGTAGAATACAAACGAGTCCAGCGCTGTCTGGCCAACGAAGTTACCAGACACGGACTGCCAGTCGCCGGGAAACCATACCTGTAATTTTTCAGGCAAAATGTATTACGGACACTTGACGGAAATCCTAAGCACACGGCTTTGGGGCCCCCGCGGCTGGTAGGTGCGGTCTCACTTTCGCCTTTCTATGGTTGCACAAGCTCATGCGTCCGCAAGACGTGAAGAGTGAGAGCTTAGAGTACGCACACAGTCATCCTTATCTTCCCAGCAATCATATATGTGCTATGCCCGTTGAACCGCGTCCCACGTACCGTGCATGACAATGTCGTGCCGCCGCCAGTACTGTTGCCATTTGTACTGGATGTGCGAAGCTTGGCCACCTGCGGCAAAGCAACAGCAGCCCGTTCAACTCACCGTCCCCACATTCGCCATGCAAAGGCAGCAGGTTGCACACTCGAGAGTTAGATGCTGCATGACAGCTATGCACCAGAGCAGACAACCAACAGATATTTTCAGTATGCAAGAAAAGGTGAAGTTTGCCATGCATGATGGTGCATGGCTGCGGGACATGCTTTGTTGGCGTACGCGTGCCTGAGTTAAATGATTGCGAAGCAATTTGGTTAAATGAATCGAATGTGCGTCGTGTGAGGGCAAGATGGACTGGGAGGGAGGAATGTATGACGATGGAACTTAGAGAGAGGAGGGGCGGGGGTGAGGGGACGGGGGGAACTGTAGTAAGCTACATTTCCCTTAGAATATTTCAGCAATTACTGTTAACAATAACTGTAATTTCGTTAACGCTTCGACTCGAGTTTCGTACGTGTTACGTACTATCGTAACATGTCACGAGGATGGCAGTTGCTCGTAGTGAACACAACGGGCTGGGGCCCCGGGCCCCACCGACAGTATCCAAGTACGGCAGGACCGTGGTAGGGAATCTCCGGCAGGTAGGCCGAGATATAAGCTACCCGGGCGGGGTGCTATGGCCAGGCACTTAAGTATCACAACTACTTGGTGTTCAGAGTTCAAGACTCTGCTGCCGTCATCTCAGATTGTTTCGTATCTGTCTATGTACGCTAGTGATTGTCGCTGGGTTGGACTTCTTCCTGCCTCAGCGAGGACTCTAAACTCCACGCTTCCGCAAAGCCAGTCGTCCCGCCAGGCGAGCGGCTGCTACAGGAACGAGGCCCTTCCAAGCCACCCCAATCTGCACACCATTTCCATAAAACCATGATGCCCGCACTTCATTGTTTGTACCGTTTCAAGCTCTAGGGACTCCCTAGCTTCGTTCCCTTGGAGGGAACAAATGCCACAAGCTTGGTACTTAAGTACCTCAAGTGCCTCAAGTAGTGCCTACTAAGTTGTGTTGGCAACCTGTTATGGCAACCTGCCCGCTGGGTATGTATTGAACCCGTTCAGGTAAAAATGTTCATGCACTTTGCATTCACAACCAGCGCGAGTCTCCATGCACGGCAAAAAAACCATGCCGCCTTGTCAATTTTGCATCCTACGGTCCACTAATAATCCATGCACATTAAGAATAAACATGCTACTAGCTCGCCTGAACATACGAAATCTCGGGAAGGATTGCGTTGTTGGTAATGATGGCCTTGAAATCTGCCAGGAAGGACTCTTGTCCGCCCGGATATGCAGAAGGGTCGAAATCCGGGAAGAAGGCATCGAAGGACACTGCCGGGTTGGTGCTCGAGTCGAACGGCAAGGGCGGTCCAGGCGACGGGGGTGCTGCACGAAGTGGTAAAACCATAGATGTTCAGCCGTATGTGCATATATACATCACAACATGTGGGAAACATTTGGGCACAGCAGGGCACGGTAAATGAGAAATGCAACAAAGGAGACGGGTGGGCGAGACGGGATGGCTGGCAAGGAACGACGGAAAGCAGAAAATGTTAAAAGTGTGCGGGCACGGCATCGAGTAGCAGATCGGGGCACGGCAGCAGGAACTGCAGATCGGGGGATGATGGATTGATGACTTGAGAGGTTGGCGATCGAGTTGCTTATGACCCAAATGCCTACCGGGAGGCGGTTGAGGGAACAAAGGAGGCCTTTTGAAAAACGGAGGTCTCGGGGGCCATGGGGGTGGGCTCGGTGGTGGTGATGGACTGGGTGGCGATGGTGGTGGCCTGGGAGGCTTCGGGGGGCTGGGTGGCGGCCTCGGAGGTGAAGGCGGACGGGGGGGTGATGGTGGTGGCCTAGGCGGTCGTGGAGGACCAGGCGGAGGTGAAGGAGATGGCGGTGGGAAGGGCGGCAATGGTGGATGCCTGGGAGGTCGTGGGGGATTAGGTGGTGCTGGAGGCCCAGGGGGTGCTGGTGATGGGCGTGGGGGACGACCTGTTTGTCCAGGACGGAAGGGAGGGTACGGCACATCTGGGGGAATTGACGGGGCTGGAGGGGGTCTTGGGGGAGGAGGGGGCGGTGGTGGAGGTGGAGGCGGACTTCCGATTAAGGATGGTGGAGGCGAGGGCGAGGATAGTGATGACTGGGGCAATGGTGGCCGTGATGGTGGTAATGGAGGTGAAGGGACCAGGCTCGCAACCAATGGACCTTGTGCGTCGCCTTTGATACCTGGAGGTCTCTCTGGATGCGGTGGTGCCGGGTACACCGGCAGGAGGTTGGGCAGATGATAAAATCCGCCGGGTTGGAGCGGTTGAGAGTTTGGTGGTGTCGGCTCTGGGACTCTTGGCGGCTCGTGAAAATGTGGATGCTGCTGCAGATCATCGATCGGAGTTGCTTTGGGTGGGGGTGGGCGGCTTGGCGGCTTGGCTAGCTGTGGTTTTGATGCCTCTGGATCTGGAACCATTGGGTTTGGAGGTTGGGGTGGAGGCGCTAACGTTTGTACCGGTAATAGGGGTTGTGGTGGAGGTTGAGGTGATAGAAGCTGAAATGGTGGAGGTGGCGGCCATGGGGATGATGGAGTTGAGGGCGGAGGAGGGGAAGGCGGTGGTGAAGGCCAAGGAGGGAGAGGTGGCAGCCGAGGTGGTGAAGGATGTTGAGGAGGCGGCGGTGATGGAGGTGGGGGCCGAGGAGGGGAAGGCGGTGATGAAGGCGGCGGTGATGGAGGTGGGGGCCGAGGAGGGGAAGGCGGTGATGAAGGCGGCGGTGGTGGAGGTGGGGGCCGAGGAGAGGAAGGCGGTGGTGAAGGCGGATGTGACGGAGGTGGGGGCCGAGGTGGTGGAGGTGGGGGCCGAGGAGAGGAAGGCGGTGGTGAAGGCGGATGTGACGGAGGTGGGGGCCGAGGTGGTGGAGGTGGGGGCCGAGGAGGGGAAGGCGGTGGTGAAGGCGGATGTGGCGGAGGTGGGGGCCGAGGTGGTGGAGGTGGGGGCCGAGGAGAGGAAGGCGGTGGTGAAGGCGGCGTTGGTGGATGTAGGTGTCGGGCTGTTGGCTCCAATCGATATCCCTTTGGTGTGGATGGAGGTGGCAACAGAGGAGGTCGAGGTGATGGTGGTGGCCGTGGAGGCCTCGGTGGCGCCGGAGGCCTCGGTGGCGGTGAAGGTGGCCGAGGCGGTGAAGGTGGCGGTGAAGGTGGTTGCGGTGGCGATGTTGGTGGGGGGGCCCATGGAGGGGGGGGCTGTTGTGGTAGGTATGGAGGGCTAGGCGGGGTGGGATAGTACGGGGGAAGTAGATAGTTTGGAGTCGCAGGCACGTTACAGGTCACAAAGGTGCACGGGTAGTTCAGTGACGGGGTCAATGGTGGATACATGGGTGGTGGTGGTGATTGCGGCACAGTAGGATACCACGATGACGGTGGTAAGGTAGGCGGTGGCGAGATTGCAGGGTTTGCAAGGTAAACTGGGGGGGTTGCTGGCTTGAATAGACTGCGGGCAAGAGGGGAGCTTAGTGGTGAGGATGGTTGTGGCGGCATCACTGAACTGGATGCTGGATGTGAATTGGGTGCTGCTTCAAGACTGTCATTACGCGGTGTCGATGCTGAAGTTGGGAGAGGTGGTAAGGCGGGCTGGGAGGAAGGCGCAATCGATGACGGGGTTACATAGGTTGTTGGGACGAGATCAGATGGTGGTGGTGGAGGTGATGGTGGTGGAGGTGATGGTGGTGATGGTGATGGTGGTGATGGAGGTGATGGTGATGGTGGTGGTGATGGTGATAGTGGTGGTGATGGTGGTGGCATTAAGATGGGTTGTGATGGTGGCGGCATTGGCTCTTGAAAGCATGGGTTGGCACTGGCATTGCATGGGGTTGTAAAGGATCCTAACCAGTTGAACACCAGTTGCCTGGCCAACATTTTGGCGTGTAACCATGACCAATCTGGAGGAAACGAACTGCTATTGCCAACTGTTTTGCAAGTGCAATTAGACGACCTGCAGGATACGGGACGCAAGGGCGGGAGAGGACCAGATATGAACATCTCTGGACGTGTAAATGAAGGGCGGCATGCACATGCGGAACTTGTTCAGTGGCGGCTGCAGCCAACCCAGCTGGGTTGGATCAAGTTAGCTACAGCGTCAGTAAGTTGTGAATGGTTGCGCTTTAGTATAATAGATAGGCACTCGAAAGTTCCTCAAATATGATAAGAAGGCACCAATATTCATAATTTATTATGAATTTGCAGACGAGGGTCGGATCTCCATTAAGTGTGGTGCTTAAGTTGTGAGCACTGGTCACTGACTTGTCTATTTGGGAAGCTGCATGCAATTATTCCGTCTCTGTGATTGCTCCAACAGGAATCAGACTCAGTAACACCAGGGGACTCATTGGCAGATGTTGGGTGGCCGTCTCGTATGTGATGGCATGCGATGGTATGTGATGTTTGCCATGCAAGCTCTGGGCAAACGTTAGGGCACCTCTATCGTCCTCGATGGCGCGAGATTATCTACGAGGCTTGCTGCTGATAACCTTGCATTCCCAGTCAAAACTCCGTTCAGGTAGATTTGCGCTTGACGACCCTGCTGATTGACTCTAATATGTTATCCTCTGTAGTAGCTGGTACACAGTACGGCTCTACAAATACGCGCGTAGCGCGACCACCAGCATCTCGAGAGGCCTTTTCAGCCGCCAGCTACTACATTTGGTATCGAGACCTCGTGAATGTTGAATGTGTTGGTCGCATACTCAGTTCGTTAAGCTCACGCAGTACTGTTTGTACTAGTTTAATGAGAGAATAGCAGCTTGCCAGCACGCAGGGGGGCCTTCCGCAAACAGAGATCGCATCAGGCGCCGCCGTCCACCGCACCAACGATGCATCATAACATCAACTAGTTGCCAGAAAGGCGGCGGGGAACGTGGCATCCGAACGCGCACGCAATTAGACCCCCGCCGTGACCGGTTGCCCTCTTTGGTGGGCTTCATATATAATTGGCCTGCTGGTACGTACCAGAATTGTATACAATTGAATTCCCAGAGTGTTCCCAGAGTGTTCCCAGAGCATTGCAATGCTCGCCCTAAAAACTCACTGGGCTTGTAACAGGGTCAAATGGGCTGCTGAGGCCTGTTTGGCCCTGCTGTAGGTTATAATTATTACAGTCCGTTTGGCCCTAGTTGGCTCTGCTGATAGCCCAATGAGTTGATGGGGTCGGTTATTGGTGAGACTAATCGGATCAATGCAACATCGTACATTTAACAAATGCATAAAACGGTATGTATGGTTGCACGACAAGGTGCATGCTTTTGCCGTTATTAGGCATGGCCCTTACATGATTGTTGTCGTATGTGTCTTGTGTGCATGAAGAAGTAAGCATGAAGCAGCATATTCGTTATAAACACATCCCTTAATATTCTTATAGCTTCCCGCTATGAATGACAAGGCCGCTACTGCACCGACCACGCATTTCGGCAGGTCGTGCAGGATCGACGGCGGAGCAATGTTCCAGAATGCAGCTACTAGCTGCAGCTACTAGCTGCAGCTACTAGCTAAGGAGATCCTAGTAGGATCTCCTTAGGATTGGTTTTTTTTATTGGTGCTTCATTTTACCATCCGTGAGATCCCCGGGTTTTGAGACCATTCCATTTTACCATTCCGTGAGATCCCCATTTGCGTGGAACTTGTCACCTGTCACTCTACCTGATAGATAAAACAGTCAGCAGCGAGCCCTGGTATTTCACCGTAGCATTGGGATCAGTTAACGACTGCAGCCATTCATCCGGCAGTGGTCCATAGAGTCCCGATCCGCTTTTGTGTTGACCCAGCCTGACGGAGCTCGATGACCAGATCAGGTGGGCCCAGGATGGAGGCAGGGGCCCCTCCAAATTGTTTCCATCCAGACGGAGAACTGAGAAGCCCTTGAACCCAGGGACGTTGGACCAGGCGGAGGGAAGGGTGCCTGTTCACGAAATAAACATGGGGTCGTCATGCGGCTAGAGAAGTTACGTAAAGGGAAAGAGAGGCATTTGAAGGCATGCGATCGCATGCTCGCGAGCAGGGCCAGTACTGGAAATAACAAAGCATATGAGGCCGCCGGCCATGTCCAACGGTCGATATTGCCATCAGGCAAGTTTTTTAGTCATTCTTCAGAAGTTGCCCCTGCGGCAATTGTGCAAATCCAAATGCGTAGACATGTAAACATCCCTGGCTAAAGTAGGTGCCAAACTCCGTATTGAATACGGACCCACAGCATCCAGGGAAAGCAAAGGATAGAAGCATTTACTGTTCTTCCGTAGATGAGAAATTCTGTCACTATAGTCACTACCGCGGCATACAGCTGGAAGGCACGTTACTACATTATCCAACGAAAAACTGGCCAACACAACTGACTCATCAGTACGTTGCCGCCTTTCGGATGAGGCAAACTTTGCTGAGCACTCCCGTGAAAGACGCAAGGATATTATCTTTATGACATAGCCATGTACGTTTGACACAGATAACTGGCGAATCTAGCTAGTTATCTGGACCATCATTGTACAACATTGGGTTGGTACGGCCCGCCGTTTTCCCATTAAGATTCTCGTGCTTGTGAAATGTCTTGCTTTATCGCACACCTTACGGTGAACAAGTCATCAACAGGTCCCTTGCTTTCGTCGGGCCCCCCTGTTTTATACCGGTATGCCATCAGTTAGCAGCGTGTAGTAGCTGGTACACAGTACGGCTATACAAATACGCGCTAAGCGCGACCGCCAGCATCTCGAGAGGCCTTTTCAGCGGCCAGCTACTACACAGCGAGGCTCATGAGCTATTACACAAGTTTCAAGACCAGCACACGTGTGAGGGCGTCCGAAAAGCCGGGGGAGAAGCATGGTCATTATTATGATTTTGGACCGTCCTCCTCCTCCGTTGCCGTCCTCCTCCGTTTCCCTGGGCTCGACACGCCTGAGACTTGAACGTGATTTGCCTGGTCCCCGAGACCTCCGGGAGAAAAACAGCCATAGCTGTGATGCCCTCAGCCACATCAATAGAACACATCTCTCACTCGCAGAGACCAAGGTACTTTTCCTAGGTTAATATCAATTTCAACAATCAAACTACTCCTTTGGCTATAATTGCTTGCCCCTGTGACTAAGACTAATTACGGGAAGTTGAGGGCTTCTGCGAATTGATTTTTCTGGTCACCTATATTATAAATATTATATGTGACACCCTCGTGTAATAGGTAGGGACCGTCCCTATCTATAGGTGATCAAAAAATAAATACTGACCACTGTCAGTGAATGCACTGGTGAATGCGCTGTGGCGAACGGCGGCGCGGGTTCGCGAAACAACAACAGTGTTATCAGCTTAATCGTATCTATTTTTATTCACAACTCTCCAAGCTCAGCAGGTGCCCGAGACCTTTTTCCCGCCAACACGTGGCGACAGTGCACGGATGGTCGTGATGGTAGATTAATACAGGCCACCGGCCCTGATCCCGGCAGCCATTGGTGTTACAATCAAACTGGAAGCTCGGTGTCAGAACAGTTGATGGTGTCAGAACAGTCTTGTATGTTTAGCATTTGCCTAGTGACTGACTGTACCGAAAATTCATTGTTCTGAAACCACTTGAATGGATCAATCCAAAGTGCCCTCTCCGGCATGCACGGATTTTTATTACACTATTTAATGCCACATGTGGTTGTACAACCGAGACGATACATGTGGGGGTGAACTGGGCATGTACACGCAAACACCCCAGCCAGGCAAGCGCCTGAGCTCTTGTTACCTGTGAGCATATTGCCGCGGAGGTCTAGTATGGCCTTGTCCTCCAGCTTTGCAGGCAGCCAGTCGGGCAGCATACCATTTAGGTTAGCATTCGCGATCGTCAGCTCCTGTAGCCGGAACGTAGCCTGCATGGATATGTCATCGGTTACAACGGGCGGTTTTAATCAAAGGGGCCGACAAGACAGTTTCCTTTGTTCGCAGCTGCGTTGTTCATTGTGTAGCTAGGTTCATATGCACGTTCACCCGTTCTTAACATTCCCTTGCCATCCCAGGCCCCACCGCATGCCTTACATCTGCCAAGCCAATCTCCAATCTGGTGGAAGTTTGAAAGCCGGCGCCATCAGATCCGGTTCCCACGAACCGGAGGACACGTAAATTTGACAGACGCCCGATTTCTTGAAGGTTATCATCAGTTGTGCAGTTGCTGTAAATCGTTGGCCGGCCGAAACCCTCCAAGTGTAAGTGCAATAAACTTGAAGGGTTGGCCAAAAAGACGCCAGCCAAGGCGGTTAGGTTCATGCATGTCTTCCAGCCGAGTCTAACTATTCGGGGGGAGGAGAGCAAACAAAAATAATGCGTCAAGGACTCATTCACATGATGGCATCGCGCCAACAAATTTGCCACGTATATCGAAATAAAGAAGCAGGGTTCGCAACCCCGCAATCATACATATTGCATACGAATATACAAGCATAAGCTCAACCTAAGTTTGCAGCTGAAGCACATGAAGCTCAGGGCATGGACATGCCTGTGGAAAAAGCCAAAACTGACCGTGTCGATGCTTCCATTACAATTGGGAAAAGGGTGGGGGAAGGGGTCTACTAATTTGTAAAATTAGGCTCCTTCAATCCGTAAGTCGGTGGCTGGCGTACGGATACATGTCTACGGATACGTGCCTTTAATTTACGGAAGGGTTCGTGTTTGCATGGCATCCCTCGGACTTGCTTCACATTATCACCATGGCCATTTATAACGATACATTTTTTTGAACATTTAAAAAACTGCGATACTTTGTGTACATCACTTTGGCTTCCGTATTTCTGGCGCATACTTGGCCAGCATTTACGGACCCAAGTCCCATTTTACCGACGGATCTGCAAATACGGGAAGCAAGCCT